ATAAGGAAATTATTAAATTTACGGTTTAATAAAGGTTAAATGAAATATTTAATTAATTAATTAAAATACCCGGTTATAAATGACTTATGAGAATGATAAATATATTTTAATTATTTAAATAAGTTAAAAAATTTTTACCGATAATACTTAAACCGATTTAAACTTAAGTAAGTAAAAAGAACTATATTTAAATTATAAAAAAGTATTTATAACTTAAATATAAAAAAACCTCGATAAAAATCGAATTTACGCCTTCGACGTAATAATTAATATACTACGTACTATACTATAAAGTTAATAAATATAAAGAAATCCGGGCGTAAGTAATACTATAAGCGTTAATTACCCTAGAAAATAGGAGGATTACCGCCGGAAAAGTCCGGGGTAGCCGGAAGCGGGGAACTCCGGAAAGGATTAACAATTAACTTTATAAAAAAGTTAGAACTAAGCGGAAGGTTAAAAAATAGGTTATCCGGAAGGTCTAAGCCGAGCTAGTTTAATATTATAGAGGCCTAATTAAGAGAAAAGGTTAAAGGAAGATTAATAATAAAAGCAATTTATACTTCCTCCCGTTCTAAGTCCTCGATTAACCGCTCCTCGCGGGCCGCGATATAACGGAACTTAGCGACTAAAGTACGACGCTAGGTCTCTACCCGCGAAAGCTTCGAGGTAATTTATAGTATAGTCGTATAGGCCTTTTGCTCTTCGGCGTCTAGTTTCTCTTTCTAGCGACGAAGAGAGACTATTAAAGCAGGAGTAAGACCTAGGACGTCGCAGTCGGAACGACTAGAATTAATGTAGTAGTTATATCTAGAAAAGCGCTCGAGAGCGCGATAACCAAAAATATTAAGGGCTTCCCAGGACGAATAGGGAAGCATTTCGTTATTAAAAATAAAAGTAGCGGTAATAAGATTTTAGCGGCGAAGGGTATTAGAAGGGTGTGACAAACCCCTGTACAGAACCTCTAAAAGGGATACTAATTGAAGGTACTTCTGACAATTAGTTCGGTGCAGCTAAACAGTGCACAATAAGATATCTCGATATAAACACAAAATGCCGTAAATACAACTGTAAATTGTATACTGCGGAACCATCTACAAGCTATCTAGTTCCTCCGTATATATAGACCTAATGCTAAGCCTAAATCATTCTGTTTCTCCCCGGATCATGACCGATTCTTAAGGATCATAAGTGATTTCCGGGAATCGCTTATGATTTCTTCATGTCCCGGATGATCCACCTCTTACTAGTCCATCCTCCCTTCTCTTAATTGGCTGCCGTGCCTCCTCTTTCCTATTAGTTATTCTTTGCGGGTATCCACATTATATTCGTAACAAAGGGCCTTTCGGCGTAGGTTTCTTAACGCGGTTAAATATTACGAAAAGATAGTAATGGGAAGGGAAAATTTATTAAGGAAGGAAGTTATTATTAAAAGAAATAAAAGGAATGGGGCTACCGGGACGTTAGCTTAAGAGAGGGAGTATCGTATTATAACCTTAGTATATAGACGAGAATAACGATTAATTATAGAACTAAAGGAATAAAGGCTAATTAGGAAAATACTTAAGAAAGCTAATTATAGGGAGGGACGGTAATTAGTGCGATTAAAATACTAATTAGATTAAGTAGGCTAGGCCGGGGTAATTAATATAATTAAGATATTAATTAGGCTAAGCGTAAGTAATTAATATACTCGGAACACTAATTAAAGGAATTACGGTTAGGAAAAGAAGTCTATATATATAAAGGAACTAGCTAATATAAATAGACAGTTCCGTAATATACAATTCACAATTATATTTACGGTATCTTATATTTACATTAAAATATTTTATTATGCACTATTAGCTATACCGAACTAATTATTAGAAGTTACCTTTAACCCGTATCCCTTTCAGAGGTTCTATATAGGGGTTCGTCATAACTAATAAGTATAGTAAACTAATATATTAATTAAACCTTACAGACTAAGAAATATCACAGTAAATAGGGTGTAAGGCAGAAGTTTTATAGGCCGTTAATCTTCTACTCGCTCCCCGAAAGTAACTCCGTTCCCGGGCCCGAACGCCCGCTAAATACGCTAACCAAAATAAAGTTACAGGCCACGTTACAGGCCACGTTACGCTACCGTTTAACCGCTGCAGGGCACTGGCCTTAGCGTTCGGCTTTCCGGGACTTCGGATTGCTTTAAGGGGGCTGAATTCCGTTCCGGCAACCGTGGTCCCTAAGCACTGCTGATCCAAGCCATTATATTGCCTTTAAGGCCCTGTATTTTACAGGGCTCAGATACACTGTTTATAAGTAGAAACAGATAGAAAATGAGCAGTTATTCAAAAACTAAGTTACCGAGACTTCAATTTAAAAAGAGGAGTATTATATTATAATTAAACTATTTAGTAAGACAAACCGTGCACGGGGTACGATATATATAGGTAATCGTTAATAGAGCTAAATAAAACGGGAAATAACTTTACTTATAGAATTATTGCTAAAAGGTAGTAATTTAAAGCGGGATCATTACTAAAAGTTAATAATTTAACAAAGGATTATTATTGGGAGTTAATAGTCTAGAAAACCAATAGGTCTATATATACGGAGAAACCAGCTAATATAAATAAATAGTTCCGTAGTATATAATATCAGTTATAATCGTTAGTATTTTAATTATTATAATTAAGACAAGCCCTTATTATATATTATTTAGCTATACCGAACTAAAATTATTTAGAAGTGCCTTCGACTAGTATCTCTTTTAGAGGTTCTGGATAGGGATTCGTTACAGGTTATAATTAACCTATAATAGTTTCTCTACATTGATTACCTAAATAAATTAAACAAAAATAAACAGTTTTAATATTAATTTACCTCCTAAAATAATAATATCCCCTTTGAAAAAGATTATAAATAATCCGGTTTTTATTAATTTATTTTATTAATACTTTCTAAAAACTAAAAAGAATTAATATTACCGTTAGTAAAAAGGCCGCTTATATCTTCAAGGTGTTCCTTGATAAACTTACCTAAAAAAGAAATTACTATTAAATTAAATATAATAAATAATAAAAGTAAAATCTTCGCTGCTGAAGTATTTATATAATATTCTAGAATAAAATATCTCAATATGTTCATAACCTTAAATACTATATTGCTTTTCATAAACTTAACACTAATTAAACTGAATAAATTAAATCCCTTACCAAGTACTATATTACTCTTTATAAATTAATTACTACCTCTACCTTTATTGATACTAATAAAGTTAAAAACTCTGTTATTTTTAAAGACATTCCTTATTAGTATAAATAATTAAAATTCATAGTTTCTTTTCTTGTAATATATAAAAAAACTTAAGATTGTTAACGTTATTTGTAATGAAATACCTACGCTATATTTTAAGGAATTTATTCAGAATATATTTTTTAAATAGAGGAAACAGTAGAAATTATATTCAATAGGTCAAAACCTTGAGAGGCTTTCATATCTTTAATTTAATCAAAATTAAAAATTAACTAAAGAAATTAAAGTCCTATTAAAATATGTTGCTATAATTACCTAGCTCTTTTTAAAGTTTAATTAATACTTAAATTTCATCTCTACTCCTTGAATAAAGAATGACCCCGCTTTTCTTACTTTTAAAAAATATACTTTAATAACGTTTTTATTAATAAAACTAATACTATAAAAAAAGTTAAACAATATCTAATCTATTAAATCCTACAGTTTTTATAAATAATAAAAATTATAAAGACTCACCCTCTTCATGGTCTAATATTATACTACGTATAATAAAATAACTATTAACCTCTTTACTAATAGAGACCTAGCTAACTAGGTCTCTATAGGTAGAGGGCTTTTTCATGAGGGTTAAAGTAATGAAGTTACGGATTATAAATATTTATATATATATTTAAATATAGATTTTTTCACTAACCTCGTAATATTCCAGCATCATAATTTTTTTTAACTTTACTTAAAAATATAAAAGTTATTTAAAGAATTAATATATCAATATATTTATAATCTTAAAAAACCTTGCTTTATAGAAAAGCCCTTTATATATAGAGACCTAGCTAGTAAGCTAGGTGCTTATGAATATAAACTTTATTGTATATAATTATTAGATATTTTTAACTAAATATAACTATATTATTAAGTTTTAAAATAAACTCTAATTTATTTATTTATTATAATATGTAAAGCTTTATAACGCTTTTACAGGGAATATAATAATAATTAAGTATAATTTTACTATAAGGTATTACATTAAAATTATAAAAAGCTATTATCAGAAATATAGAGGGTTATTTACTCTTATACGTAGTGTATAATAGTGCCTTTTTTGTGCTATATACTTTCTAATACTTTTTTTAAAAAATTAATAATAGTTTTAAGTTTTATTTATAATTGTATTCTATACTGTGACGAACCCCTGTACAGAACCTCTGAAAGGGATACGGGTTGAAGGTAACTTCTGACAATTGGTTCGGTGCAGCTAGACAGTGCACAACAAGATGTCTCAATGTAAACACAAGATACCGTGAATACAACTGTGGATTGCATACTGCGGAACTGTCTATCTACACCAGCCAGTTCCTCCGTATATATAGATCCTGGGGCCCTGAGGTGCTCGCCCTGCTACGGCCCCGATTACCCATAACACATTGCATCCTGCAAAGTGCTCGTCGTGCTATGCCTCTGATCACTCGTAGCATCTTGCATCCTGCAGAGTGCTCGTGTGTCTTGGCGCCATAGCGCTTTCGTCCAGCCCTGATTGGCTGTCTCCTGACTTCTCTAATGATTGGCTAGGGACGTCCTGCGCCCCACATGTGGCGCGGCCTGCTGTTGGGTTAACTGTGACATATACCTATTTTTAGTTAAGGGCTAATTTTAAACATCACTACATTACTATTGAAGCAATATAAAAAATTCATGATTGTCTACCATTGCTAGGTTTCTAGTTTATGAGTTGGGAGGTACCTAATACTGTAGCAGACTTGAAGTTATATTCCACCGTCTGTTTCCGTTGGCAGCTCGCGGATCCTTTCAATAGCAGCAAGCTCAACTGGTGGGCCCATAAATTCCCTCATCGCACAGTATGATGAGGACCCAGATAATAACCCAGATGTATCAGGGCATGCGAAATTTGCCTGTTAAAAATCGACAATCTCAGCTCATTTCTCTCCACGCCATAAGGTGGTATTGTTACTTACCCTCCCTGTCATGGGTATCTTTTTAATCCAGCCCGTAGCTCTCGCCGAATCAGCCCAGGCCACCAGAACATTTTCCTCGTCCGCTATGGTCACAAATGACATGGCGAACGATTCACTTTTTGCTGTAAGCTCCTTCGAGATAGCTACTCTTCTGATATCGATGGGGCTGGAATTCAAGTTGGACACTTCAAAAACGTAACCTCTGTCGTAAATCATGACCAGCTCCCGGCCTGAGGGGGAGAAAGCAGCACACTGAATTCTGGTTCCTAGTTTGGTGGATTTACCAGACCCGTCAACTTTAATCTCACTCCTCTGTCCGTCCTGCGGCTGTATTAAAATAGGAGTACCGGATTGGGTCCAAGTCGTAATACAAACCAACGTTTCCTCGCCATCCGATCCAGGTCGAAATATGGCCGCGGACAAACCGTTGTCCTCTGATTCGTGAAGTGGGATTAAATACCGGCAGGCTGCCAGCTCTTGGAATTCGTGAAATGGGAATCGCCAAGAAAATATCTGCACTAGCCCCGTTTTCGAACTTCTTGTGCTCGCTAGAAGTGTGAACCCATCCTGAGAAAATGCCAGGGTGTCGACTGACGGACATCCCCTGCAATCCCGGTGCGATGATGCATGTAGACGGTCTTCTCGCGGTTGCTCTGATGTTTTTGCCTTGAAGAAACGCACAGTGGCATTCTCAAAACCAACCACCACATAGTTTTCCTCTCGGTCAATCGCTAATGCTTTTGCCCATAATGTGGATGGGATGCGGTACTCTATAACTGAGACGGTAGGTTGCACGAGATTCACAATACGCAGCTGCAAAAAGTCGTCAGACTGCGTCGAAAATGGAGAAAGATGGTAATGCAAACCGTAAGTTTCTGATCTCTTGTTCCAATAACATATGCTAAATGAGTCCTGGCGACGGCTGCCAGGATACAAGTGCTCTCTGGCTGAATGGCCCGCATCATGGTGGGAGGGGAAGTGGCAACATCCCACACATGTATGAGCAGCTGGGTCCAAAATAGAGCGAGGGTAGAGCTTTGCGAGAGAGTAACATTGATATTCTTCGACGATTTCCCTCTCCCTTGATGTTTCTGGATGACAAAGGGGAGTCAGAGTGATTTCCTCGAGCTTTTGGGCTTCAAGCGTAGTCGAAGACAAGGAACTCGAGTCTGCTATTACGCCAGCAGGTGGTTTTTTGCTAGTTGTAAACTTCGGCCTCCATTTCGACTTTCCTTTCTGCGCCGACGTTACCACGGGGACAGATCTCGGGGTGCTTATGGATGAAGCCTCATCTGTGTTATGCTGCAGCCGTTTAAATATAGGCGAGTCGTGGGAGAAGGTGGGCCGATCTGTTAGCAAGGCTGGATCAAGCTTGTTATGATGGTCCGAAAGTGTGCTTCTGTTGTCTGCTTGTGATTGTTGATGACGTAGCGGTAATGGGCTTTGGGAGTGATTGGGGCTTTGAGGCGACAGAAGCCCAGTATACAGAGAGCCAATGGGATCTATGGATACAGGGCTGGAAAGGACCATCTTTGGTAGGTGCGAAGAGCCATAGGCTTCGTGTCCGCCCAATTTCCCAGCTCCTATACCGAGTGTATTGCCGTATTCTAGTGACGTGAAGCCGCTCGTCTGTGGCTTGGGCGGCCGTAGTAGAAATTGTGTGGGTAAATGACGTTCCAGGCTGACGGTGTCAGCATCAAGACGGAGTGGTTCCAGTAGTTCCCAAGTCTGCCGTACTGTTGATATCTCCCGTGCAATGGTGATGGCTTCTCCGCAGTGTATGCATCTTGCTTTGGGTGGAAGCTGTCTAACAACATGACCATGTTCGGTGGGCTTGCAGAGGAAAGCGATTAGCCACCTTGGAAGAGGAGATGGGTTCGCGACCTAGGAAAAAATGAGAAGTAAGACTCACAGTATTGATGTCCGTTGGCTTCAACTGAGATGCACCTATGATGTGACATTCCGGGCAAATCACAGAGTACAGACCAGGCCGCTGATTCGGCATGAACTGCCCACTGGGATTGTCCTGAAGAGCAATGTTTCTGACAACCTGAGACATGTTATGGACCGTCTCCCGGTCACTGACGCGGTGAATAGCCTGACGGGCTACAAGCCTCGCGAATAGAGCATCCAATGCATCCAGTTCGAATTCCTCGACACAGATCCCTGCGGTGTCTTGATGAGATAGGTCCAGGGTGTCGGGTAAGACTATACGAGAAATAGTGCTCAGTGTTGCAACCATCTCCACCCGGGAGAATTGGGGGGGGATACGTAAGGCATCGAGCGCACTCAGAACCGCATTTCTGGAATGCGCCAGGGCTGGCTCGAGACGCAGTTCTCGAGTCTCCTTGTTGGCAGCATATTGGATTGAGGCGGCAACTACGAATTGCGACACGTCTCGTAATGCTAGATATTTTACAAGCCAGTCTCCAGGGTAGCCTGCTGGCACAATGTCGGCGATAGCAGCGGGCTGAAGACAGGGGGGAACGGAGACTACGAGACAACATTCGGGTTAGCGATGACGGACCATGAAGTGCGAGGTAGTATAAAGGTTGGTCCCCCTACCAGCTGCGATGCCAAATTTGGTAGTCCGGATGCCAATGCAGGGGGAAGACCCAAGCTGTCAGGGTCAAGGTGGAGCTGGGTAGTGATCTCCTTGCAAGCCGCGAGTGGAAACGAGTTCGGGCCAGGAAAGCTATCGAAAACCTGCTCCAAGAGACCGTGAATGCGAGCAAAACGCTCACGGCGGTCTCGAGATCGCTGGATCGCTGGGGGTTTGGGGTGAAGTCTATCGAGGGACGGTTAGTCACCTGGTCGCCGAAGGTCACCAGCTTTCGGAAGAATTGTGAATATGGGGCGAGCGTACGTCAGGACGCGAAGGCTGGACAAAAGAAAACCGGCCAGATATCTCTCTCGCAGCAAACGGTTCTCCCAGATGGTCTCGCGACTCTCATTGATGGTTTGAAGAACAAACTCAACGGACCGCAGAGCCACCTCCCAGCTGACGAGAAAACCCAGATACCAAGCGGTGTGGACATTGACGACGGGGAGGGTCAGCCGGTGGATATCGAATATAGATTTGAGCTGTGAGAGCAAAGTGATCACCAGTTGCTGGTACGTATCCCGGTCGGAAGCGTCTGCGTACATCCTTTCCAAAGAGAAGCATCCAAGCAGCTCCAAGACGATGTCATCTACATCACTCCGGAGGACCAATGCCCTCCAGACATTCGTTAGCCGCAACAATAACGACGAGGGCATTGTACTAGCCATAGTCATGCGACACCGGGCTTTTGGAGATAATATGCCGGGGACGGAGGGCAGGTAAGGCGAAGGGGGTGGCGGTGCCTCTCACGAGGTACGCGCGGGGGCTGCGGGGAGGGCACCGCCGCTTCGCACTTCTCAGATGCCTTCCCCAGCTGATTACCGATGATTAAGCCTAATCTTGTTTCGATTGGGCTGTTTTCGCTCTTCATCTGTATGTCAACATCTCCAAGAGGAGTTGGTCCTGAAGTGCACAATGAGTCGGAAGGACAGGGTAGATTCGGGACAGAAATTGGGAAATGATAGGCAGTTGAGAGGGGGGGGAGGGGTAGGACGAGTCTGTACCCGGCCACCAAAGCGAAGAAAGGACTAGGTTTACGGCTTTGGTGGGAGGGGGTGGAATACCATCTGAGCAATGCCGTGGTCCCCTCCATTGGCTTGGGGTTGGCCGGGCAGGGTGCACAGGAACAAGAAGCACGAGGGGGTGAAGGTCTGTGGAATATAAGTGGCTGGGCTCGCAACCACATCTCACGGTGGTGCACAAAGTGAACATATACGATGCGAGCCCGGAACAGTTGTCGGGAGAAGCTACCACTCGCCGTATTAATGAAGGGTTGCAAAAGGAGCCATGTGTGATGTTTGGTTCATCTGTGGCCATTGTGCGAGTCCCTCTGAGTCGGCTCCAGACCTGCGGTTCAATATGGGGCAGCTTGGGATCTCGAGGGACCCAGTCAATCAGGTTGCCACAGCCAAATAGAGAGTTACACTAGGTGTGGAGACATGGGACAGTTGAGACTTGGCATGCAGATCAAAAGAACGCTAGCACTGGCAGGGGTTAAGTTTCCTCTGGTGTGGCTTGCTGCTTGCATCTACATTTCACCGTTGAAGGTATCGTGCCACTTCTGGTCACCCACATCTGAACCCACATGCCGGATAGCGACCTTGTTCAGCTTCTGAGTGGTTGCCATGGCCTACATCTCGACCGCCTGTCGTATTCCGTATTAGATGCCGCTGCTGTACCTCGACACCTCCTATACATGATACAGACCAATGGCCGTCATGTCTTAGCTGGCCATGCCTTTTACTGTGCAAGGAAGCACGAAGAACCATCGTCGGAGACGGCTACCAACCTGAAGAAGTAAGAAAGGGCTATTATTGCCCCGATGTGTTCGCTGGCCACCCATGATACACTGCGGGCAAATATGAGCTGAACCCGGCAATTATAGAATGTTGCATGATTGCCGTGCTGGGTTTGTTTGCTCCTGCCCTGATTCGTTCGTATTTTTAACCCCATGATTATAATGCAGCACCCAACACGCTTTGCCATACTCCACACCACTTGGAATCCCAGTTTGCTGAAGGAGCAAATGTATAATAACCATTAGTATCCCATCAGTCACCAGCCCTGCCAGGTGTTGGAAACATGGTGGTATCCAGGACAAGCAACGATTTGATCACGTCCTGATTCCACTTACCAGAACGTTCGACAACTTACTCAGTCTAGTAGACCGATTTGTTTTCAGGATGATTCCTGGCGAATCTGTGTCCTGGTCGGGTCAACCTGCCACGGACTACGAAAAGCCAGAGGCATTGGACCCTCAAATCTTCACAGGGGGCCCTCAGCTGGATGGCGAAGCCACTCTACATGGCTACGAGGACCCGAGCCCTCCCGGGGACACCAAAAAATTTCGTGCAGAGAGCTTATGGTATGTTGGGAGGGAGAATTTCTGTCCTTTTTCATGCCTGTTAATTGACACTTGAGGTTTCATAAGGCGAGTATTGGACGAGAGACATATAAACGTAAGATCCCCGGACATGGACACGGCCGAGTATCGCCGCCATATCAAATAACTAGATGTTACGGATCTAGATGATCGCATTCTCTGGGTGGGTTATTGCCTGTGCTTCTTTGCACCCGAATACCGGACTAACCAAGGCTTCTGAGTGGTAGCACAATAGGCAATGGTATGTGCCCTATTTCTCAACAGAATAGGTGTTGAGGACTTATTAATCGCTGGCATAGGACTTTTTTTAGGAAGTGGGAGATCACTTGCGAGCGCGGGTCCTGGCGGTGCAGTTCTCTGTTACATACTCATGGGAACAGGTAAGATGTTTGATTGTTACCAGCACTTCAACCCGATGGCATGAAGCTAATTCATACACAACCATTTAGTCATTGCCTCAGTGATAAGCTGTCTCGTCAGTTCAGAATTACCATTTATTTTGTGTCATTTGTCCCGACCTACTGACCGTGACGTCCCACAGGGTAAAAATGACTGCGTTGATGTCGGTCAACGCCCCTGTCATGGAATTTCCCCGCCGTTTCATGAGTCGTGGTGTAGGATTTGCTGTTGGGTGGGTCTATTGGTTGGTATTTCATGATTCACAGTGAATATGCCACTGTAAAGGCTTGTCCCATACCCTGACAACTCCGTGTCCAAACAGGTTTGCATACGCTGTGCTGGCTGGTGAGCAGCTAGTGGCAGTATCGAATGCCATCAATTCCGTTATGATGACGGAATAACTTCTCTCAATTGGGAGGTGGGTCAGAGGGTTGATAATGCCGTGTGGATATCCGTGTTTTTGATTCTGGTCATATTGTTCAATATGTTTCCAGTCCGAGTAAGTATGACCTGTCGGAAACTCTAGCAGACCCATGCTAATGCTGCCATTCAAGGTGTTTGGGGAATTGGAATACATTTTCGGCTGTTTCAAGCTCATGTTTATCATATTACTGATCATGGTGGGTGCAGCTTCTGGTGTCTTGGATTATCACCATTCCTTTGTCTCCGTGTTACTCATATTGGTGATGACTAGATGATGTGTTTTCTATCTATTGTTCAGCGTCAGTTTACACCTTCCACTACCCCATTTGTTCCGGCCTGCCAGCTACTTACATTACGTCGTCGAAGCTCGAGGGGAAGCCTACTATCATGAACCTCTTGGCACTCGATGTGAGTTCTGATACACCAACGGGACAGGGCATGGCTGACGACCCACACAGATGGGAATCATCCTTACTCGTTTTTCAACCTCGTGTACAACGCCAAGGACGAGAATCTGAAAGTCGAGCATTCCATTGAAGGGTCACTGGGAACTCTTCTAGGTGTCTGGTAAGCACGATACTCAGCTGTCGTGATTGGCCGTTGACGTAGCTAGGACTCCGCGCATAGGACAACATTCACGAGTGTCATGTCCTCTTATATCGGCATGGATATCGTCGCAGCTACAGCGGCAGAGAGCCGAGCATTGAGTGACGTCGAGAGCATGAAAATGGCCGCTCGCAAAATCAACCTTCGTGTCATTACGTTGTATTCGCTGGCCATGCTCCCCGCATCGTTTGTTGTCCCCATGGACCACCCTTTCATCAATGGCCACAGTACCTCGGTCGGTGCACGCTCCATTTTCATTATCGCCGTCGTGGAGGCTGGCATGCCCAAAGTTGCCCACTTTTTCAACGCAGTCTTTGTCTTCTCGGCCTTCACTTGCGGTATTAACTCTATGTATATCGCGACGAGGGTTTTGCATACCCTGGCTCTTCGCGGTCAGACCGGCCCTGAGTTTATTACGAGACGTCTTCGCCAGTGTCGATCTGGGGTGCCATCATGATGGTCGCTTACATGGGCCGTGAAGGCTCAGTTGGGGCAGTAAGTACTGCTGCCCTTCTTAGTGGACATCTGCTGATTTATAATGCCACAATTAGAGACTTGACGAGCTAGCCAACAACTGCACTGTATCCTGTAAGTCCCTCTTCCCTATCTCACCATGCATGCTTTGAAACCCGAGTGAGACCGACTGGCTAATGAAACATGCACAGGTCTCGTGTAAGTGAAAGCTATATTTACCGGATTTCTTTCTAGATTCTGGGTCAGCCTTTTGAGAAAAACGCCAGGGTACTGATGAATGTGTCTAGTGTTTATGCCTCCATATGTGCAACCTATCTGTACTTTTTCCGGACGTGAGTCTTCCACAAGTTAAATTTCTGAGCCATTTGCAGCTCTGACATCTCACCTCTAGACTTGAAGATGCCCAAATATACGGCAATACGTCTGAGTCGCAGGCAGCGAGCTATGATCGAGACAACCCTCGGTATCCATACAAGTCCCACGGGCAATGGCTCAAAGCTTGCTATGGTTTAGTTGCTTGTGTCGTTCTTATCCTCTTCAACGGCGTAGGCGCCTTTATTGAGCCCTTGAGCATTCGCAAGTTCATTGCTGCTTATATTAGTGTAAGTGCTCGAGCTCAGGCGGATTGCCAACGCAGCGCATGATACTGACCAGTCACAGCTTCCGGTGTTCATTTTACTCATCTTGTGTTATAATATCCGTAAACACGGGTTCCGGTTTAGGGATTGGTGGACAGACAAGTCGGGCGACTTGAGCCAGACCGTGCAGGCTTCAAGCCATACGCGGAAGGGAAGGCTCGAGTTCCCTGACAGTGGCATCACAGGACACAACTGGCAAGTCTTTGTTCATTGGGTCTGGGTATGGTGGAAGTAAAGTGGATATAGCTAAACAGCAACGCTGCACCTCTTAACTTTGTGGAGATGAAAGTACTGAAGTATTATGGCGAAGCTATTGTGTATAGTTGTATTACGGGGGCTTGGGAGAATCTGCCCCGTTGCTAGTTAGCTGCTTGTCGTATCAATCTCATGCCCCGGCACACTCGTGCAAGAAAATTCAAGGTGGTTATCGAATCAAAGGCCCGACAAAATAATCAAGAATAGCTTAGGGGTCATTGAACATTCATCATGTTGCTATACTCGAGGCCTATATTCTATTTCTATACCGCCTGTAACTAGGTAACAAAGTTCCTCCAAACTGTTGTTATCTCCGTTTCCTGTCCATAACGTACCGGGAAAGATATTGATATATATAGAGATCGTTTGTTTTGTCTGAAAAACTGAAAGAAACACTTCAAAGTCACCACATGTCATTGGTGAAACAGAGCTTTGGTTTGAATCAATTAGAGGCCAACGATATGGTCACAGACAAAACTAAACACTCGTTTTGATGCTATGATTCTACCGTTCTCATATACACAGTGTAGGCATACAACCAAAAGCACTGCCATATTATACACATATACACACGCCTTGTCCCATTGTCAAACCAAACCCACGACTTATACCGACAGATCAGGACAGCCCAGAGGTACACACGTAGGAGCAGGCATTGCCAGTTGCAAAAAATGCCCATATCTAATTGGAAACGCCCCATGATGCACCATGCCAGTGAAAAAGGCCCTTTGATAATTTACATTATACATACGCATTCAACCCGGAAAAGACAAGTGAATGACGCTACCCCTGCAAGTGATACTCATCTACAAAAGCATCTTACGGGGATCCTCAATGTACTCCTTTACCTTGACCAAGAACTGCACGGCCTCTCTGCCGTCAAGAAGACGATGGTCATAGGTAAGTGCCAGGTACATCATGGGACGGATCTCAATCTTGCCATTGACGACAACTGGGCGCTCCTTAGTGGCATGAAGACCAAGCACGGCGCTTTGGGGAAGGTTGATGATGGGGGTGCCCATGAGGGAACCGAAGACACCACCGTTGCTGATGGTGAAGGTGCCGCCAGCCATGTCCTCAATAGTGAGCTTGCCGTCGCGAGCCTGTTAAAAGGGTTTCCATGTTAGGGTCTGAGACTTGCAGAGCTTTTTTGCAAATGGTGACTTTAGACGTACCTTCTTGCCCAGCTCAGCGATGGACCTCTCGATGCCAACAAGATCCATAGCCTCAGCGTTGCGGACAACAGGGGTAACGAGACCCTTCTCAGTAGCAACAGCAACGCTGATGTCGACGTAGTCCCTGTAGACGATGGTATCACCGCCATTGGGACCTTCAATCGAGGCGTTGACGGCAGGAATATCGCGCATGGCAAGTACGGCAGCACGCGAGAAAGCGCTCATGAAGCCAAGCTTGACACCAGTCTTCTTGAGAACCTCCTCCTTATACTTGTTGCGGAATTCCATCAGAGCTGACATGTCGACCTCGTTGAATGTGGTCAGGGAAGCGGCGGTGTTTTGAGACTGCTTCAAGCGCTCGGCAATGCGAAGACGCATCCGGTTCATCTTGACCTGTTGGGCTTCAGTCAGCAAAAGGGCACGCTTAGCTGGCAGTGTGATTGTGCAAGTATAATCGTACCCTCTTCTCCTCGCGGTTGCCCAGAGTGGCGGGCTTCTCAGGGGCGGCCGCTGGAGCGGGCTTGCTCTTGGGTTCTGGTGTCTCCTGTTTAGGGGGGGGAGGGGCAGAGGCAGCAGGCTTGCTCTCCTCCTGCTTGGGCTCGGGAGCCTTCTCAGGCTCGGCCTTCTTTTCGGGAGCCGATTCCTTGGGCTCAGCGGCAGGCTTGTCGCCCGACGGCGCACCTCCAAGCTCGATACGCACGAGATCCTGGCCAACAACGACGGTATCCTCCTCGTTGGCGAGGAACTCCTTGATGACACCGGCCTCAGGAGCATTGACAGCAACATCAATCTGTTGCGTTACGACACATCAGTTAGACCGGAAGCAAGTGACACAAAAGGACTTCGCGGAAGAGTCCTGATGGGCTGGGCTATGCGTACCTTGTCGGTCTCAATGGTCGCAATCTCCTCATCCTGCTCAACAAAGTCACCAACTGACTTGTTCCACTGCTTCAGAGTACCCTCGCTGATCGACTCGGCCATTTGCGGCACCTTGACGATCTTGTCGGCATATGTCCGCACATGTTGGAACTGCAGGGGCAGTTGTCGCAGGGCTGTATTGTTGTTGTAGAGCGCAAATTTGGGAGCAGCGCGAGCCGCAAGGCGGAGACCTCTGTACACCATATTGTCGACGTGCGTATGCTAGGACGAGTATGCGGTTGTTTACTGCGGGAATTCGTAGATCGGGTGCAGCACGAGCCTGGGTTCGGCAGAGAGACGCGGGAGGTTCGAGTCAACAGCTTTTTTGGCTGGGAAAGAGCGCAAGGCAGGGTGAGGTCACAAACAAAAGATGCCGCGTAAAGACCGCACTGGGCAACCAAATGATGAATTTGACCTTGTGCGCTGCGATGGGTTGGTCGAGACGTTGAAGGAGGAGTCTTGAGAGCGAGGAGTGATGTGTAGGCAAGAGGTTGAATTGCGCCGTTGAGACAGGAGGTTGCTTTCCGAAATCCAGGTTGGAAAAAACTAGCTACGGCGTCCAGTTGGCAGACTCACAATCCTTGCACGAAGCACACAGCTGGGAGCGGTGCCACGGCGCTGCCGGCGCATCACGGCTAACATATTGCACGGCCTCCACTCGCCAACCGTCTGGTGACCTCAACTTGCAGCAGCTTTGGCGTGGCGGCCAAAGTACTCACCGGGGCCGCACGGGTCTCTCTGGGCTCGGCAATATGGAACGGAACGTCAGCGCCTTGGGACTCAAACGTCGTTGGCTAGGTAGGCTGTCTGACAGTCGGGAGCCCCACTGACCGGTGCTTGGGCGGTTGCAGCTTAATCCGCTCCGGCAGCCCATCTCGCGGGTTCGGGTTGGAGAAGCAGCAGCGAGCCACCGTCACCCACGATGAGACTGTGGCCTGAGGCAGAAACACCTTGCAGCTTGGCAGCAAGCTCCCTCCAATCCACTTTGTCATTTGAGCTCAAACCCGACGACCTCATATCCACGTCCGCGACCCTCGTCCACACCCTGCTATTGGACCTGGGACTAACGCTGCTTGATCTTTTGAATCTGCTTTCTGGGCCTTGACGCTCAGCACGGCGGTTGAGGCGCCGAACACACTGCAACCCAGATTGACCGAGGTTTCCGACGTCACGATCCCGCAAAGCTGCCCATTATGTCCTCCCGGATGGCGGCCTTGTCAGTTATATCCCCACATCTTCACCATACCATGTCCCAGGTCGTCCACTGACATCATCTTCTAGGTCGCTTTATCGCCGCTCTTTGAAGCTCGCGCTCGACTGGTCGGTACACCGTGATGTCTGGCGCGGCCAGGCGCTCTACATCCGCTCCCTGTTTGAGAAGAACCGGGCTGTCACCGACCCTAGACTACAGCGTGTACGCTTTCAATCCGACGACCCTTGATGCCGAAGACAGGAGATATGGCAACTGACAAGAAGGTTCACGAACATGTACAGGCGCTGTTGAAAGAGACAGAGAAGTTGTTGGAGAAGTGGAAGCACCCCGACCCTTATATCCCCCCAACGGCCCCCGGAGGTATGCCCCACACAACCTTTATAACCTATTGATGCAAGATATACTGACAATATTCCACAGGATCCAAGTACGAGAGAAACTTGCAAGTCCCCAACCTCGACCGTGAGTCTGCAGCACTCCCTATCATTCTCAATGTGCAAGTCGCCTGGCTGACATATGTTTTCGTGTGCAGCTCCCCCGCCGCTCAAGTTCTGATCCAACATTGGCAATGGAGATGGAATGTACATAAGGTTAGACGAGGAGACTGGAGTGGAGAACAGACACATGCCATGGGCGACGTCGAATGCAAAGTGGTTGCCTCCAACCTGTAGCTTCCAGATGGGCGTATCTTGACAAAAGCTTAGTTTCGTGCTGAGCATTCACCTGACATCATTGACCGGTGCAGAAAGATCTCGAGATCCAGCGACACCACACCTCAACAGCGGATGGTTTTTCCGGCCTAGCCTGAGACGCTCGTAGCTTCACCACTGTAATGCAGGACAACCCAGAACCGATACAGCAGGACAATGGCAAAATAAAATGATGATCTTTAGAAGGTATTCTCATTCGTGCCCATCCATGACCATGCCCATCATGGAATTAATGTACAACCCGCAAACGCGATAAAAAGCAACCGTTGACCCTAGACCGTGACCCCAATATCATGAACCCAACGTGCCGACCGAAAAATGAAAGCAGAAAAGACGACAAAATTCCACAACCCATTTACAACTCTTGCGAGGCGTTCTTGCCGGGCTTGGTGCCAGTCTTCTTGGGAAGAAGGTCTGAAAACAACATGTTAGAACCATTGATACCGGTGCAGATGTGATGAAAACCTACTCTGGTGAATGTTGGGAAGGACACCACCCTGGGCAATGGTGACGTGCCCAAGGAGCTTGTTCAACTCCTCATCGTTGCGGATGGCGAGCTGGAGATGACGGGGGATGATACGGGTCTTCTTGTTGTCACGAGCGGCGTTGCCAGCCAACTCGAGGATTTCGGCAGCGAGGTACTCAAGAACAGCGGCGAGGTAGACGGGAGCACCGGCACCGACACGCTGAGCGTAGTTGCCCTTGCGGAGAAGACGGTGAACACGGCCGACGGGGAAAGCCAAACCAGCCTTGGAAGAACGACTGCAAGCGACATGTTGTTAGCAACGAGAACAAAAGAGAGGATGGGAAAACGCGTCTAAAACGCGACAGGGCATCCAGATCGGGACCTCAGAGGTCCAGACCGTGATGCGCCTGGCAGGTTTTGAGCGGTTCGCATGGGAAAGACTCACGATTGCGCGTTCTTGCCGCTGCTCGCCTTGCCGCCGGACTTGCCGCCGCCAGTCATTTTGATAGAGTTGAGTGGGTGGAAAAGTTGAGAAAAAGTTGGTGTAGTTGGGCAAGGACGAGAGACTCAAAGGTCTGGATGAGTTGGTTGATGGTAGAGCGGAAGTTTGCTGATGGAAAATGTAATGGATGGGAGAAGCAGAGTGCTGGTGGGGGATGTGTGAGTTAAGTAGTTTTCGCGTAGAGCGCCAGATCACGGATCACCCGCGCCTTTCACAGTGTTGATCGGGGCCAATGGGGCTAGTCCCAAAACAGGGCGTGGCAGCTGGTGTGGCACCCCAGGCTGCAAGGGTAAAAAAATCGGGCAGAACAACCACAAAGCCGGCAATTGGGTGGTTGCAGCGCAGCGACCAGCAAAAACTGAATCAGGCTGCCCACAAAAAAAGGGCCACAGACCAGGATCGCTTGTCTCGATTTTGACGTTCCTGATTGTACAAATATCGCGCCATCCCCCGACCGCGTTCTGTCGCGCATCCTAACTGACTGCACTCCATGGTCCCTTTTTTTCTTCTCTCCTGCTACTGCGCGTCTTCGAAAAATGAAAAAACAGGGGCCATCCTCTGATTCGACACCGGCAAAATCAGAGCAATCACAACAATGCACAGCACTCGCAACCACAACCACCCTGCCCTCTTTGGTCATGGAGCTTGGCTGACTGATTTACTCAGATCACTTGGACTCATCTGACCGCTCTGCCCCAGGCCGCCTCGACCCTCGACCCCCAGTACCTGAAGTTTATTGCAACTCAGTCTGGTCTCCCAGTCGACCTGACTTTGCAATCTGGGACAACTCATACTTGTCCACTTGGTTCTGGTTGGCTCTTGTCGTTCCTGTTGTTTGTTTGGCTTTTTGTGCCATTTTTGTCCATCAAAATTGACCGAGCGTGTGGGTTTCGCTCATCCGAGCCTTTTTTTTTTTAGGACTCTCTGGTCTGTCTACCTTGTGTGTTGAAGCATGGTTCATTCTGGAATGGACTGGTTGGGTTTGCTTGGCATGTTGGGTTTTTTTTGGTCAACCCAGGCTGACAAGTCCATCATGAGTTATCCTTGGACTGGGCAGATGTATGCTCTTTTTACGTCCTCAAGGAGGTACAGTACTGGTATAAACTCGCATTTTAGGTCGATTTGACCTGGACTCTTTAAGATTGGGGCTTGGTTTTTGGGTTCAGGGAACCTGAAGGGTCCAAAAAGGCTGCTTGACCCTTTTTGAACACAGGTAGGTGCTCTTGGAGCCTCATACACATTCACATGTGGGTTTTCGTGCCATATTGGGTCAGGATTGGGCCCAAAAGTAGATATAGCCTCACCAGTCAAGCTTTTGCCCCATGATACCCCAGATCCCCCAGATCTCCGGATCGTGTGAAACCCCATCCGGGCAGGGCATCCGCTCTCTCGGGCCGAGCTGCGTGACAGATCTAGAACCCTTCAGGCTCGTCTTCTCTCCCATGCGGCCCTTCCCGCAGCTGCCAACACTGGGTCAAAGTCCATCTGCATCCGCAATTGTCATGTGTCATCAGGGTGAGAGTGGCTCTTCCCCAGGTCTTGGAAGCGAACGGAGATGGCAGCTGAGCAGGACAGAGCCAATCAAGGCCGGCCTCGGATGGCATGGAGTTCTGTAAGGCTGGAGGGTGTTGACACACACCTAAGTGTGCCTGCTAAAGCAGCTCCCCTGAGGAGCCGAGGAGGCTCCATCAGTCCATCCCATGTGTCACTGTGTCAATGTATCAGGGCATAATCCACCTAGCTTTCACATCTCTATCCTTGGTGGAACGCCGGACACGTTCTCCGTCGATTATCATGGAATACACAGGCAGATTTACACATCCCAGGAGAACCAAGGTGAACGGACCCTGATTCCTGGCCGCTGTGGCCGGGATTCTGAGAGTCGAGGTTTAGTGGAGAGGCAGATACAGAAAGAACGAAAGAGAGAAAGAAACCCGAACGACACGCCGGGTTGCGAATGGCTGGCGCATGAGCTGTCGTCGAGGCTTACATCAGGCCTGGCCCGCCTTGCACCACAACTGAGATTCCACGACCAAGTTCCGACAGGGTTGCCCTGCTGGGCGGGGCCCTGATTTCCCAGCAAAGCTCGAGAAAAAAATACCAGCCGCAGATCTGGAGTGTGCATTATTATTTCTGGTCGGGTGCTGCTATGCCCCATTCGGAGCCTCAGGAGCGTGTTGTGGCGCTTGGACCACCGCGTCACCTTGCAACTTTGGACTGGGGCTGCCTTCCTTTGTGCCTTATTTTTTTGCCAAATCAAGCGGCATGTCCCCACCTTTCGGCGCGGTACTCAAATCAATCAGTCAATCAGCACCACGGCACTCGCATGTCGCGTCAGCTACAAAAGGCCCATCCCCCCTCGCCGGCTGCATTTCTTCCTCCATCAACCAACTCTCCCACAAACTCTTCCACGCCCATCAAATCGCCAGATCCATCCAGAACTTCGGTTCACTTCGTCTTACTTACCCAACAACCCATCTTAAAAAAACGCCAAAATGCCCCCCAAGGCCGCTGACAAGAAGCCCGCCAACAAGGCCCCCGCCACTGCCTCCAAGGCTCCCGAGAAGAAGGATGCTGGCAAGAAGACCGCTGCCTCTGGCGAGAAGAAGAAGCGCACCAAGGCGCGCAAGGAGACCTACTCCTCCTACATTTACAAGGGTGAGTGGCATTCCCGGGTCGAAGCGCGACTTTACCCATCCTCGAGTCCCATGCAGTCCATCTGGATTTCGCTAACAAACTTTGCAGTCCTCAAGCAGGTCCACCCCGACACTGGTATCTCCAACCGTGCCATGTCCATCCTCAACTCTTTCGTGAACGGTATGTTTCTTCTGTCCAAAGCAATCCGTCTTTAAAGCGCGCCTTTTCTGACCCTTGTGCCCGATAGACATCTTCGAGCGCGTCGCGACCGAGGCTTCCAAGCTTGCCGCCTACAACAAGAAGTCCACCATCTCATCCCGTGAGATCCAGACCTCCGTGCGCCTCATCCTTCCCGGCGAGCTTGCCAAGCACGCCGTGTCTGAAGGCACCAAGGCCGTCACCAAGTACTCGTCGAGCACGAAATAGGTGGTTCGATGATCTTGTCTTTTCTCTCTTTTTTTCTTTCTCAATAGGGCATAGGATTTGCTTTGGCATTTGGGAGTCATGATGAGGCTTGCGCCAGGGCACACAATCCTTGGGGTCTCTTAATGCAACGCGTCACGGATGGTCTGCTTTTTATGGGGGCAATGTTTTTTTATCGGTCAATTACGGGGTTTTTGCGGTTGTACACTACATACCTTGATATCAGGGTTTCGGGCGAAATGAAATCGTGCATATGAACAAACCCACCTGGTCTCCATCGGTAAATGTGACGATCGGTACTCTCTTGTTTGCACTTCTACCTCTCCATGTCTAGTTTCGTATTGGTCTATTGGAAATAATAGAACTCAACATCCAGACATCGCGGCACAGATAACTAAGACACGAACATGTTACGTATTTGGGACCTACATAATCCCTTTTGGACTATTCATGATGATGGTTTACGAAAAAAAAAAATCTCAAAACTCCCAACACACATCATGTACGACCAAGGCCAGCCTTCGACTTCTTGACGACCTGAGCGACGGGCTCCAAGATCCCCTTGTTCTCCAAGGCTCCCAAAGCCATGCCTTTGCTCCAGCCCATCTTCTCCAACATCGCGCGACCTTTATTTTCCTGGCCCAACTCAGGGGCAGAGGCGCCAACCACCTCTCCTTCTCGAAGTACCAGGGCTTTTACGCTCACATGTGCACTTCCTCTGAATCCATCCCGGGGAGTGTCGCCCCGTGGACCAGCTACGTCAGCACGGGGGAAGTACTTGCGCCCCACCCGGCGGGCGGCACCATCTACCTGGCGTGTCGCTTCTGTGATCTGGTGCGGTTTGAATGTGATGGTCCGCTTGCTCCGGTAGAGAACCGGCCGGCGTGTTGTGCCCTTTCCGGTAGACTGGGACTTGACATTGAATTTCAAGGCAAGCTGGTGGAGGACCATACGCCCATGTTTGTCGAGCGGGGGGAATTCGAGACTGTGTCACCGAGTTAGCCAACGTTTGTTCTAGCTCCGATGCCTCAAATGCCTTACCGCTCATCCGAGCTGATCAGAAAAGCCACCAACTCAGTTTTGAAGTCTTCCAGTCTAAGGCCCACTGGATACTTGACGCGCAAATCGTCGGGGCTGGCGTTCTTGTCAAGAAGACCCTGACCACGTAATGACTCACGGGCAAGCTTGCGCTCTTTCTTTCGTTCCCGATCGCGTGACCAATCCAACTTCAGTTTTGCCTCGATTTCAGAATCCGAAATGTTGAAGTTGGGTGGTTGTTTGGAGCGTCGCTTGCGGGGTACTGGCACAGTCCAGTCGGCAAGATCCAGATCATCAAATGCATCAGCAACGGAGCTGGCATTCGCAGATTTGGCGAACGATGAGGGTGTTGCCCTTTTCTGGCCTCCCTTCTTCGCCCCTCGCTTGCTTACTCCGAAAGACTCGGGTATCAAAACAAGCTCATCGCTCCCCAACCCAAGCTCTTCCTGCTTGGCAAGAAGTCGTGCAAGCCCCTCGTCATCCATATCGGCGTCCATATCGTCGTCTTCATCTGCCTCATCGTTCTCATCCCCGTTATCTTCGTCGGCATCACTAAGACCAGAACCACTAGACTCAGCTTGTTGTTCGTCGCCTGACAAATCTTCAACCACTGGCATGTCATTCTCGTCACCGGAGCCGAGGTTGAGAGCGAAATTGTCACCCCCAAGATCCCGACGGTTGTTGAATGAACGTAGCTGGTCTGAAATAAAGTCATCCTCTGGGTTGGCACTCATGTTGGCGATATAATCTGCCAGAATGGCGTCCTCTTCATCATCTTCGTCGGTTTTGGGAATCTTGGAAGCTTTTGAACGGCTGCGCTGGCGTCCTGCTCGTTTTTCGCGGGCTACAGGAATCACTTCGGGATCATCACGGAGGCTCGTTTCCTCTGCAGCTGTAGGTTTGGTCTTATCACCGGTCGGAGTTATGGCGGTTGTGGTATTGGTAGCAACGCCGTTACGAACCACAAAGTTGCTTTGCGGAACTGTTTTGGCGTTACCTGCACGGCCTCTGAAGAGGATAACTTCCTCGCTGGAATCAGATTCGGCCAATGATGGCTTCCGGATGGGAACCAGGGGTGGCGGATGGACAGCACGGTGTTTGTCTCGGATAGCTTTATCTCCGCTAACGTCGAAGAAAAAGAGGTCTTGTGCCTGTTCTTGGGGAGTCTCGCTGGAGGGGTTGTCTTGAGACGTCGAGTTGGAAAGAACCATCTTGCCCTTGGCCGCTGAATCTAGCTCAACGAGAGTCGTCTTCTCTATGACAGCCTCCGCGGATACGTTGAGGTTGACGTCTACGGTAGTGATGTCCATGTCGTCGGCCTTGCTCTCTGTAGCCTCGCCAGGGGGAACTTTGTCTTGCTCGATATCTTCAAGAAGTTTTAAAGGCTCGCTGTATCCAGCACTAACAAACGATACAGGCTTTTGTCGAAGTTTCACCGTACCGGAGGTCCAGGCTGAGTCAAGGTGGTGGGACTGAGTGTTCCTAACCTCATCCTTCAAAGAGAAGTCTGTTGGCGTTAGATGAGCTAAGTCCTGCAACCAAGCCAGGGCGGAATCTGGAAATCGTACCATTTGAGTGCGCGACACTCTGGAAAAACGTCGTTGAGGAAAAGGAACTGACATGGCCCTGGACTCCGGGGGTAGATCGAAGGTGAGCAGCGTTGGGGACTGCATATGGCCGCTTTCCCCTCTTTGGCGGCATAGTCGTCAAAAATATAAATCCTATCGTTTGAAGAAGCGGGAGAAGGGGATTCCGAATTCAGCGAAAACCGGCAGGTAGTGCAATGCCGAATATTTTATGCGGACAACTCTGGTAGTAGAATGAATAAGCTGCGGTGGCGTAGACGAAATACCAGGGGTCGAAGTCGGTTCTTGGCGTGTTTTCTGGAAGTTTGGAACGAAAGTCCAAAGAGAGTAAAAATCTCCCAGCTTATCCAGTCACACGCCTTCCAGATAAACTTGTGGCCTGGCAAGCGATGTCTGGGGATGGAGCAGTGCTGCCGTTGCCTCAGTGGCAGGAGGATGTCATGAAAGTCTAGCTTTGTATTACTCTTGGCACGCAAAGAAGGTACACTGTTGGAATTGGGGGGTTAGGGTAACCGTAGACTGACCCAAAGGGCTTGGCGGTCGCCGGGTGTGCACTCGGCAGGCAGCCTTCGCCACAGCTGGCATCTGGTCGTTGTGGAGACCCCCGCGACTCATATGACATACCTCCCTCATGAGCTTGTCCTACCTCTCACCTCTCAAGATCAACCCAGCTTTCTTCCTTCCAGCCTTCTGGCCGTTCCAAAGTCAAATATTGCCGTGCTGCTCCCTGTGGTGCTCCGTCCCATATCGTTTCTTTCGCCAACTTCATCTGTTCTTTGCCTTTGGGCCATTGCTAGAGCTATCTTATCTCCTGCGCAGTGACACTGCATGCCCTTCTTTGTTAGCTCGCGCTACGGTGTAGCTGGTGTCCTCAAGAAGCTCACAGGATCCATCCGATCAGGAGGACAGGGCTTCTAGCAGGCCGGCATTAACTTCCACCTTGTTTTTGAACCACATTGAAAATTACTGCCGCGACCGTATTCTTTTCCGCTTCTCTGCTTTGTTATAGCTTCACCAAATCCGATGAAGTCGACGCGCTCAGGCAGCAACAACTGGCAATCGGCCGTCTCGGGAACATCACCCAAGATCGCGACTGCGATGGAGGCAGCGATATCCGCCGGGGCCGAGGTCAGCCGTGTAGGCCGACGCATCTTGCAGAGAATCTGGGACCCAGAGCCTACCAATGATCGAAGCAACAATGAACCAGTGTGGTGTTTGGGTTGCTCATATCTCCTCGATACAAAAGAATACGGCACACCCCCTACGCTCACCACCAGCACACCACCCGCAGATGCCACTCTTACCGCTATAGTACCCGAGCCTGGGGCAGGCGTGGAATCGGAGCCACGAAGAGCCACAGAGAAGGCGGGAGTGCCGGTGAATACATCGAATGCAAAAGCAGTTGCCCCAATCCCCGTTGCGGCTAGTGGTCAGCACCAGCTACAAGTGCCCGAAACACCTCCTCTCTCCGTTGCCAGCAGTTTTGATTCAGCTCTTGCGTACGAAGAGCCCGGTCAAGATGGCGGCTGGCCCCCGGCCTTTCTCGATGATTTCGAGTCCCGCATATGGATGACATATCGTACCGGATTCGAAGTAATTCCTCGCTCGACCGACCCGAAAGCGGCCGCAGCCTTGTCCTTCACCATGCGATTCAAGACTTCTTTCGGGGACCAGACCGGCTTTTCATCAGATACGGGCTGGGGATGCATGATCAGGTCTGGGCAGAGCTTGTTGGCCAATGCAATGTTGATCAGCCGTGCAGGACGTGGTAAGGAATCTCCGGCCATGCTTGCTATTGTGTGTGTGAACTGTTGCTGATTTCGTCTCTCTTGTGCAGCTTGGAGACGAACGACGAACCCTGACATCGAACGCGAAATCGTGTGCCTATTCGCAGATGATCCTCGTGCTCCATATTCCATACAGAACTTTGTCAACCATGGTGCAGCTGCTTGTGGAAAGTACCCTGGAGAGTGGTTTGGCCCATCTGCGACGGCACGGTGCATCCAGTACGTGACCCTTCTCTGGATGGAAACTTGGCTCTAACAAACAACAGGGCTCTGGCCAAGAAGCACGATAGCTCCCTGAGAGTCTACCTGACACGAGATCTTCCTGAAGTATACGAAGACAACTTCATGTCAACCGCGAACCCTGACGGCAACCACTTTCACCCGACATTAATTCTGGTATCTACGAGGCTGGGGATTGACAAGATCAACCCAATCTACCATGAAGCGCTCATATCTACCTTACAATTGCCACAAGCCATTGGTATTGCTGGGTAAGCAAGTCCTGATGCACCTTGCATATTCATGTTCTTTAGCCTCCGTCTAACACACTCCAGCGGACGCCCGTCATCATCCCACTACTTCATCGGTGCTCAGGGGCAATGGCTCTTTTACCTCGATCCCCATCACCCACGGCCAGCGCTTCCTTATCGAGAGAATCCGAACGACTATACCATAGAAGAATTGGACTCCTGCCACACCCGACGATTGCGGCATCTCCACGTAGAAGACATGGACCCTAGCATGCTCATTGGCTTTCTCATCAAGGATGAGGATGATTGGGATCTGTGGAAGAGCTCTGTCAAGCATGTTCAGGGCAAGGCCATCATCAATGTCTCGCCTCATGACCCGGAGCACGGGATGGGTTTCGGTCGAGCTGGAGCGATTGATGAGGTGGAGACACTGAGTGACGAGGACGACACAGATACGGTGCTTGATTTATGACTTGTTTGAAGGTAATATTTTGGGATATGGCAACAAGTAGTTCTGGGGAAAGGGGCGTTGCCAACGCCGTGGTGTGCATGCCCAGCTTAGGGGTCTCTCAACAAAACCTTCTTCCCGCTATGATGTTTGAGAATCGAGGACACTCTGCTCGATTAGATGATGCACAGCACTAGCTGATACACGCACCGGTATGGTGATTATTTCTTTCTCTTCTGTTTTCCAGATTTACCAGGCGTGGCAGAGACCGGAGCTGCATGGTTGAGTTCTTTGATGTGTTCGAAGAGCTTGTTCTTGCTTGGGAATGCCTCTTTACATACCACACATTGTAGCTGAAGCCCAGCAGTCAGCATCGAATATCATTATTGAGCTTTGCAATACACAGAAACCTACCGAATCCTGGATTTGTGACTCTGCCTGCCGAGCTGCTTTCTTTTCTCGCTTCAGTTTCGCCTTACCAACCTTTTTACCTGGCGCCGGTTCGCTGAGTGTGAGGTTGGCAACGCTCGCAGCTGTAGAATCTGCCAAGTCTCCGCTATCGTCTGCTTGTGGCTGTGACACCTTCTTGGTGGCTCCTGCCCCGTTGACAATGCGCTCTTCCACCGTGGAACGTGGTGCATACTCGTCATCTTCTGGACTCGACGATGATTGTGTGCTCTGTTCTTGATCATCATCCTGCTCGACGGGCCCTTGCTTTTCTTCTCCGATCCTCCCGTCCTCAGAGGCCAGCGGTGCTGTGTTGGTCATGTCCCTCTCTCTCTGGATGACTTGGGCGTCCTGCTCTGGCTGTGGAGACTGCGGCGTAGATGCCCCTGGTGAATCTTGAGGATTTAGATCGAAGTGCATGTTTTCCTTTCTCATCTGTCTTTTCAACTGCTGTACTGCCTTGATATGTTTCTTGCTCTTTTCGTGAGCCTCGAACTGTTTCTCACTCCTAAACGTCTTGTTGCACACCACGCATTCGATCTCCTCAACCTCGGACTCTTCTTCCGACATGGAAAACTCGCCCTCGTAGTCTTGGCGTTCTTTCGGCTGCGCCCAGTCTGGCACCACGTACTCGGCCATCTTTTCCTGGTGCGCTGCTCGCGACCGGGCCGCCTGGGCTGCCGCGGAATTGCGAAGGACCTGCTGCCGTTCCGCCTCAGACTGTGTGTTGGGAACATAACGGGGATCTCTTTTCTTGACAAACGCAACCAAAGAGAGGACCGCATCGTTGAATTCTCTGATGCCCTCATCGCGGAGCTTCTTGTTCTCCTTTTCCATCAAGCGACGGATCCTCCTGTCTGGTGCGTGCGCAAGATGGTGCACATCCTTCCACTGAAAGGATTTCCTCGTCGAGAAGCTTGACCACACATTATAAAAAGACTTGCCCACGGTGTTGTAGTCGTCTTCCGCTTTGCCAAATGGTGGGTAGTGTGTGGGGGTGGTTCCGTCCCACTCGCAGGCTGCAGCTTCTTCTGCGGCAAGCTGTTCGAAGAAGACGTTCAATATCCCAAAGAAACCACGCGGGCTGTCATCCATCGGTACGCTGGAATTGAATCGACTCATCAGTGCAAAGACAGCATTCGCCGAGGTGTGATTGCCGGGGTCCTGTCCGCCAGGCACACCCCCAGCCACTTCGTCATCACCCCTGAGGATAGCATCTCGATGCGAATCGTACCAAGCTCGTTCCTGGGGGTCCGATAGTATTTCGTATGCTGTTTGTAGCTCGGCAAACTTCCGCGTCGCGTTCTCGGTATCGTGGTAGTTGCGATCGGGATGCAGCTCCAACGCCTTTTTCTTGTAGGCCCTCCGAATTCTACATCCAAAAGGCCTCAAAGTCAGACTACATTCATCTTGTACGGGAGCAGGGAGTCTCTCTCACTCTTCGTCCGGCACCTGACGATCAACCCCTAGAACTTCATAATAGCATGTTTTCTGCTGGGTGACGGTGGTGGCCGCCTGACTGGCACCCCGAGGTGTGGATTGGTCAGCTCCCATTCGTATAATAAAGGGTGTTTTGATAGTTGGGTGCTCAGGGTTCTACACGTCCGCTGAAGAAAGTGATAACGAATCAAGAAGCATTTGCATGTTTCCATGCTCCTGGGAAGTAGGGGTCCGAGGGTCCTTCCAGAGACGCTTATGCTTGTCATGCTGCCAACATTTTAGTGGGGCCATGGCGGGGGCGGGGCTACTGTTGGAAATCTTGATGGAGACCATTCTGGTGGGCTGACCCATCACCACAAACCTACAGGGCCAAATGACGACGAAATCCCGATTGGGAAAAGTGGCATGTGTCTCAATGCCCACCACAAAATAAGCGGTGCATCTAGACTTTTCACGGATACATGGCGAGGTCGGACGAGCGTTGAGGGGTTCAGGGTTCAGGGTTGTTTACGGGTTGAGAAAGGAGAGATGAACACGCTCGATTCCGTTTGATTCCTTCTTTTCGCTAGCTTGAACGCTCCGAACGTTTGGCCGCTGCTCAAAGGCGCCATTACAAACCTCTTGCTTGACAGACTGCAACCGCCACCCATTTTGTCACGTTAACCGTGGGGAATTGGCTAGGAGGGAGGCCAAGCAGCCACTACCAGGTGTCCTATCCTTGGCTTCCGCGCTTTGGCTGGGTCTGGCCGTCTGTCACCTCGTCTTGAACCACCTTCACCGAGAAGCAACATTACCTATAAATCCCCTCCCGCCCCATCTTGACCCGCGACTGCAAATTCGGCACCCTGAGAAGCATATCGAGCGCCTTGTCCCGCCATGCACATGCCATCCTCGCAGTTACATTTTAAGCCAGCCAGGTCAGTGGTAACTTTACGATGAAATTCGGCCACGCCTTCAAGGAGGCCTTGGAGGCTGAGACCTATCCAAGACACTGGGTAGACAAGGCGGTTCCCTATCGTCAGCTCAAAAAGATCCTTGGTAAGGTGCGGGAGGAGCTGATAAACAATGGCTACGATCCGGACACGTTACAAAAGCTGGTAGCTGAGCGAAACGCCGAATACCGCCTAGAGTCGGACGACTCCCAGCTCCTGAGACCCAAACTGGTTGTGCGTCCAGCCACTACAAGTGCTCAACCTCTGGATCAGAAAACAGAAGTCGACTCGCTGCCAGAATCACCAGTATCTCTATCTCCCACCTCTTCCGCCAGCACAGAACCTGGACCATCGGCCTTGACACATGACTCTGCGCTCCCGTGTAGCCATCGCCAGCAACAAACCAGTGACGGCGAGTGGGTGGACGTCCCGTTGGATGCCGATGCTCGCTTTTTCAGTGTCCTCCAGCAGGATGTCAATGAGTTGGATACTCTCCAGGACAAGGAGCGGGTTGCCATGATCGAAAACATCCACGTGATTGGAAACGAGATCGCACAAGTAGCCAGACCGCGAAAACCAGTCATCGACTTCTCCCGGTCAGATCTGTATCGCTGGCGCGAGATTCTGGACCTCTACCTCTCGGCCGAGGTCTTCTTCTCCACCAACGAGGTTTCCGGCGGTGCTCGCAGTAGCGACAGAGCTCGCAAGCAACTCGTCTGGTTCCAAGAAGAGGTGGGCAAGCGCCAGCTGCCGCAGAAGTTCAAGATCAAGTCCAGCGCCGTCGCCTTCCAACACTTCCTCTCGTTGAATGCCACGCTGCTGCAGAACTTGCAGTTCCAGGAACTGAATCAGACGGCCATAACAAAAATAATCAAAAGTAGGCTCTCGGAATGCTCAGGGTGCCACTCGTCCCATCTTCAAGCTGTCCACTAGACTAACCCGCTCCCCCTTTTGCTGTAGAATTCGACAAGAGAACGTCCCTGGGGGTGAAAAAGACTTTTCCAAAAGTCATGAACTCGGCACACTTCATCTCTGAGACCATATCCAAGGACATCTGCGCCCAGCTGTCTCGAGACGTCATCAGCCTTGTCCCACAAGTCGTGGATTACACGTGCATTGTCTGTAAGTGACGCATATGTTGTGCAGCCTAGCGGGTGGGCTGTGTCTCGGTGCTGAGGCCAGGAGAGAACCAATGTAATGTCTTCGATACTGACCTCCCTCTCTCTATCTCACACAGGCCTCTCCATATGTTGGCTGCCCATCCGACTGGACTGCGACCATCTGTTTTGCATCCGGTGCATGATCAAGATGCAAAACAGGCAAAAGCGCTTCTGCCCGCTATGTCGAGCCGATGTGATTCAACGGGCCAACGAAAGTATGTTGTCTCTTTCAATCCCGCTGTTTCATGAATCCTGGTCGCTAACCTTCCACACAGCACATATCGATATGGAGCTCGTTCGATACTTGGAAAGGTGGTTTCCAAAGGAGACCAAGGAGAAGCAGAGGAACAACGAGGACGAGCGGCGAAAGGAGCTCCTGGGCGATTTGTACGTGGAAGGTGCACAGCCGCCGTGTATCGTGATGTGATCCCTGTGCAAGGGAAGCAAAAAAGGAAGGGATAATTTACCTAATGGAAGTTGTACATAAAGTCAGACACAGTGATACCTCAGCAGGAGTTTTGAGCGAATTAGGTATGGTAGCATTACGGGGGCTTTGGTTGATGTTGCTTTCAAATTCTATGCGTTCTACACGGAACTGCCTATTGCGAGCCGTGCTCTGCTACATGCAATGCAGCTTCAAACACCTTTACAATATCAGCAGTGTCCTCCAACCCGACGCTGATGCGGATCAGATCAGGGTCAACACCAAATTGCGACGCCCATTCCAACTCTTGATAGTGAGCCAAAAGCACATAGGGGGATGTCAACGTGAAGTTGGTTCCCAGGCTTGGCCCCTTGGCTGTGTCAACAGCATCATAAAATGCAACAGCCTGCTCCTTGCGGTGGAACACGACCGAGATCAACCCGCCGTACCCTCCACCAGGAACCTTGCAGGCTTCGTAGTTGGCGCTGGACTCGTTATCACGCGGGTAAAAGACCGCCTTGATGAGCTTGTTCTCACGAAACACATCACAGATGGCCTCAGCGTTGGCGTTGATCCGTTCAATCCGAGACGCAAAGTCCCGGCTATTTCGCTCCATGAACATGACATCCTCGGGCCAGTATGTGTCCTCGTACCCCGTGCGGGCAAAGTCTTTTAACGCAGAGTAGTATCGACTGTTTGGGTTAAAGATGGCACTGCCTCCCATGACGTTGCAGTCACCCGAGAAGATCTTGGTCAAGCTAGAGACGACGATATCGGCGAAGGGGAGAACGTTGATGTTGGCAAAGGTCCCGATTGTTTCGTCCACCACGACGGCAAAGTCGTACTTGTCGGCCATCTCGCGGATGCGGGCAAGATTGGGGCAAGTGAGGAGCGGATTGCCCGGGAATTCACAAAAGAGCCCCAGGAAGCGCTCGCCTGCTTTCAGCCGAGCTTCGAGGTCGTCAAGGTCGGCCTCGGACGCATTGCCGTAGAAGACGCATCCAGGGCCAAACTTCTCAAGAATCTTGAGGGTGTCAACATAAGGGAACCCGAAGTTGACCGACTTGAGACCTCCACGCGCTCCAAGAAGGGCACGGTGAGCGTTAAAGATGGCGTTCATGCCGGCTGGGAAAAGATAGATGTCATCCTCGCGGAGGTTGACAACACCACGGGTATTGGATTCCATCTCCTTTTCGGGCACCGGGCTAGCTGTTAGTTCACGATCGCTTCTGAGCGCCCCGGCAATTCGCCGTTTGATGGCCGATTTGGCGGGCTCAACAAAAGAAACATCCAGGTTCCGACCGAAGCGCTCCTCCAAGAATCGCGACGTCTCCTCTCTGTCAGGGACGGTTGTTGACGTTTGGGATGTGGTTGATGGCTTTCCTGCGTCGAGAGAGCCCCCTCGTTGGTAACGCTTTGGTCCTCTGCATGGCTTTGGGCTCATGGGCGCGGCCGTGTTCTTGGGGGGTTCATCCACACGCAACAGACCATCCTTGAAGAGACTGTGACAGAACTCTGCCCTGCGGCTAGAGACACCATCGCCCGTGTGCTGCCAATACTGCTTCAGAAAACTGAAACCCTCGGGAGAGCAGATGACGGCCGAGATAGAGGGAGATAGCCCACGAAGAGCCTTGGACTGCGGGTTTGCCGGGTCAAGAACCAGATGCAGAACTTCAAGAGATGACACGATGGCAGGAGGAGCGCGTAATTTGACAAAGCTCACACACCGGGCAGCAACCTGACGAGTTGGGAACAGAAAAGCAACCAGCCCTTTCCGCCCAGTTTTCTCCAGAATGTCTTTGGCAAAAGCTTGGATGCTCCTGTGGATGAAAAAGCTGGAGAATAGATTGCCGTTTTAGTATCATGGCACATGATCAAGACCTTTGAAAATGAATGGTGCGAGCAGAAAAGATGAAGCAAGTGACATACCGAGGATAACCAGTGGTCATACTGCCAACAACCCAGTCCTCTCCTTCTTCATAACCAACATTTGCTCTCCACGTTGGTAGTGACACGCTCACCGCCTAAGCAATCATCGAGATGTTGTGGTTAGCCACCAAGACCGAACATGTTTAAACAGTAAGAGTGACCATAAAGTTGCTTACATGCTCCGTGTGCGGCGGGATAGACTCGCCGAGGTTGAAGGCGGGCATTGTATCTCAAGAAGCGTAGAGTCACAGTTTTGACTCGGTTGTTGCGCTCCTAACTTTGCAATCTCTCTGTCCTCGGCTTCGACAGCACGCAGAGCGTGATAAGATAGCGTCTGTTATGAGGTGGTGTACGCCGAAATCAGCGAGAGATTCCCCAAGTTTCTAGACAAGAGAGGAAATGGTCGAGCTCGATTGGTGGTACGGATACTGTCAAGGGGGATGGTACACTAAAACGGTCCAAGGTAGAGATGTGTGGTGGGTGCAGAGTGGATGGGTGTACCCACGTTTCCGACGTCCAGAATTGACCAATTATGAACTTTATTTTATACTAATGGAATGTTCCTGGTCCCTGTATCCGGTCCATCGTCTTAACTATGCCGCCACGAACTGCGTGGGATGGCGTGGGTTGGACTATCAAAGCGAACAGTTGCACATTGCATTCCGAGTATCGGAGGCAAAAAACGGAGTCATTTTTTCTACCGGCTTCCTGATTTCTTGGATGTGTCTACATGCCTTACGGGTAACCAGCTTGTATCCCTCTTCCCTCCCGCCGCTACCAGCGAAACACATGGCATTCAACATCAAACAAGAGCAGAAAGAAGCACTGTCTGGTGCCGCTATGTCAGTGGGCAGTGACCAAGTGTGCTTGCCATGCCAAATGGTGTCAATGAAGCTTTGTGGACAGCGACCCCCACCTTTCCGGAACGTGCCCCACTCTTGCTACCTACACCTCAATCCTCCCAGTCATCGAAGGACACAAGGATTGGCAGAGGACTAGAAGTGAGAGAGAGTCTCAATAGAAGACACTTTAGCAGGTTGCAAGTGGTATACCGGCGGCAACCAACCGTTTGATTCTGCCCGTGCTATGAAAACAAAATGTTCGGCCTATACATATGTCTGCATATTTCGGATGACAGGGGTCCCAGTCTTGCGGCACTCCGGGCCCGGATGGGTCTCGTAGACGGTTGGTAGTTACGGGTACGAGCTCCCGACGCCGCCCGAAGCCGGTGGTGATTGGCAGCGGTCCACCGTTGTAGCAGTCCAGTGCCATATTCACACCAAGTCGGACCACCGCGACCACTTTGTAAGCATGGCCAGTACATCCAATTTAGATCCAGGCCCTATCCTGCCCGGTTCATTAACTCTAGCTTACATATGTCCACCATCCGTTTCTTTGCTCCCACCCTGAAAATGTCATGACCCAATGCACCTGTTCCCCCAACCAGTAATCTTTGCGTGTATCCATCTCCGCCATGATTTAGCCGCTCCCAGTACGTGATGCCCCCCTGAAAAAGCCAAACAAAAAATATAAAAAGAGAGCAGTAAAAGAAAGTGAAATCATCATACAGATCGCTCTGTGCCAAAACTAGCATGCTCTCACCCGTTCGGAAGAGTAGGTAGCCAATATGCGTCGCCTATATGCTCTAAATCAGATATCGTCATTAACGACTCCTCCGGCTTCCAACACAGCTAATGCTATCGCTGGGCGCAATGCTGTCAGCATCATCATCGTCGTCGTCCTCCCCATAGCGAGCGCGACTGCTTCCTCCACCGCTCCGGGGAAGTGGCGCATGGCGGGCTGAATAGTATGCACCAGCTCGATTATCGCTGGGGTAGGTGGCCTCGCGAGCTGAGAGATACGGCGGTGCCCTCCCACTTGCGAGGAGCGGGTCGCGCGCCGACGTATACGGAGAAGCCCGGCTATCTGAGAATGGGATGTGACGGGCCGAGCCATAAATCTCCTCCCGGCTGTATCCTCGAGGACTGTCGCTAACCTTGTATGTTGTTGTGGTTACACGACTGCCCGACCTTGAGTGCGAGACAGGATGTGATGACGGCAGATAAGCATCCGCTGGCGATGCGCGGAGCGTATTACTGGACCTTTGGCTGCGCGAAGACACGTAGCTATCCCGTTCTGGGCCATCATACGTATACCCACGTTGGACAATGGGCGGATGTTTGGAGGACTTGGAGCTCACATAACCGCGGTACTCGGGCTCCCCGAGAAGATATGGCTCGCGGCTGTTGGCTGCTTCACTGCGTGGGCGTACAGAAGCCCGCGAACGGGGTATTGAGTGACGGCCCCGCGCATCGTCATAGGCGCCATCCACATCTCTGCTCCTCGGCGAGGTGACTTGGGTATATCGAGCAACGTAGTCTGGCCCTTGCCTCCGATAATCGAGACCGGAACCATACTCGTCAGAATACCGCCCCTTATCCGCGGGCCGCTCCGTGTCCAAATACCGGCCTTTGCGATCCAAATAGCTGTCATACTTGTCCGGGAAGGTGGAGCGGCGGCTAAAGGGGGGGGCATCATAGTCGCCGTGCGCCGAAGCACGGGTGCGGTCGCCCCTGACCATGTTGTAGGTGAGAGCAGCTCCGGCAGCAACGCCAGCAACCCCGAGCAAAGTTCCGACAACAGCGCCGGCACTTAGTCCGGTCGAGTTCTCCCTGGCCGAGGCAGCCGGTTCGTAGTTGGAAGTGCCCGTCGTGACACTGCGCTTCAATCCTGCCGCCGGGGGAGGAGGCCTTCTCACGTCGTGGTCGTGGCCGTGGTGGTCGTCCTCGTCGTCGTAGTCTCCGACTTCTACTTCTTCTTCTTCTTCGTAGTCGTGGTAGCTCAGCGAGCGTCGTGGATCAGCCCGGGGTGGGCCGCTGTACGCAGAACTGGCACCGGCAGGGGCGGGTCGTGACGAGCCTGCCACGTCGAAATTCCAGGTCAATATACGGCCTGCTTCTTCGTCGGTTGACCGTGTGCGCCGGACAGTCGAGCCGCTGTAGTGTGGAGGGTAGTCGAGAGGGGGCTGGTACACAATCTCCATGATGTTGTAGTCCAAGTCACTTATAACCACGCGGGTCCCGCCACTGTGCGTTGTCGCCCGGTGGGCAGACGCGCCACTGGCCGCCGGGTAGGCCTCGGCAGGGTGGCGCAAGTATGATGTGTCCCGAAGATCGGGATTAGCCCGAAATGCAAACCCAAAGGCTTCGTCGGCCGCGCCCGGCGAGGGAGCGCTGACCGCTATGCGTGAGCGCCTCAGGGGCCGGTCTCTGCTTGCGACCACCTGGCGGAGCTGGAAAACTGGATCCCGTTCTGAATTGCCAAATGTAACCGACGGGAAGTGCCCGCGCTCTGTGCTGATGTGTCGGAGGCCCAGAGGTTCAACAATGGCGGAATAGAAAGACAACGATGAGGAGAGGTCCTCCACCTCGAGGAAAGGGAGTTGGGGCATTTTACACGGGGGAGAAGGGGTGAGGGGATCCAGGGCGGTTGTGCCTCAGCGGAAAGGCAGCAGCCTTCGGCAAGAGCACAATGACAAGGAGCCTGTGTGATGAGTGTGGTGGTGCAACGCGACGGCGGCAGCAATAGGCCGGCAAACGGTCGAACTGCGTGCCCAAAACAGCCTTGGGGGTGTGATGCTGTGGTGTTCAGGGCGCTGTGGCGTGACGAGGCAAGATGGCAGGGATTGTTCTGTGAGCTGGTATCCAAGCAAGCGCTGCCACGGGGATGACCATCACCAAAAGAGGCCCAAGTTTCCAGCCCAGCTGCCCGTTTGACTCTTCTCGGGAATGGTGTAGAGCTTGGGCTCTTGGAGCGGAGGGGGAGAACAACTGTGAAGATGATATTCGCGCTCTGCAAAACGTTGCTCAGCTCGCTTGGTTTGAGTGGAACGCTGGACAATTTGGCAACAACGGCAATGTGTGCGTCGCCAGTCGGATCCATGCGACGCAGCACAGCTCAAGACTACTTGGAGAAAAGGGCCACAGGGCATGGGAATTATGGGGTACGAAAGGGCTGGCAAAACGGTGCCCAACCTCGAACGGGCAGCGATAGGGAGACATGCCCCGCAGTTGTGGTGCTCCTGACGCAAGTGGTTGACAGGGTCTCCAGATCTGAAAGATGGTGAGGGCCATTTTGAGACAAGGTGAAGTTCGTCCCCACTAGGAACTGCAGAACCGGGCAATTCGAAGCAACCCGGTTGGCTTGAGGCTTCGAAAGATCCTATCCTGCGAGTGGACGCTGAGCCACACCATCTTGTTGCAACAAGTATGCCATCCCTCGAGGGTGGGAGAAGGCTCAATGGAAAAGTGACAGGGCTCAGCCAGCAGGCTGTGGCAGTCTATTTTTCAAGACTGGGCCATCCTATAGGTTGCTAAGAGGATGCCACTCTGAGATACGTCCGCGGTGGTTACTTGAGAAAACCGCCAGGCTGTGTTCTGCTCTCCAGAGCTGATGATCTGCATTCATACCCCGAGCCAGATGGCGGCCTCTTGTGGCGACGGAACTGGCAAACTGACAGAATTGTTCGATCGGCTGGTCATGTTTTGTGGTCATGATAATCTTGAACCCCAACTGGTTATGAGGCCCTGCGAGGAGGCGGGGAAAGAAAACAGAGAGACGTTGTGGTGCTGACGATGAGCCAATCATAGAGACCGCAACACTCGGAGCCAAGAACTGGTACCTGGATCTGAGTGGTCCGGGGAGCCAAGACGGAGTGACTGCAATGCGGCCCCGCGTGAGGCCGCCATTTGGTGCGGGGCCGATGAAGCGTGATTGCTGTTCGGAACTGTGCTGAGCGCCTATGAGGGAGCGGCCAGTATGGGAATGCAGTACAGATGCCGGGCGTCATGCGGCACTGCATTGATATGGCTCAGTGAAGGTGGCTGTTCCTGTACGAGGAGGTAGATAGGTAGGTGCCTGGCTGCCTTCCAGTTGTCCCAGAGCATACTGAAATATAGTCGAGATTAGCGGGCGGCCAACCAAACTTGAAGCAAATCAACATATCAAACTAATCACGCATGAATTTGAACACAAGGTCTCGAAGACAACCGGTCAGGCAACTCCCACATCGCATTATGCTACCACAAAATCTTGACTATTCCACCCGGACGCAAACACCTCTCATACCACACCATCAACATTGTGCCCTGCTTCGTTCTGTCTTACTACTGCCACCACAAAGGCCCCCCTGCCGTTCGGTAATTCCGCTTCTCGAAGCCTAGAATAGGGTATAGCTGTCACCGATCGAAGTGCCGCTTACCACGGCGCCGAGGTGGGGTTATTATGAATGAGGGGGTATGAACGTGTAAAAATAGGTTGCTTGAGTAAATAAAGAGTAAAGGAAAAGGGTAAGAAAGGCAGGCTATGAAATAGGGGATATGTGAGCCAAGTTGAAGTGGCACCACGCGACGACGAAAGCGTCTTGGATCCGTTGTTGAATGCCCCATGTTTTGGTTGCAAAAACACCGACAGCTCAAGCACAGACGACCCAAGTTCCGGTTGACAGTGATCGTTCACCGCGATGTTGTATCACGGAATAGATCATTGCGACCGCAGCTCCCCACCTTGTGAGACGGAGAGACCGACAGATCTTTTCATCCTGGACCCCAATTTCATGCCCGCGTTGTTGTCGGCAGGACTGATTATAGAATGTCCCAGCAGTCCTCGGCGGCGTGGCAGAACTTGCTGCAGGCAACACTGGCTGAAAGGCTGTAGTTGCTGATCGAAATCTTCTCGTCCACATATGCGTCGGCAAAGTTGTCGGCGCCCTTGGCCATGGCGCCAACAAACACGCAGATGCTCTCGTCATCGCCGAGGGTGTCGACATAGTCGCGCACACGAACCAGAGGGGCCTCGAAACTGAGCGTGACCTTCCGGCAGTTGGGCGGAAGATGATCGGTGATGGGGTTCTGAATCACCTTGAGAAGCTTCTCCTGCGAGTTGGCGCCCTTGATGGAAAGGCGGTGCAGCAGCTGCACCATCAGACCAGCGAAGCGTTTGAAGGTGCGCGGGATGCGAACAGAGGGGGACACCTCGATCAGAACACCCTTGGCTGTTTGAATATAGATCTGGAGTTTCCCTGCCTTGTTCACCGGCGAGTCGAGAAGGGTCAATAGGCACTGCGAAACACACGACATCTGTCAGCAAAAGGAACAATCTGCAAATGTGAGCCGTGGCATGTTCAAACCTGATGAGTGATATCTGGACGGGCATCACTGATGTCCCTGTTCATCTTGCGCATGACGCCAATGTGTTCGTCGCTGTTGAGCAAGGAGTACTTATCCTCCCTTTGCATGCCCATACGACCAGCGCCGCCGTGCGAGGCCTTGTAGGTTTCGAGGCTGGCATTAGAGAGGACGACGATAAGGCGCTTGGTGTTCTTGTCGGTTGGGGGGATAGGCACATGCTGCTCAGCAACCAGCTGCGGCAGGGCTGGAGGAGGCAACGACTGGGTACCTGTCATGTTGGATTGCCTGGTCAGAACACCGTAATTTGTTGAAAAAAAGGACTTCTGCACAGGAAGGCTTGTGGCTGCCGATCTGGTGTTGGCAATAGTCTCCAAACAAATTGTTTGATGGCTCTCAAGTTCAGTTGTGAAATAGAGAAAAAAATGGGATGCCCGCTGTTCGAGGGGAGACCCGGCAGTAGCTGGGCTCAACGAATCGAAACACCTGACTGGAAGTGGGGTCGTGCCAGAACCGGCCATCACGGCCATCTACCTATCTTGCGTGCTTGCCAAATGTCGCTCCAAAGTCGCAGAGACCGCAGAGACAAAAGAGAAATCACCAATAAGGACGCCGTCCACTGGCAGAACAGAGATAGCCATCAAAGGTGTGGCAATGGGAGACTTACGGGGCCGCTTGCCAGCACGGTACTCGGGGGAGGAAGACATGTCTGTGGTGTATAGGCCGAACAGTGATGGGTTGATCTGAAGAGATGGAGAGGAGAACGGCGAGCGTGGCAATGGAGGTAAGTAAATATCAACGAAGCACTGGCGGACGAGGAAAAGTTTGAATTGGCGGTGAAAGTCGGAGACAGAATGTTGAGAAGGGGCACGGTGCAAGGTGAGCGAAAGGTTATGGGGCTATTAATGCAAAAAAGAAAAGGCGCCGAACCGCAGATTCGGGTAATTTTCGACCTCTCTAGGTGGCATCTACCCGGAGTTTGGTGGGTACGGAACCTAGAGCAGTCGGGGTCCGGAGAGAGCATGGGCATCAGAGATAAGACCCCAGCCGGGACAACGGAGGAGCAAAGAGCTCGATGATGACCCGAACCACAATGCTCGGCACAGATCCCGCGTCTGGGAGCCGTTCAACAATGGCTTTTTGCAACGTCGTCTTAGCGTTGTCTCCCCCTACACAGCACATAGCAATCACTCAAGATGGTCGACCAGACCGCGGCGAAATCCTTTGACAGAGTTTTTTCTTGAAGTTTTGGCGATGCAACTCAACCCGCCCCAGGCTAAGCCTTTCCAGGAACGCCGAGGACAGGAGGGGTGGATGACGGGTCGGTCAAAGACGGAGCTGACGGAGGTGTTCCCCACTTCTTTCTGGCTGGCAGTATTACGCGGTTTACCGGATGGGCCAGCATTCTTACATACAGTAGACATGCCATGATCAACGACGCCAGCTGGGGTGATTGAAGCTTGTTCTTGTGCCCTCCCCACTCCCCAAAGACCCTGGCTTGGCAGAATAGGTAGACGGACGGTTGCCATTTGGATCGATGGTGGTAGCCACGTATTGCTGTCACTCAACTATTCATCCGCCGTATCCGACTCGGGTCCTGGACGGCCAAGCTGACATGCATGGCGTTGCTGCTGGCCTCTTGGTGCGAATGTTGGACAACAGGAGTGCGAGACCCGCCAGGCCCTCTTCTGGTCCTGGACCCGACTCATGTATAATAGTAGGTAAGAATTCGTCTGTTCGCGAGCGCAGAGGCAGAAAGTGAACTGGTTATTGAAGAAAGGCTGCGTACTCTCTCATACCTACTTCAAGATAAGGAAGGTAGTGTCTATATGCTGTCTGTCGAATAAAGATGTGGTTCAATTGCTGAAGCGGCCTGGCCCGTTACACCGTTGCTCCCTCTGACAGGGCCCTTGTTTCACACCACGACGACCCCACTCCCCCGCGCCCCACCTCTCCAACCTCAACACCTTCAACCTGGTACGTGCGCGGGCTTGTTTCCACATCCATCTCATCCCAACCGACACGCCGGAAAAGCGGACGAACACTTGTGCTTGACTTTTGGATATCAGGGCCAACTGTCGCTCGGTTGAGTCCAGATCACGAGCCCGGCGACAGTTCTATTTGCTACCTAACAACGGCCCGAGGTGCGTCTCAGCTAGAGAACTTGTGCAGAAATGACATTTGTGAAGCCAACATAGGTAGACACATCAGTGTCATCGCCGCTGTCGCCGCCGCCGCCGCCGCCGCGATCCGGTGTGGTTTTTCAAAGCGTCGCCGTAAATCAACGTGGACTAGTCTAGGCCCCCTCCTTTTTCTTCTAGCTAGGCCACACGAACGTTGGCCTTTCGGATTTCACCCTGTGCTCTGCCATCGTCATCTGTCCACCCTGGTTGCGGCCTTTGTCATGGTCGTCGCATCTTCGTGGCCGATGTGGCCGACACAGCGCTGAATCTTCCCCAGACTTGCGATCTTCGAGTTGAGACTATACCCAAACTCGAACGCTAATACACCCGTGTCTTGTGTCGCTACAGCGTCCTCGCACCTCGATATCGTCTGATCTACTGGGCTTCTTTGGCCTGGTCTCCCACCACCACCACCGCATTTCTCTCCTCCTCCCCAAGCCATCTCTCACACCAAGGCCGACGAATGTAGACAGATTCTCCGAACCTTACCCTTTTTGACTATCAAACCAGCCCTTTGCCACTTCTTTCTTCTGGCACCCTGTTTCAAGAGCACTATGCGGCCAGTTGACCTCGCCCTCCGCTCTGTCCTGGGCCATATTCAGGCTCGCCGTCTCTTCTCTCTTCGGCCACGATGATGGATCCAAGAGGTCTCACCTGTCTTTCGGGCACACATGTTGAGCTCGGAGGCCTGATATAACATATCCCCTCAAGCCACCTCCGTCGCTAGGTTCTCATTTTGTGATTTCCTTGTCTTGTGTGTAGTTACCAAGTCTCGATCCTTCTTTGTTCATTTTCTTCACACTTTTCTTTGATCCACTTGCCGGCCAGGTCTGGACAGATCACGTTGAGCGTGGATCCAATCCTACTTTCGTTCTCTTCATACATTCGTTTTTAGGCAGCTGGTTTGTATCGTTCTTTTACCTTGCCAGTCTGGCACCATGGCTTTCAAGAGGTTTTTCTGGGTCTCCTCGCTCATTTCGCTGGCCCTTGCTCAAGCGCAGAATAACAATCAAGGAGGTGCCACATTAGACCCAGAAGTCATTCAACAAGGCTCTTTTGTCGATGGCAAGAGCTCTTTGGGTGCCGAGGATGTTCAGGCAGCCTCAGCAACCTCCCAAAACAACTTCATCAACTTTTGCAAGGGGCAAACACTTACCAACGGTTTCCAAATCACGACCGGTTCTTGTAACGGCATTGGTATGTCAACGACACAGACAGATATCTTCATCAAGCGCTACTGACAAAGGCATGAATTAGTGATGGGTCAAATTCCTGCTAAAGACCGAATGATCTCCACCGTCATTACAAACCCAGCGAACGGTGCCACCATTCCGTCTAATCAAGACTTTGAGATTGTTGTTCAAGTTACCAACCTCAATGCCGGAGCCTTTACGAACGCTGCTGTCACCTACTATTCCGCACCCCAGCAGTTGGATAACGGCAATATAGTGGGACATACTCATGTAACCGTACAAGACACGGGTGCCGATCTGAACCCTCAACAACCAATGGACCCGCAACAGTTTGCCTTTTTCAAAGGTATCAACGACGCCGGTAACGGCCAGGGCAGACTTAGCGCTGCGGTGACCGGTGGCCTTCCGGCCGGAAACTACCGTGTCTGCACCCTGACAGCCGCAGCCAACCACCAACCAGTCATCATGCCTGTCGCCCAGCGCGGATCACAAGATGACTGTGTCAGATTCACCGTTACTGGTGACGGAAACACTCCGAACGAAGCCGCCAACAATGGCGCAAAGGGTCAGGCAGCAGCAGCTCTGGTTGCTGATGCTATTGCCCTCGGCCCCGGCGCCCCTAATCCGGGTGGCAATAATGCAGGAGGGAATGGTCAAGGAAACGGTCAAGGAAACGGGCAAGGCAACGGGCAAGGCAACGGGCAAGGCAACGGGCAAGGCAACGGGCAGGGTAATGGGCAGGGTAATGGGCAAGGTAACGGGCAAGGTAACGGGCAAGGTAATGGGCAAGGTAACGGGCAAGGTAACGGGCAGGGTAACGGGCAGGGCAACGGGCAGGGTAACGGGCAGGGTAACGGGCAAGGGAATGGGCAAGGAAATGGGCAAGGAAATGGGCAAGGTAACGGGCAAGGTAACGGGCAGGGTAACGGGCAGGGCAACGGGCAGGGTAACGGGCAAGGAAATGGGCAAGGAAATGCCGGAAATCCTGCCGGTGGTGATGCTGCTGGCGGGAATCCTGCCGGTGGTGATGCTGCTGGCGGGAATCCTGCCGGTGGTGATGCTGTTGCCGGGAATCCTGCCGGTGTTGATGCTGCTGGTGGTAATGGTGGCGGCGGGAACGCGGCTGGCAACAACAATGCAAATGCTGGCAACAACAAGCAAGCAGATGGCCAGAATAGGGAGGGCAAGGGAAAAGGGAAGGCCAACGGCAATGATAACGCCCAACAAGAACAAACAGGACAGGAAGGCCCAGCACTTGATCCTGCAGCGGCACCTACCCCTCCTGCGGCAGCTCGTCTTGCCCGTCTTGCTCGCCGTCGGAGATTCATCGCATAAACGCCACGCTCAAGTATGGCTATCAGGTAGGTAGCTATATCGTATATACACCCTCACTCCCTGGTGGAATGGCAACGACGCCTGTTCATCCCAAATCCGCATGTGCTTGCAGATAGCTGTTGATATGACGGAGAGAAGAAGTTGGTGTGGAACAGGGGGAGGTAATAACGATTAAATTTTATAATATAGAGGGTTAGGGTTCTGATAAGTAGTTATAGTCTAGTCTAGGTAATAGACTGTATGTATTTTGGATTCGTTGCTTGATAATTAAGCTCGGAGGCATGACGCAAGATGCGTCTTCAAACGTAGAGCAGTGAACAGGGGCTTGGCAAGCCACCTGCAGTCTTACCAGACTCATTGGCCTCCCGTGCCTCCCACTGGTGGTTGGAGGAGGGGTTCAGGGCGCCATACGTCATCACACAAAGGCTCACGGGGACCATGTTATGTTCTCGGCATGGAACTAGTTCGAGGCAGGCTGATTGCTGATTCTGGAGCTCACTTCACTTCCAGTCTTCTCCAGCAGCACTGGAGTCGATTGTGCATTTGATATCATCAGACTGGCAGCAGGGTCCTTCTCTCTCTGCACAACCATCTGTACAGGACAAGACGTCCATGAGTCGACCGGGGTGGCCAGTTCATTTTTGGCCGACATCCCGATCAGCAGACAACGGAACCCCAGTCAATCAAAAAGGCCCCAAGGAACCCTGTCCAAGCCCAGCTCCTTTCCCGAAAGGGGCCCTCCGCCAAGCACTCTCAAGACGACGACGTCGTCGGTCGACATCACCGCCTAGACCCCCAAATCGCCATCCCCCATCCATCCAGCATAGGGATATCCGTACATCGCACCCGTCATCTCTTTTCGCTCGACCACTACTTTTCTGATCTATTGCGCCAGCCGCCAAAAACACAGCATACAAGATAATACCTATCTCCTTCTCTGCGTGAGACACCGTCCAGACCTGTGAAAGCATTCTGTGTCGCATGTACGCCCCATCGTCTCATTCTTGCTCTTCTTCCGCGCGCAGCGCACCCTGGCACCAGGAGGCAGCCGCTTCCCATCTGTACCAAGTACCGGAGCTAATAATTGGTGAACCAGCCCTCAGCGAGTCGACACCTGTGCGGCCAAACTCTAAAGCGCCTATATGTCTTCCCGTTGCACTTCGCATTAGCACCGACCACCATGTCAACCAGCCGGTCTCCAGCTGGCGTCGTTTCCCCCCCTCCCCTCAGTCAGGACCGTGGATACGGCCCTTCAAACCATTTTCTTCAGCAGCAGCACGGCATGGAACAGGGCTATCCCACGGCTGCAGCAGACGCCGAGACCCTCTCCAATACCATTGCAAACTCCCATGTCGAACACGACAACCACCTTGACGGTCCCGTAGCCCCGCATCCGACCAAGTTTACCGAAGAGTGGGATGCTAGCCAGCGAGGAAGCTCCATTATTGACGGCCAGAGATATAGCAAGACCAGTAACCACGTCAACAACAGCGCGATGCAGCGGTCCAGTTCCTACGCCGGCTCCGTCGCCGGCATCACCAACGATGGAGCGACATCTCTGTCTCGTGGCAACACCCTGAAGAAGAAGGCATCCATACGGAGGAGCGGCAGTCTGAAGCGAAGTAACAGCCGGCGGAGCATGAAGGCAGGCAGTGTGAGGAGTCTTGCCCTTCAGCCAACGACAGACCAGGATGAACTTCACAGCGCTTTCTACTGCCCAGTGCCCACATCGGGTAGTCCGACTGAGGTTCTTGTGAACCGCTTTCAAGGTTAGTGCTTGTCTCGACCAGATCACCCATCCTTGCGATTGTGCTAACCTCATGCGTGAAGCCTGGCGCAAGATTCTCAAGGACTTGATCACATACTTTCGCGAAATCCAAGCACACTATGAACACCGAGCCAAGTCGCTAATCAAACTGGGCAATGTGCTGAACAATATCACGACGCCTCCGGGCTTCATCGCGTCCGGTGGTCTCGATGACGCATTGCAGATTTTGCGAGGGCACAACAAACAAGCCATTATGGAGGCTAACAAGGCGAGAGAGATTGAGGAGGATGTCATCTTGGCACTGACCGGTCTGCGTAGCGACTTGCATCAGAAGATCAAAGAGATCAAGAACCTATCAGGCGACTTCAAGAACTCGGTGGATAAAGAGATGGAGGCGACTCGCAAGGCTGTAAATCACCTACAGGACGTCTTGGGCCAAACCGAGCTCGACACGGCCTTGACAACTGGGAAGCAAGATCCTTATTTATTACGACTTAACGTTGACCGGCAGTTGGAGAAACAGATAGATGAGGAAAACTACCTGCATCAGGTAAGCCCCCCCTTGCAAGGCGGTGCGCAGAGTGATACTCACTGTTCCTATTCAAGGCATACCTAAACCTGGAGAACTCGGGGAAAGAACTCGAGTCGATTGTCGTCGGCGAGATCCAAAAGTCATACAACGCCTATGCCAGCATACTCAAGCGGGAAGCAGACTCTGCCTATGGGACCATCGAAGAGCTTCGGCTTGGTCCCATCACCCTGGCCAAGGACGCAGAATGGCTATCTTTTGTCCACAGAGATGAACGCTTTGTTGACCCCGATCTTCCCATGCGGTCAGCTGAGTTCATACATTACCCAGGACGGGATCACTATGCTTGCCAAGAGATTCGAGCGGGCTTGTTGGAACGGAAGAGCAAGTACTTGAAGAGCTACACAGCCGGATGGTATGTTCTTCTCTTGCCGAGACCACGTGTACAAGGTTTGTTTGTACTGACACATGCAGGTACGTTCTTTCACCCACGCATCTGCACGAGTTCAAATCTGCGGACAAGACACAAGCACCCGTCATGTCCCTCTACCTGCCGGAACAGAAATTGGGATCGCACTCCACAGAAGGCGGATCCTCGAATAAGTTCGTTCTCAAGGGCCGCCAGACAGGATCGATGCATCGTGGCCACACATGGGTATTCCGCGCGGAGAGCCATGATACGATGATGGCCTGGTACGAGGACATCAAAACTTTGACCGAGAGGACTCCGGAAGAGCGAAGCAATCTCGTGCGTGGCAACAGTCGAAGCATTAGCAGATCATCTCAACGGTCGTCTCTTAGCAGCGACGGGGTCGACGATGACGAAGACCCCCCCTTCATGGCAACTGCCGCATCCGTCAATCAGCAGCCGAGACCAGACTCCCTGCCTCGACGTCCTTCAGGTGGGCGATTCCCATCTGACCTCCAAGTAAACGCACAACGAGGCTTACAGGTCCCCCTCTCGCCGCTTAGCATAAGCTCCGAACCAAACAGATACGACGAGAACGATCGCGATGTCATTGTTGCAGCCAATACCATCCCCGGAAGTGAGCTAGGACCGCAATATCATACCCATCAGCATTTCGATACGTCATCGACAACTCGACGGAACGAGGACCTGCGCTCGCCGCCCATCCCCCAGACCGGGACAACAACAGGCGCCTACGAGGAACCAAACGGACGTGTCGTTGGGTCTGCAAATAACCAAGTCTACACCAATGGAGGATCGGATTCTTATCAGAAAGATGGCATGGTGTGGGCAGAACCAGTTCCTATCTCGCCTTCCACGCTCAGAGATCAGGCTCAAACATTGTCCTCACGAGCCGATGCAGATGATCGACTCTATGCCACACAGAACATCTCGGTGACAGACGGCCAAGATGGCTACAAGTCGGAGCCTCGAGGGAACTGGTATGGGCAGGCCAATGGGGGTATAGCCCAAGACGACCCGCAAGTACGACCAGGCGCCGAGCGAACAGACAGTGCCCCAACCATCTCACATCTACATATACCTGGGGAGTATCCCAAGAGTTCGACCAGCGGTTTTTGATACCCTTGAAAGAATGTGAAAACTGGCTCGGAGGGTTTTCTTTTTGTGTTAATTGTTCTTTAATGGTCCTCTGGCGCAAACCGTCGAAGTTCAAGGCCCCTTTTATTCACTGTCAGTGGTGTCCAGCACCAGACTTTCCCTGCTAGTTGAAGATCCAACAGTCTCGGAGATGGCAGAATGTTATTGTTTATCCCCATTACCGCTCTTGGTATTAAATAACGAAGATATCTTTGTGATTGAAGATCGGATCTTGGACACTGCCATAGCTATTTGCCTCACCTTCTCATGTGATCCAGTCTCATTGCGAGTCTGCACCCTGACAGAGATGTATGCGCTGGTGTTCGTGTCGCTGTTTTGAGTTTGCAACCAACCTCCCAACCTCGCACCCGCCTTCATCAAGAGCCCTGAGCGCACTAGTCCCTCAGGCTTCTGTATATCTCGGGGAGGTTGGAGAGAAAAGAGACAAGATTTCATGCATCTCTGGGACACGCCCGATCCTCTTGTGATGGCGTGCGCTCGAACAGCCTCTGCGCTGCGCTATGTACATCGAGCTCTTCAAGTTCTGATCGTAGCCACGAATCCCGCCTTCTATTTAAACTAAGCCAGCCCATGGACCCCCAACCAACATATTGCCATCTTCCAGGCATGACCATCTGCTTTCAAGAAGGCTAGTGTGCCTCCAACTTCTTTCGTAGCGCTTCTCACACTCTCCTGTCAACATTGGTCTATCTCACTCCCGAATTCCATTCCTTAACTGCAACGTCCGACCAGCTAGATGCGTGTGTGAGGATACAACCAGAGAACACCTGCCCTACAGCTTTCACTGGTCCTCTCTCTCCTCTGCTCACCTGTGACAAAATATACTCGCAAAGCAGAAACTATGGGTACCAGAAAACCGTCCTGTTCTTGGGACGACCAGGCGGCGGTCGATGCTACGCAATGGGCAGTAGATGCCATGACCGTAGCGACTGAGTCGTTTCGACTGCAGTTCCAAGGTCAGTTTGGAGAGGCCAATGGCCGATCACGCCGGAACTCATCGAGCCTGGATGATGTTCTCTCCGAGCGCCGGGCCTCACGCCAACGTGGGCAAGTCCATGTGACTGGACGGCGGCCCGTCTCGGAGAGGCCTAACAACCTTGATGCAAACTACAAGGGGCCTCTCTCATCAAACCCGCCTTCTATGTCGTTCACCTCAGAGCCTCACGATCTACCCAGGTCACCCGACCCGACCGCTACACGACCAGTGCAGCGGCACATCGGCATCCACATCAGCAAAAACAGCGGGAGAAACAGGGCATCATCTCAGCCCTATCCCGCTTTTCACAGGCCTCTAACACCTCGTCAGTCATCTCAAAAAGAGCCTGAGCGTCACCACCCCTTGCCCTCCCTACCCCTTCATCCCGATCTTCGGGGTGATGAGGAAAACAGGGATAGCAAGCAGTTCTCCGTGCAACAGTACGATGCGGTGAACCCCGCGGATTCTCAGTCGACCATGGTACCCCTGGAAGATGCAGAAACCGACACCACCTACCTTTCATCTTCCTTCTCCTCCACTGCCATCGCCAAGCCGAAAGCCTCTCACTTTTCCCCTCGGCGCAAATCCAGGGCCGCCTCCCGAGCCATGGTATCGTCCTCCTCCCCCTATCAATCCTCTGCCTCATCCACTCCAACCCGTCCTCGCTCACCTCCCCCAGCGGCTACCCAGTCCCCTTCCACCCGGCCAGACGTCCTCGTCTCCCCTTTTCACGAGATCCTCTTCGTCCTCCTCATCTGCCTAGCCCAGATTCTCATGCTTGCTGGTCTCGCCCAGGCCATGGTCCCCGCCTCGATCATCTCCCAGTCCTTTGGTGACTCCACTCCCGGCACCATGGCGTGGTACTCAGCCGCGTACGGCCTCACATCAGCAACATTCGTCCTTCCGTCTGGCCGTGTGGGCGATCTCTTTGGCCACAAAAAGGTGTTTGTCATTGGTTGGCTTTGGTTCGGCCTGTGGAGCTTGATTGCTGGGTTTTCTGGACACGCCGAGCGCAGCGCGGGCGAGGGGACGGTCTTCTTTTGTGTGGCGAGGGGGCTGCAGGGGATCGGACCGGCGCTGTTGGTGCCGAGCGGGCAGGCGTTGTTGGGCAGGATGTATCAGCCGGGGATGAGGAAGAATATGGTGCTCTGCCTGTTTGGGGCGTCGGCGCCGCTGGGGTTTGTCATGGGGGCTATCTTCTCGAGTTTGTTTGCAGTGCGAGGGAACTGGCCGTGGGCGTTTTGGCTGTTGGCCATCATGTGCTTTGTGCTCGCGGTGGTGAGCTTGTTCATCCTGCCGACTTCACGGGGTCAGTCTTGTCTGAAAGGGGGGGAGGGCTTGTGGTCACAGTTCGATGGATGGGGTATGATGCTCGGCGTCAGCGGGTTGGTGCTGCTGAACTTTGCATTCAATCAAGCTCCCAACGTCTCCTGGAAGACACCTTATACGTATTTCCTGTTGATCATTGGGTTGATCTTGATTGCTGCTTTCGTGTCTCATGAGTGGAAGGCGCCTTACCCCCTTATTCCTATCGCGGCCATGAAGCCGGCGACGAACTTTGTGTTGGGCTGTACGGGGGCTGGCTGGGGGTGTTTTAGTATTTGGATTTATTACACCTTCAATGTTGTTCAAAATCTGAAAGGATGGTCACCGTTGCTCGCTTCTGTGAGCTTCATTCCAGCGTACGTATCCCCTCAAGTTGTCCAGTCAACAAGGGAAAATGAAAAGAACTAACGAGATGTTGCGGTGTAAAGTCCGATATGTGGCCTTGCTGCCAGTATTCTGGTCGGATTCTTGATGTCGCGAGTCAAGCCTCACTGGATCATGTTGATATCCATGTGTGCATTCTTCATCGGAAGTCTCCTTCTCGCCACCGCACCTGTCCATCAGAGCTACTGGTTCAGTACTTTTTTCGGGATACTTATCATGCCGTTTGTCAGTCACCTCTTCCTCCCATTCAACTAGGATATCTCCACTGACACATCATGGTAGGGGATGGACATGAGTAATCCGGCGGTATGCTGTTCCAAGGTCCCTTTTCGGATCGTTGTTATGTACGAGATGACTTACTTTCTACCTAGGCCACCATTCTACTCAGCAATAGCGTTTCCAAAGAACACCAAGGCATCGCCGCAAGCTTGGTAGTAACGACGGTCAACTATTCGTATGTTAGCCTGAAAAAAGGGGTTGGAAACTAGTGTTGACTCTGGATGTAGGATTTCCCTTGCTCTTGGAATTGCGGGTACTATAGAAGTGGTATGTATGACCCTACTTGTGCTACACTGAGACAAATAGCTAAAGCCGCCACTAGCATGTCAATGAGACAGGCTATGAGCTCCTGAAGGGCTACAGAGCTGCTCAGTATTTCGGAACAGGCCTCGGCTTCTTGGGCGTGCTTCTGGCCTTGGGATTCTTGCTCCAGAGTTACCACCAGAAGCCACCTGTGGCATCATATCCGCTCCAGACGAGGTGAAAGGGCTGTGGTGCGTGAGAGAAAGGCGAGGAAATGGCTGTGTGTAGTTAGTCGGCGTATAGATATGAAACCAAAAACAACAGGGAAGAGTCCGTCAATGACCAAAACGGCGTCCGCTATTTCAGGCTACGCTGGTACTTTGATGATGAATGTACAATCAATCCGAGCAGATGCAAAAATATTTTGCCATAAATGAAAGCAAAGACCCAAGACCCTTCCCAAACGCCATTAAGCCAGCCCGAGTTCCGCAGACAACGCCATTGACGCGGTCGCTCCGCTCGATGATATAGACTGCCCGCCCCTTTTGCTACTCCTCCAATGCCGTGTACTGTACGAATTCTCGAGACATCCGAACAACCAGTGGCGACCTCCCCTTTTGTCGTCTCTAGTTTCCCTTTTTTGAGAATATTTCTCCTTTACCGGCTGAAGCCTCCTCTGCCGCCACGAGAGAAACCACCACCTCCGCGGCCACCGCCTCCACGGCCGCCGAAACCGCTGCCGCCGCGGCCACCGCCACGACCACCGCCGAAACCACCGCCGCCGCGACCGCCGCCAAATCCACCACCACCGCGGCCACCGAATCCTCCCCTACCACCACGTCCACCGGGACCTCCACGACCACCGCGGGACGCGCCGCCACGGCTGGGCTTCTTGACTTTGCTGGCTCCCGGGGGAGGCTTAGGCTTGGGAAGGAACTTCTCGAGGGGCAGGAGCTTCTCGCCGGCAATGTAGAACTTGTCGCCAACCTTGAAGGAAGTGGCCTGGATGCCCTCGGTGGGCTTGATGGTGAAGTAAACCTGGTTGATGGGACCGAGAACTTCGTCGACCTTGCCAACCGGAGTCTGCAGAATCAATTGTCAGTCTCCAGCTACGTCGCAGCTAACCACCGCGCGGTCGTGAACCACCAGAGGAAAACCTACCTTGTTCTCTAGGTAGATAGGCGCGTTGAAGTGAGGAATCTTGGCATTGGTAGACTCGACGACCATTTCACCTTCGCAAGAATGAATGAACTTGCCCATCTCGAGAACCTGAGCGGGAGGGCCCATATCGCGTTGTTGGAAGCCGCCGCGACCTGCAATTCGTTGGCAATTCATTAGTAACCTTGTCCTTTGCAATTCGCACACCTCGACAGTGAGACTGCTCACCTCCTCCACGGCCACCGAAACCACCACCGCCACCGCGGCCACGTGAACCCCCGCGAAACGACATTTTTTCTATTGTCCCGTCGTAATTATTGAACTGGCGACGGCTTGTGTTGCTGTTGTGGGGTTGAGGTTGGTGTCTGTGTCGCAACCTTCAACTTTTCGTTATGGAGATCGAACGAAGCTCGAAAACAATTTATTTTTCGGACCTGCAGAATCGAAAGCGGTCAAAAATTTTGCCGTATCAATCCGCAGGGGTGTGCCCCACTTGCTGCCGTCTCCTGCCACCCCGCGCTACCGAATGCCAAGGCCCGGTTTGGACCCAGCAGTGGGAACACGCACTGTATAGAGACCGCTGAAGTCGTCGTCTCAGCCAGCCAAGCGTCAGCAATACCACCCAAAAGAGTAGTGGCCAGATTTGTTTCTACCGTTGTGCACACAGTACGAAGAAAGTCTTGCCTCGATATCCAAGTCCCCAGATCTATCTCCGGACACGGTAACGTCTAGAACTTGCTTCCATCTCATCTTGGTGCAAGCCTCCAAAAAGGACAACTTGTCACATAATACCGGGGCTTTCAGCCACTGGACCTTATTTTTACTCCTCCTGCCCATTCACTGCTTTGCAGGCTTTAATCCAACAATCGAATGCCTGTTCCGATCTTCCATGCTTCCTAACTTGCTCTTCCTAGCTGCCCCGTTGATGCTCGTCGTCTGACCGCGCCTTGCGCTGCCTGCGCCCCCGACTACACACACATCTGCCTGACACATAGACGTCTCGTTTAAACCGTCGTTAAATTCCACGATACCCTTTGTAATTCGAACACACTCTGGTCTTTCGCAACAACCTCCCCGTCATGGTTCGCTTATCATCGACGCTGGCCTTTGCGGCCGGCTTCCTATCAACGCCGTCAATGGTCTCGGGCCTCTCAACGTCGGACATCCCAGCCGACACCCCCATCTCTGCTCTCCTAGCCTCGGCGCAAAGTCACCTGTCAAAGGGCGAAACGAACGACGCCCTCGTCTACTACGATGCAGCTATCGCCAGAGATCCCTCCAACTACTTGACCTTGTTCAAGCGCGCCACAACCTACCTTTCTCTCGGCCGCAGATCACAGGCCACCGATGATTTCGAGAAGGTGCTTTCGATCAAGCCAACTTTCGAGGGTGCGCACCTTCAGCTAGGAAAACTGCGCGCCAGCGCCGCCGACTGGGACGGAGCAAAGCTTCACTACAAGAAGGCCAAGAAGACAGAGGAGGTTGCCGCAGTTGAGGCGGCCAAGGCGGCGGCAAAGGCTGCTGAAGCAGCAGCCAAGGCTGGGAACTGGGAAGAGTGTGTCAAGCAGGCCGACGATGCCATCCTGACGGCGAACAGGGCGATTCACTTGCGCGAGCTTCGCAAGGACTGCGCGTTTGAGAGGGGAGCCGTGGAAAGGGGTATTGCTGACCTGCAGCACATCCTCCAAATGCAACCTGGCAACACGAAGCCATACGTCCAGATCTCAGCCATCACATTCTACGCGCTCGGAAACCTCGAGGACGGCGCGACAGCTATCAGGAAGTGCCTGCACTCTGACCCTGACAACAAGGTGTGCAAGCGGCTGTTGAGGGAGGAGAAGGCGACCATCAAAGTCATGGAGAAGGTGAAGAAGGCCTTGGACAAGGGGCAGCAGATGACTGCTGTGCGGCAACTCGTACCTACGAGCGACAGTGAAGGCTTGATCAAGGAGGTGAAGGACCAGGTCCACAGTCTGCGGGAAGATGGCTCGATACCGAAGGCAGCTCCAAATGAACTGCTTTCAAGGTTAGTTGAGATGGCGTGCCAGGCGTATTACGAGGTAAGTCTTCTGCGTCTCAGCCCCTTTCTCCGTTAAAACGTCCATGTATTGACAATGTTCGGCAACAGTCCAACAGCAAAAAGGCCAAGGAATACTGCGAAGAGTCCCTCACTCTAAATGAGAACTCTTTCTTTGGTCTTCTCTACAAGGCCAAACACCTCCTCGACAAGGAAGAGTACGAAGCTTCCATCAACACTCTCCAAAAGGCTGCCGAGGCTCGCCCTGACAAGGAAGACCTTGTCAATCCTCTGATGCAAAAGGCCCAGGTTGCCCTCAAACGCGCCAAGACCAAGGACTACTACAAGGTCCTTGGTGTTGCTCATGACGCCGACGAACGCCAGATCAAGTCTGCTTACCGCAAGCTCTCCAAAGTTCACCACCCCGACAAGGCCGCCAAACAAGGGCTTACCAAGGAGGAAGCCGAGAAGAAGATGGCGAGCATCAACGAGGCGTACGAGGTTCTCAGCGACCCCGAGCTCAGGGCACGGTTCGACAGGGGTGACGACCCGAACAGCCACGAGCAGCAGCAGCAGTATCACCACGGGCATCCATTCGGAGGCGGCCACCCATTCATGTACCAGCAAGGCGGCAGCGGAGGCGGTGGTGGGCAACAGTTCCATTTCAAGTTTGGTCCTGGAGGAGGGTCAGGGTTCCCATTCGGGATGTAGTTTGGTTAGTTGCTCTGGTAGTAATGAAGAGAGGGTTACTCTTGGAAGAAGGTCTTCCGTTGTCTTGGGTTTGCATTTTGTATGGTTGAGCAGGGGGTGTATTTGGGTGTATCGTTTGAGGACTATGTCTGGGACTTGTCATACACCCGGGAGGAGTGAGCCCAGTTCATTCCCAGTGATCATAGGATGGCTTAGTATTTATATATCACCACCCTTTACAGTGTGCCCGCTCGAAAAACAACCTTGATCATATCTCATCGAATTCAGACCAGGTGGCAACAATTGTGCATAGATCTTCTCTCGATATCACCAACAATATGTCCTTCGCACAGCTGAAAGCTTGCCACAGTTGAGCGCCCTGTGTTTTCTGGTCCCGGGATTGAACCGAATGCACATAATCAAAACTCAGGGATATGTTCCTCCGGGCCTTGCTCATGATCGCAATGTTTGGTATACAGCCGCCCGCGCAGCTAGGTGGGTCAAGGGAATCAATGTCAGATTCGAAGAGGTTTGCTGCAGCAGTCGAGAATAAGACAATTATTGTTCAGTAGAACACCACAGGGTGATGTCCATCTTTATCTCATTATGGAAAGGGAAACCCCTATTCTCGAATCTACACAACCTAGATCTAGGGCCCAATCAACGCATTGTGGCAGAAGCGATGACAGGAGAGGGATTATATGTACAAAATGCTTATAGCCCCGCGCGTACGCTTGCTTGTGGTTCAGTGCCTCATCCGGTTTCGGCCAGTTTCCCCCATAACTCGCCTCGACCATCGTGGGTCTCACACACGGGTTGCATCAAAATTCTTACAGATTTCTCCTCACGTAAACACAGCTCATTTCATATGTAGACACGAGCTGGGCGAGGAGCTAACATGGATGTGGCTCTTTTGATCCTCAGATGCGAGCAAATAAGCTTGTTCTAGCTGTGATGCATTGTCAATACAACTCCGTCTTTGCCAAGGAGCCAGCCGAGAACCACTCACCTAACAGAATAAGCAGACGCATCGGTTGAGCGGCCACATCATGTGGAGGACTCGGAGGCCGAGTCGTTCTGACGGATGAAGTAGGCTTTGGAAGCCTCGTAGGCTGACCAGCAGATAGCGGTGCTCGGCATGGTCGTCAACACTCTTGGTTGGACGCCCTTGAAGAAGCCCTTGGCACCCTCGCGTTTGAACAAAAGGCGGCAACCAGCCATGAAGCCATTGACGGTTCTGAGTTCAGCGTCGTGTGCGCTGCCACGTGTCTGGAGCATGGTCTTGATCACGTCCATGGGCGTGGTCAAGGCCGCCGCAAAACCACCCGCAACCGCACCAGCCACACAGTGAGTGAATGGGTCATATGCCTTTGTCGGGTTCATCGAGGTCGAGATCGATTCGTACGCGAGAAACTGAAGCGCCGTAAAGGGAACCGTCATGGAAAGCGTCGTGGGGTACGAGACATAGAAGGCCTTGATGCCCTCGTTCTTGTAAACATACTTGGCGCAATCGGTCATGGAGCGGTAGAGCTTGGCCGACTCGGCGATCTGCATTCTTTGCTTGATGACTGTTTTACGACAGTTAGCAGCCGTGATATGAACCAGGAGAATCAGATAGGCCATACCGTCAAAGGGGTTCATTAGCGCATCGCTAGCAATCGTGGCGCACGCCCCACTGGTCGCAGCAGCAAGTGGATGATGGACGCCAGCCTGGTTCCCGCCCATGACATGTTTTACAGCTTCATATGTGGCGAAGTAAACAGCGTGCGCGGGGCCTGTTGGCGGCCGACAGGTTAGTTCAATCTCCAGAGAGCTTTTGCAAGACTCGACCGCAACTCACCGGCACCGACAATTACGCTGGACATGCCCCGCCACAAGCTCAGAATACCTTCTGTGCTCGCCATCTTGTAAGTGCTCTGGAAGACTCCACTGTAGACCGAGCCGGCGCTTGGGTTGACTATCTGCATTCGGGTCTGTACGCCAGAGAAAGGTTAGAGGTCAAAGTCGCGATACCAAGTCGATAACGGCGGAGCTCGGCTCACCTTCACTGCATCGATAGGGTACACTGTGACTCTGGTTAGCCTTCTGCTCCATACGCGTCTCCCCCACGACAGGACTACCTACTTGCGCAGTGCTCGGCGATGCCGGCAAAGGCGCCGGCAGCCATGTTCTGCAACAACGAGAAGTTGGGTGGGAGGGCTTCATAGCTACAATTCTGATGTCAGCACAGATTTGGACAGGCAGCGGGCTCGAGTCCCCAAGGGGAACCTACTCGTAGTCCTCTTCGGGTACGACATTTGGCTGGGCCATTGGGGAAGCCACGGCTCCCGTCGCTCCTAGATCGAGAGCCAGGGTGAAGACTGAAAAGAATCGAGGGGTGGAGAGTGGTCGAGCGTGTGGTGTTGAAGCTTCTGCGCCGCGGGATTCAGCAGCAGAAGTCGGTGACGCAATGCAAACAGCACAAAAAAAAGAGAGCTTCTTTCTTGGAGGTGCGCTGCCGGGTCACAGCGGGACCACTGAACCACAGAACCGCAAAAGCCCCAAACAATCTGTCTCCTCGCGATAAAGCCGCAGCCTGTTGTTTGTGTATGGGTGGGGTCGCCGAGAGGGATCGAGAGCGGCTCTTTCCTCCAAAACGCTGCGGCTGGTGATGTTGTCGCTGGCGGTGGCAGGACGGTGGCAGGACGGGTCCTGTGGGGGAAGCAGATGAGCGGCTGGTGCTGCTGAGGGTTGGCAATGCTGAGGAATGGGCAAATGGGCAAATGGACAACTCCGAATTTTTCTGCGACCGTTGTCGGCACAGTTCTTCCCCCCCAAATGGCCAAGACAAAATTATGGACCAGTCGGCCGCAACAACGGTCGGAGATCGGTGACCAGGAAGTTTTACCAATCGCCGGCCTATTGCACAGGGGCCTGTCTTCTGGAGTATCCTCTGCCTACCCCGCCATCTTTCCTGTTAGTGGTCCGTTAGTGTCATTTTGTGCTGGAACCCCCACTGGTTGCCGGCTGTGATGCTCGTCAAGATCAGAGATTCCCAAGAGATATGTCCGCAAAGGTCCTCGGCTAGACTTGCATCCTTGTCCGCTCTGCATTATCAGATCCGTGATTTGCGGGTCTCCGCCGGCCCCGAAAGAGCACGTTTTCCCATCTCCGAGGCACCGGATGAGTGTGAATCCCAAAGACTTTATAGGTCAGTCTCTGTAGCTTTCTGTTATGTGCGGTAAAGTGGTTGTGTGTATCATGGACAGATACAGTCTATGAATACCAATAAAAGTATCACGGACCTAATAATGCGAGACCAGTTCTGACTCAGCCAGGATAGACGTTACCTCCGGTGCCAAGCACGACAGATAAATACAGTCAAAGACTTGGGTTCCTGTGGATTGACTCAATAGTGTTGGGAACTTGGCTTGTGAAAGTCTCAAAGTCCCTGCCACCTCTGAGGTTGTTATGTGTCAGCTAGGTTGTTCATAAGTGATGGTCCCGTCTTCCCCTCGTGATTCTCCTGGTAGTCTCAGATTCTCCGTCAACTATGTTTCGCCATGGTTAAGACTTTTAATGCAGGTATTTATGTCATAAAATGTGTGCTTTGTCGTTTACTGAACTCGCTAGCAGCCAGACCGTTCTGTCTATACTGTTCCTCTGGTGCAAGTCTATGTTATCCAAAATGAAATCGATGTGATAATAATGCTTAGAAAGAGTCCCCAACGCCGCTCGTGCCTCCCAATCCACTCCCATGCAATGTAATATAAGCTAACACTCAAGAATTTGTTGCCATAACTCATGATTACCCGAACGCCTCCTCAGAGCCTCTTATGGCTCTCTTCGTATCATTGTCGTAGAAGAAAAACCGCATTCATCAAACGCCGTTCCGAGTGAACTGGGCCTGGTTGAATTGATAAATCATGTCCACAACTCCCGCCTCCGCAGTCCCAGTACCCTCGATTGCGCTGTTGTCCCTGCTCAAGGTTCTGGCCGGTGATGTCTGCCAGGCCGATTCATCCATGCCATCTCCATGACCGTACACCTCTTCATCGTCGTGACGATTGACACCCTCCCTACCTCGTTCTTCATCTTCCAGAGACTCCTCGATGATGTTGCTTTCACCGGGGCGTCTGTTTTGCTGAACGCGGTGTGGATGCGAGGCCCGGCCCGGGTTCACAAGGTGCGATGGCGGCAAGTGATGCGGGTCCAGGAGAATCGACGCCATGGGAGAAGGAGCCACCATACTTGGCCCAGGGCGCAGACCTTGGCCGGGAGCCCTGCTCCTTGATCGAAACTCACTACGACCCATCCGGGAAGTCTGCATGTCAGCACCAAGAGGCGGCGAGTTCAGACCAGGCCAGGCTGGCGGAGGGTGAAATTGATTCCGCATTCCCGGTGGGAGATGTGATCCTGGGGCGCCCTTTGGGTTGAGAGCAAAGTTGCCATAATTCCCGATGAACCCGTAGTACGATGCTTCCATCTTCCCATGTTTGGCTGAGTAGTACTCGTCGCGTACGTCACCACCATCACTCGGCTTCTTTGCGTTCGCCATGGCCTTCTTGAAATCGAATTCTGCAAAGGTGCACACATAGCCTAGTCCGTCAATGTGAAGCGTGAACTCCCGGAAAAAGTCGATAATCTGGTCGCTGCACTTGGGAAGGCTGAAAAAAAGGACAAACGGCGTTGTCAGGATGCCCAAAATCTCTTCCAGAAAGATAACGATCTTGGGTTTGTATAGCTCAGCAAACTCCAGCTTAATGTCATAACTGTGAAGTCTATCCTTCCAGTGGTCGGGTTCGTAGTGTGTGTACTCGATCACGTTGCGCATGGCATATTCCGGGTCGAAGACTACATCGTCCTGAGACTGCATGCCGTGGGCAACCGCCCAGATACTACCAAAAATGGCCGTGTAGAAGAGCACGGTGCGATCCGGTGTGATCTCGAAACCGAGGAAAAGTTCAGGATCGAAAACAGATGCAATGGCCAACACGGTTGCCAACGCTCCCGAGACAAATGCGACGGACTTGGCTACCATCTCGGTCTTAACCTTTGGGAACTGATCCATATAATGCGTTGCAAAAGCTTTCGACATGTCCAGACGCTTTTGGAAAAGGTGTGGTAGCTCGTTGAACTCGCGAAATTTCCACTCGGCAAGGGGTGTATACGACCGAGATGACAATACAGACGGGTTCTTTTGGATTTCCTAACCAAGATGTGAGCTCACACTGGCACAATTACACGCCCATCAAAGAACTAGTGACTTACATGATAGTACATCAAAAAGTAATAGATGACAAGATAGAGCGACACGAAAGGCGATAGCACTAGAATCATGATGCCAGCAAACTGGAACCGTGAGCGCAGTTTCTCGCTTATCTCCCCTCTGCGGTCGGCTCGCAGGAATTTCTGGTTGACCTGGCCCTTCTCGTCAAACACCATGTCGAGAACACTGAACATCAAAGTCCACTCCAGAGTACGAGAGAAGTACTGCCGATTTCGCAGGAACGGCAGCGGAATAGTGAGGTCCAAAATGTCCTTGTTGAACAGGGCAATGAGATAGTTTTCACGTCTCATGATGCGATTCGCAATGTCGGACGCATCTAGCCTTTCTTTGGACTGGCTGCCAATGAAATGTCTTTGCAACGGGGTCAAGGTGGTTGCCGTCTTTGAGTTCTGGTTTCGTAGAGCCATTACGCGTGCCACCACTTCTTGCCAGGTGATAGTCTGCATGTCGTGGTCCGGGATGTTGAGCAAATGTGTGTAAAAGTCACGGACGTGAAACAGCCGGTGGAGGTCCAAGATATACTGGATTGCCTTCCATATGAAGTAGAATGCAAAGAGCCAGAGGCCAAGATTCCACCACCCCGACATCTTTCTGGTGCACTGTGGAACGATGATCTGCGAGAGCTTCTGGCTTCCGCGGACAAGACTGTAGTCAACACATTGCGTGAGGAAGGTCAAGAGGACAGCTATGAAGGCCACGTTCCTACGTCATGTCAGCAACGGTTTCTTCGTTTTGAGTCAGTTTCGTGAACGTACCCAAGATGCAGCACCCGTTCGGTTATTATCGCCTTGATACCACATCCCCTGTAATAATCGTAGACCTCTTTGATAAACTTGTCGAGGTTCTGGACATTTGCCCATCTCCATTCCGCCATCTTCTTCGCATCGAGAGATGCGCTCCCAGAGAACAGAGAGCCCGGGGCGCCGTTACCCCGGTGACTCTGTGTGAATGGCTCATCGTTGTGGAGGGGTTGGTGGGCTTGAATTGTTTCCCATTGTGCTCGCGTGTTGGATGAGCCGGGCATGGTATAGGCAGCTTGTCGACTCTGCTTTCTTTTGGGCTTCCCTGCTAGGTGAGCGCCTCGAGGTTCGACCAGGAGCGAGGGCGGAACATCGTTGTCGGCATCGTCGTCGTGCGCGAGCCACATCGACCGGTCATTTTGGTGCCCCGGTGGGACTTTCGACGCCGGTGTCTTTCGTAAACCTGCTAGCGTCGCACGACTATCATCAACGGTGAGGCCCTCCGCATGATCCAGATCATAGTCCTGGAAGTTGTGATTGAGGTTTTCTTCGTCAAGAAGTCCAGCTCGCGATCCCCCGTCATATCCTTCAGAGTCGTGCCCTCGAAGCTCTTCGTAGAATGACCGCCCCTGTGTGGTGGGCATCTTTGAAAACAGCTTCCGAGGCATCTTTTCGCCTCGGTTTCAAAGAATGAAGTCGCCGAGAGTGCCGGGTATCATGGGTTAACAAGATGGAGTCACAGATTGTGAGGGAAAACGCTGATTAGAGGCGCTTCACTCAGAGTTGTGCGGACGAGGTGGACGAGGTGGACGTGGTGGGGGATCTGTTGACAAGACAAAGCAGAAGAAGCTGATAAGGGTAGGCAAGGTGCAGAAGCGGCACTATCTCACCTTTCAAGGTAACGTGAGATCAGTCAGGCGATGCGGCCATCTGCCAGCCGCTTCTGTTTCTTGTCTTGCGAAGAAGCATGCGCAGCATAAGTTTTCTACAACCACCAGTGCAGAAGGTTGGCGTTTGGTTGCCTTGAACCTTCCTGGTCAGCTGCCGCGCCAGAATGACGACGGATGGGGTCTGATTGGGAAGGCGGTGTGTTGTGAGAGGAATGCCAAGGTCCTTATCGCTTATCAGCTCTAGCATGCCACCATGCCAGCATGGCGATACAGCTTCCCCCCTGTAATTCAATACTTCATACATCATACCTTAACGAGCTCCTGAAGGTAGATGCTGTTCTCAGCATCGTGCCTCGCCAAACCTCCCTTTTTCCAAGTCACCACTCCGGGCTGCTTCGAATGGCTTCTTCAGGCTCCGCGTCAACTGCTTCATTAGCAGCAAAGACCGCAAACCCTCTGTCATCAAAAGTCACCAGCGTTCTGTCATCTTCCTATGCAGACACCGAGTTTCGAGAGGCACTTGCTTTATTAGATGAACGGGGTGTCCTCAACACACCCAACACTCGACGCCAGCTTCGTCTGGACCTGCAAAAGGAGGTGATAGATAGCAATGGCGAAATCATCGATGAGTTCTCCAAGGTTTCCGAGGTAGGTTTTCTGGTAGATCAACATCAAGTGATTTCGACTTACAGACTGGTTGACGTTGATTTACAGCAACTTCGGCGTATTGGTGCCACCATTGGCAGACTCAAAGAGAGTTTCAATGAGATGAAAAGGGAGATTGGTACCGCTCATCAGGCAACATCGTCTAGTCTAGAGGAAGCCTCACGTCTCATGTTTCAAAAGCAACAAGTTGAGCAAAAACAGACTCTTCTCAAAGCCTTCAAGGGCAATTTCATCCTTTCCGACGATGAGGCGGCTGCTCTCACGCTCATGTCAGAACCGGTCAATGACCTCTATTTTGCTACCCTCGCAAAAGCAAAAAAGATCACCAAAGACTGCGAGCTACTTCTCGGGTTTGAGAATCAGACTTTGGGCTTGGAGGTGATGGAACTGGCTTCAAAAAATCTCAACCTGGGCTTCCAGAAGCTGTATAAGTGGGTACAGAAGGAGTTCAAGACGTTGAATCTTGAAAACCCACAAATTGGCTCATCAATCCGGCGAGCTCTTCGAGTGTTGGCCGAAAGACCTACACTGTTTCAAAACTGTTTAGACTATTTTGCAGAAGCTCGCGAACATATCCTGTCCGACTCGTTCTACACAGCATTAACCGGGAGCTCGGCATCTGGCGTGGAGAACACCTCGATCAAACCCATCGAGTTAGCGGCGCACGACACCTTGAGATATGTAGGAGACATGCTTGCTTGGGTGCATTCAGCAGCTGTGAGCGAGCGAGAGGCACTGGAAGGTCTCTTCATTGGAGAGGCCGAGGAGATTAAGAAGGGCATCCAAGCCGGCAGAGAGAACGAAATATGGCGACTGGCGGACGAGGAGGGTGATGGTGCAAGCGATTTTGATGCCGTTAAGACATTGAACGATCTGGTTGACCGAGACGTCTCCGGAGCAGTCCGCATATTACGACAGCGGGTCGAACAGGTCATCCAGACAAACGAGGAAACAATCCTGGCATACAAACTCGCCAATCTGCTCAATTTCTACAAAAGCATGTTTTCGAAACTGCTGGATCCTGGCTCGAGTTTGGTGGATTCTCTTGGGTTACTGGAGGCTGAAGCCCTACGGCAGTTTCGGTCGCTGGCTCGTGACCACATTGCGGCTCTCCAGGGGGATTTCGTCCAGACTCCTACAGAACTTCGACCCCCAGAGTTTTTGTTCGAGGCGTTGGAGCAGCTGTCTGCCCTTATGAAGACTTACGAAACCTCACTCGCTTCATCTGCTGAAAAGGAAGCAGAGTTTGAAACTATCATGGTGGAGGCCTTCGACCCATTCATGTCAGGTTGCGCAACCATGGCGCAGACATTACAGCCCCCCTCTGACTCCGTCTTCCTCGTCAACTGCTTTCTCACAGCTCTGAATTCGCTGGCGCCCTTTGAGTTCACGCCCACACGAACAACTCAGTTGCAGGCCAATTTTGAAACTGAGCGGTCACACCTTGTGGAAAGCCAGTATGCATTTTTCCGTAAGGAATCTGGCCTAGATGCACTCATCACAGCACTCAGTATCTTGGGCAATGGAGCAGAAGACGTGGAGAAGGTGCCGTTGCTTGAGGCGGCCCAAGCACCTGCACTGACACAGGCTGGGCAATTGCTTGATGATTTCCTACCCTCGGCGCTGATGGATGCCATGGAGAATCTCAAGCACTTGCAGGATTCCAAACTGGTCCAGCAAATCACCGAAGAGGCTGCCGAGAGGTTCTGTGTCGACTTCGAGCAAGTGGAAGAGAAGTTGATGTTGGCAGATGAGCTGGCCGAACAGAAGCAGGGCGACGCTGACGAGCTTCAAAGCTTACGGGCATTATTTCCGAGAACTTCTGGGGAGATTCGTGTCCTGTTGTCGTAGTTGATTCAGTGTCGTTGCAAGCTGTTCATAGTCCGGGGAAATTGATGGATAGGAAGATTTCACTTCCACTAATACATGATCTTAGATGATTGATGTTGCCCCAAATAGGACGTTGTGGGGCACTGTAACCGTAGATTGGCTTCCCAACGTCGACGTCACCGCCCCGCCGTTCTGTTATCGCTCCGATAAACAGCCCTACCGCGCGTCCGGTGCTTGGTGCCAGTCGGCGACCCCTGCCTCTCCCCGTTATCGACAAGCTTCAGCCCACTGCAGCCCACTGCAAGCACGGCCTCCGATTGCGACTTGCCTTGCGGACATTCCGTCCAGACTTGTTCAGCCTGGCGATCTGAATCTCGAGTTCCTAGTCGAAACCGCATTGATGAATCTACAACACATGCATACGACGACATCGTGAATCTACCGGAGCCATTGGCCAGCTGAAACCCGGCCGACTCCCACCCACATTTCTCTTCCCTCTCGCTGCGAATCCGTACACCCGCAACGGAATGTCCTCATTCACCACACACCACCATGTTTGGCAGTAGAACAGCCAGTTCTGCCATGTCCATTCTGCAGAAGACGTACGATGAGAGTTACCTGACATGTTCTACCGCCGTGTACTATGAGAGCCAGGTAGCCCCAATCCATTCTCCTTTCCGGCGTGCTTGGTAGACGGCCGCTGACGTATGTTATAACATCAGGGCAACGAGGACGAGGCTATGCGATGTTGGCGACAGGCCCTAGAACAACTATATGACCCTCACGCGAACAGAATACTCCCCAATTTCAACCCTCGCTCCGAGACGGAGAAGGCGCTGGTCGAGAGTCTTCGTCAGTTGGAACTGCAGTGTAAGGAGCGGATTGACCTCCTCGAAGCCCTTCGTCTTTCTCGTCTGTCGGCCCCTCAGCATGACTCGCTGTCTTCCAGCAGCAGGCCCAGCAAATCATCATCCGACTCCCATGATGGCGGGATATCTGGGCAACAGGACGGAGGCTGGATCGGGAATGGTACCATCCCTGCCGTTAACTACACCGACTTATCGCGACCAAATACTTTGAGGCGACTTTCTTCACAAAACAGGACATCCTCCTCAGAACAGGCTGTTGCAAGCAGCCGCGGACCACAACACGGAAGCATGCCGCCACCCCTCCCTGCTCGAAAGCCGCTGCCATCGACAGCCTCGATACCGTCGCCCGAAAGAAAGCCCTCGAGAACGTCTAGCCCTGAACGACACACAATGCGCACCACGCTACGTACGGGCACAAGGGACAAGACACCGAAAGCGACACTGCGACGACAGCCACCAAAATCGTCAGAGGTCCCAGTACCAAGCAAGGCGGCCACCCTAGCCTGGGGCACCTTGGGCCACCGAGGGAGCCTGGACCAGCCATCAGGAAGCAGCCCCATTTCACGTCCAGCTCCGAACACTCCTACTGTCCCTGAACAGTCACGCAGGAGCCTTGAGCTATCCAAACGGCTTTGGGACAGCAACTCAAGAAGACTGGTGACGCCTCGAACGAGGAGTCCGAACAAAGACACCGATAGTGCGCCTGCCACAGACCCGCGGCGCTCTGGAGAGTACCCCTTTCCACGGGCGTCATCGATTTCAATCAGTGCAGCTTCAACCGCTCTGAACGCTTTGGCTCTCAAGGAAAGTAGTGATCATCGTTCGCCGGAAAGAGAGCATATCACGAGGCTGAGGACCGCGCCGCCTGAAACTCCGCGAAGTAGGGCGCAGAGGGACATTTTGAACAATGACTCCAATATGAGCGAAGGATTACCGGATAAACCGCTAACTAGGAAAACATCGCTGGATTCCGCTACCGTCTCTCGCAGGTCTGCGGGTGCTTCACTCTCAGCGGCGCGAATCAAGTCCACGCCAACTAGATCTGGTAACAAGAGGAAAACTCCACAGTTGGGAAACAACAGTGATAGGGCCCGACCAAGGAGAAGCTCCTCACCTGTGCTATCCGAGAGCTCTTCCTCTTCGTTCGAAACCCCTGCCCGGCGACCCTCTGGACAACACAAGCGTTCGACAGTGGAGCGACAGAGAGAAGCTTCACTTATCGTGGACTCGATCATTCAGCCATCGGAAAGCTCCGAAGACGACGAGCCCACCAAGGAAGTCAAGTCATGGAAAAAGCGCAAGGCGGAGCTCCTCAAGAAACTGCCGCCTGGGGTGGATGAACACGCCGCAAAGCAGATTCTCAACGAGATCGTCATCCAAGGGGACGAGGTACACTGGAGCGACATTGCGGGGCTCGAAATAGCCAAAAATGCTCTTCGTGAGACTGTTGTTTATCCGTTTTTGCGGCCGGATTTATTTATGGGGCTGCGTGAACCGGCGAGAGGAATGCTCTTGTTTGGGCCTCCTGGTACCGGAAAGACGATGCTGGCGAGAGCCGTGGCCACTGAGAGCAAGTCGACCTTCTTCTCCATATCCGCCAGCAGCCTGACCAGTAAATATCTGGGGGAATCCGAGAAGCTCGTCAGGGCGCTCTTCAGTTTGGCAAAGGTACTGGCACCGAGCATCATTTTCGTGGATGAAATCGATTCGCTTCTCTCGCAGCGATCAGGTTCAGGTGAGCATGAGGCCACAAGACGAATCAAGACGGAATTCTTGATTCAGTGGAGTGATCTCCAGCGCGCGGCTGCGGGAAGGGAGGTTGGCGAACGAGACAAGGAAAGAGGTGATGCAAATAGAGTGCTGGTTCTGGCTGCAACCAATCTGCCATGGGCAATTGACGAGGCAGCGAGACGACGGTTTGTCAGGCGGCAGTATATACCACTGCCTGAGGCGGAAACGCGGGCGGTGCAGCTGAAGACGCTGCTGAAGCAGCAGACACACACACTGAGTGATGAAGACATCAACACATTAGTTGCGATGACAGACGGTAAGTTGGCCCTAATCCTATACGCTATCTGTTTGGTTTTGAACCTGTTGCTGATGCGTCATATCTCAAACAGGCTTCTCGGGCTCGGATATCACAGCATTGGCAAAAGATGCTGCGATGGGCCCTCTCAGATCTCTTGGAGACGCCTTACTGCACATGACAGAGAATGATATACGGCCGATTGGACTGTCCGATTTTATTGCCAGCTTGGCCACTATCAGACCAAGTGTGAGCAAAGCGGGCCTAAAGGAATACGAAGACTGGGCGAGGGAGTTTGGAGAGCGTGGTGGATGAGAAAGTCCCCTTTGGGCCAATAGAAGCATACACTTTACATGTCGAGGCGAGCCTGGAGACTTTTCCTTATCTGTGTTTTTAAAAGCATAGCTCAGGAGTTCATAGGGGGTTTGTTGCTTTGGTTGGTTGGTTAGTTGGGGGCCAGGCAAGAACATAAACAAAGCAGCCATCTGCTCGTTAGGAAATAACACGAGTTCCCATAAGCATGCTTCCACAACATGGGGAGACATTATCTCCTGTCGAGCGATTGGCTCTGTCAGCCTTTGTCATGTTTCTGATGCCTAGTATTTCCACTCTTTGGTATATCTTGATGCTACAAACCTCCACCCAATATTGTATATATGTACACATGCACATGAACCATTCATGTTTCTTCCTGAAATCGTACACCTTTTTGACAGAGCCTAAAACCCAGACTCCGTCTCCCAATGCCTACTATCTGATGCACCCACCCCACTCCCTAACAATAACCCCAAGTCTTTTTATTTTCATTGCGTTTGCTTGGACAACCACCCGTACTTCTTCTTCGTCCTCGACTCGAGGATCAACGTCAGCGTCTTCAGCTCCTTCTCCACCTCGGTAGCTTCCGCCTTTACAAACTGCAGAGACCTCTCCGTCTTTTCGGCGACGTCCTTCAGGCTCTTCCTCGCCTCCTTTGCTTCTTTCTTGACCACCCTTTGCCTCACGAGCTCTTCGGCGGAGGGGATTGGGGGGCGGGCCGAGATGGGGAGGCCGGCGCCGGGGGCGATGATGTGTTTGACTACGTGGCGCTTGGACTTGGAGGTGCGCCAGCCGGGGCTGATGGCGATGACGTCGCCCTGGCGGAGGGAGTTGGCGGGGTCGTGGACGAGATAGGTTTTCGGGTCGTCGAAGTGCTGTTGGTGGTGAAGGAGGGGGAGTAGGTTAGTACAAGTAAGAGGTGAATGGGTCGGTGTTTAGTGGGGTTGAGAAGGAGGAGGAGGAGGGAGGAGGGAGGGGGAGTGGTTTGGTGGTATATAGTACCTTCTTGAGGAAGTTGTTCCACTTTAGCCCTCCCACGCGCACTTTGACCGTCTTGTCGATCAGCCCTGCGGTGACGACTACGCCGTGAATCTCCCGCATGGAGTTCAGCTGGGCGAGGTTCTTGGCTATTGAGGAGGAGGCCATCTTGATATGTGTGTTGATGTGTGCGTGTCTGTGGCCCCCAAAAGCCAACTGCTTTTCTCCAAGTTTCCTCCTCCTTTTGGTTTGGCGACCTCTTCAACGTCTCGGTTCTCGGGTACTCTTGTTGTGGGGGATCTGAGCCGGTGGTTTGGGAATTTGGCGGGTTGGCGGAGTCGCAGTAGCTCAGAGTTCGCAAAATGAGGCTGTCGTCTCCCAAAATTTTGGAGGCTGCACTACCAAAAGCCGGAGTGGACGTTGAGATGGACCGGGGTTAGGCGAACCACCGTGCGGGTCATTCCTGTAAAGATGCCCGCCAGCCTGTGTGCCAAGACTTTCCTTCTGCACTGTGGACGAAAGCTCAGCCTTGTGCGCTCTGTGCCCCTGTTTCTCTCAACGCAATTGAAAAGGGGTGAATGCAAACATCGAGATTACATCGCCAAAGATAGAGCACAAGCTCGCCCCAACACATATTCCCATAAAACACAGCAGTTAAAAATTAGAATTATTGTAGCTATCTTGCGCAGTGCACTAGGAAAACGCCTTGCGCTGTGCCCTTGTCCCGTTGATGCCATTGTAGAAAAAGTGTATGCTTAGTTGTCCCCTCGTTACCATAAATTCGTGATTGCAAACAGTTCCCCTAATCCAAAATCCCACACCTTTATTGCAACTCCCATGAGGGTAAGTATCCAACACCCCTCAAGTTACCGATTGAGCTGCAGCTGGTCAAGAAACTGGTGCAGGGCCAATCGGTGATGGCGTTTCGGACGGCGTCCGAACCTCAGCGCCAACTGCGGCTATAATTTTGGCCCTCCTTCGTGGTGGCGGGAGTTTCGGTGGCATCTTTTTCTGACCAGCCCCATTGACGTGCAAGTGAGGTACAGGCACCGGTGGATGAACGACAGGAACCCCGTGCTTATGTCGGGGCACTTCTGGCAGTGATTTCTGCGCCCTCAGAGTCCTAGGTGGCGGCGGTCTGGGTGGGCTGCCTCCATGCTCGGATTTGCCCTTGGCCTGCGCTGCCATATCCGACTTGCGACTAGGTGTCTTCACTCCGGGTTTCTCGGACACTTTGGCGATAACACTCACGGCACTACCGGTTTGTGACAGCGAGAGGCTGCCGATTGGACTGAGTGACGGAGATTCCGGCTCTTCTTCAGCCAGCCATGGGGTGCTGGCTACTCTGTCGAGCAGGCGTATTGTTGTCGGTTCGGGAGGCATAAAGTGCGCATTGCCGGTGCCTCGCAGGATGTCGATGAGACTGAGAATCTGACCCCTTTTGTAATGAGGCGGTTTGCTGAGTTGAGTATGAGCGAGCAAAGGGGCAAGTACCCTCAAGTAAGTGTGTCTCAAAATGTCCATCTCGCTCGGCAAATCAAGCAAGTTCCGTATGATGACATCCAGCAGCACATGGAGATCATTTGTGTAAAAATACTCGTACGTCGCAGATGTGGTAAAAAGCAGGTACAGCAGTTTGAGAATGAGCAGCTGCTGAGAGGTCTCTGTTTCTCGGTTGAGAAGCAGTATGATATTCTCTCCAAAGGTTCGATAGGAATCTCCATGAACGCCAAGAAGTTTGATGACGCGATTGGTGGTGGGCGAGATGGATGATGGTTCTGTCGCTGCCGATGTCGCTGCCACCATGTACTGTTCATTCAACACCAGCTGAAAGGCAGTTAGCGATAAAATTCCCAGAGCGATGAAATTCGGTAGCATTTACCAAAACCCGAATAACAGAATAGTGGTAAGGATCATTGGCGTCATCGGCTAGGGCTTCGATGAGTTGGAAGAGATACGTGACGAAGCCATCGTCAATTTGCATCAAATCCTCGTCCCGTAGCCGTTCAATGCGGGACATCTCATACATCAGCTGTAACAGAAGCCGATGTAATCGGGAATCCTTTCCCCCACACCCCTTGATCAACTCCAGCAACCGCACAAAGCACCCTTCCTTGATCATTTGTCGGAAGGTCTCCTCCTCGGCGCGGCCGTCGGACAGGAGAAAGTTGGCAATAACGTGGAGCGGCGCATACTCATCCTCCTGAAGCAGACTGTATATGATTTGGGTTCGCACATAGTCCTTATTGACAGAAAACAGCGGGCTGTGTATTAACTGCTCGGAACAATTCGCAATCTCGTCCTCGTCGTCGAGGTATTCGTCCCGGGCCTTGGAAACCAAATCAAGCCATGAGCGCAAGGCGTTATCGAGAAGCTCGTAAGAATCGCATGGTGCAGAGAGGATCTGATTCAAGGCTGCAAAGATGGATCGCAATCAGCATGTTGTGTCTTGGGTCGAGCTGCCGTACATTCTTCTTTACCTGCCCAAAATTGCTGCTCATTCTCAGCAGTCCAAGTGCCTTGGACATCGGCCATGTTCTCAGACGAGCCAGTGTTGTGAATGCAAATGGGTCATCACGATGGCTAGGTGTCCAGGTCGCATATAAGGAATTCCGAGAGGCGCAATGCACTTTGCGGTAAGACAATCCGGTGATCAGGGCGTTTTGTAGTTGGACTTGGGATGGTCCGCCTGACTGGTGGCTCTCTTGTGTTGGAGGGGTTGAAGCACTGCCCGTGACGGATCGAAACTCCCAATCTTCGGTTTGGCTGCCGAGACTCACGTTTCGCATGCACGGGCCACCTAATTAAGCCGGGATGACGTCGAATGGGTAGTGCCAGTGTCTTGGGTCCCTCTCGTCTTTTATCATGATCAATCATATCGATAGGTATTCTTCCTGTTCTAAGCCTATCTAACCTGCTCCATGTATCTCCGCCACACATTAATCTTCAGTCAGCGTATCAACTGAAACGATAGACAACAGCCGCCAAACTATGCAAAAAACCAACACGTCCTTTGAACGCCCCCAACCATGAAAATACCCAGATCTATCATGTCATGAACCCTCCCCCCATCATCATACAGACACAACTGCTATTCTTCCTCGTATATTTTGGCCCGTTCCGCATACTCTCGGATGCTGCTGACCACATAATCCTGAATTTCCCCGCCCCTGCCAGCCGCAATTCTCAGGATGAGCTCGTTGAGGTTGGACCTCCCCAAAATGTCAACGTGATCCGCCGTATTGGGTCCGCCACGAGGATTGAACCTTTCAGGTTCGTGTGGCATCTCCACCACAGTCACTTTCGCACCAGCTGGGTTGTACCGCTTCATATTCCACCCCTTGTTGCACATATACCCGGTACTCATCAGGTTTACTGTCCCATCTCCTTCACCCATGACAACACCGTGATCGACATCGCCTTGGATGAGGGCAGTGTCAATGGTCATGTTCAAGTTAGTGAGAGCTCCAAGCTCGGGAGAGCGGTAGTAGTAGGCCCGTTCGGTGGGCTTCCCTACGCCATAGAAACAGTACACCTTGAGGCTAGGGGCGAGAGGCAGACGAGTTTCGAGAGGGTTGATCCATTTCCTGGGATCAAGTTCGTTGGCTGTGACCTCCTTCATAGTGTGTGCTACGCCCTGGGAATAACTTCTTTTGACCAAATCCCGATACCAATCATCAGTCGTGTCGTATAGGTATTGCATTGCATCGTCCACCGTAAAGTTTGTCTTTGGTATCGTCCAGTTCTGGTTGGTTCGAAAGTTGAGGAATGAACCAAAGCTCACTGCTTGACCGGGCTGGTCATCAGGTGCCCCATCAAGATCTCCCCAAATGGCATTGCCTCCCATTGGCAACATTGAGGACATGCCAGGCATGGCACGGAATATCTCGGCTCTCTCCTCTTTGCTAAGAAACTTCTCCAGTCCATACACTGCGAAAGCATTCAGTTGCGCCGTGTCACGCATCTCGCCCGATAATATCGCTGCGACATCCTTGACGGCCCCAAGCATGCATCCACTGACGTTGATCCATGAGTCAACATGTCTCTCCACCCAGTCGTCACCACCTCTGCCGCCCTGCTCAGAGGCTACCCAGTGGAAAAAGTAGAAGACCACTTGGCTGCCCATGCTGTGTGATGTGAGGACAACCTTCTTGTTATCCAGCTTGACGGCCATCTCAATATGGGCTTTCAGTCTAGAGAAGTACTGGTCTCTCATCTCCAAGTTCGGGTACGCTAGCCGCCAGTCGTACGCTGCCGTGAACGAGTTGGTCGGGTCATAACCCAAGGACGCTAGGTTTTCGATGATCTTGTTCCAAATCCAGTACCCGGTAATAAAGAAGTCAGTCGCGTCGAAGCCTTGTGCCGCCCTCAGTTTGATCCCCGGTGGGTCCAGCCCAGTTGTATGGTCCAACATGATGTGCCTCTTCCAATTCTCCTTGTCCATGACCAATGCCCTCATCATGCTCCAACTGCCCCAAAGCCGTTTCCGAAAATAAGGTAGCGATTCATTAGACGTTCCCCAGGACTCGAGACCAGTCGAAATAACACCGGGAATTAGAACCATTGGATGGTGTGACGATAGGCCTTCGGAGCGAACCTTGAGGCCTACAGAGAAGGCATCGTAGCTTTCGAGAAAATCGCGTTCGCCATTCTGTCATGCGGGTGATCCATTAGCTTGACAGGTAATCATATAAAATTCCAGAGCGTGTGTGATTTACTCACCACCAGCTCGCGCATATCCTTGACAAAACCTGCAGGAAGAATCTCGAACAAGTTGTCCATACTCAAGTCCCCGAGCTCGGGGAACTCGAAACCGATAAGATCATTGCTTTTTGCAAAGAAACCGGCCGCAATGATACCAAACAAACTCCCGAGAAAGAAAATACCCGTTGTCTTCCTCTTTCGTGTTTCCTTTCGTTTGTGGACGACCTTGACTTTCTCGCCGGGTCTGACGGGGCTTTGGTTGCGAGGTGTCTGTGCGGGTGAAGGTTCGGTAGGTGTGTCGTTGCCGTTGCCGAACACTCGTCGCCGCAGAGTGCTGGCCATCTCGAGACTGGTTTGGGCGGTGACTAGTGCGTTGTGGTGTGAATGCACCGTGGATGGGTAGACTTCAAGGAGGTGGTTCAGAATATCCAAATACTGAGGAGCGCGGCGGCCCCTCCGCTTCAGCTCTCAACAGCAAGTCCGGGTGGGGCAAGGGATCTTTGACTGCCGGTTTCGCTCCTGCTTGTCACCCATCGACATGTAGATTTGCTTCGGCTCGATGTTGATACCGGGGAATCTGTGTCGGCATTTTCTAGAACACCGAAAAAGAAAAAGAAGCGATCATAGCCGGGTTTTGTTTCGTCATTCTTAATTATCCGATCCACGTCGTTGTGATTTGCTCTCCGCGCCCGTGTCGATGTACTCGGTACTGGGCTATTGTTTGCGCCTCTGCTTTAAAATAGACACCAGGCGCATCCATCCAAGAGACTTTGGCTTCAAATGTTATTTCAAAGTATAATCTATCATATAGGTTATCTTTTATCTGAGATCAGCACTTTAAGCTTCTCACTGAGACAAGGTTGTCTCTTGTAGATCCAAGTATCGACTACCGAAGAATGCATGTTGAAGACTGCCGTTTCCTGACAGGTGGGTTGACAGGCACGACAGGGATGCTGCACGGGGTTTGGAGAAGTCGACCCATTGGGGGAAACGGGACGAGGGGGCCCAATGCTTGCCATGCGATTGGGACATGGCATGTGAAAGTTCAATGACGAAGACCCTGGGACGAGCAAGCGTTCGTCAGATCTTTTGCCAGCGCAACCTCCCCGCTTCCAACACCGCGCCTACAGTCGACAACCGTCACCAAACCCCCCTTCCACGACAAGCGAACCTCAACATATACGACACGAACCCCTTCTCTCCACTCATCCTCAACGTGCGCATCATCTTTTATTTCCGCTTTCGAGGCTGCTGCTCGCTATTCGCGGCCCATTTGCTCACGCACTCGGAGAGCAGCGGACCGCATCAGTCTTCCGCATGGAACAGAGCTCGCGCGTCGAACAACTCCCACGGGAACTGAAGTACATACAATATGAGCATCGTCTCGAGACTCAATATCTACCGGCAATCCGCGCCTTGATCTCCAAGGACCTCAGCGAGCCCTACAGCATCTATGTCTACCGCTACTTTCTCTACCAATGGGGCCATCTGTGTTACCTTGTAAGCCCATCCGACGGTCTTCCCCCCCTCTCCTCTCGACCCGCGAATCCATTTCCGACGGCCCTAACCCCGCATCTCTCTCGTCCCAGGCTATCGACCCTGAAGACTCCTCCCTAGTTGGCGTCATAATCTGCAAGCTCGAAGCCCATGCCTCCCATTCGCCCCCCACCTTGCGGGGATATATCGCTATGCTCGCCGTGTCATCTGCCTACCGCGGACATGGCGTGGCAACGACACTGGTCAAGATGGCCATCGACTCTATGAAGAGCCGCAATGCCGACGAGGTGGTTCTTGAGACAGAAGAGACAAATATTCCCGCAATGAGGCTATATGAGCGGTTGGGCTTCCTGAGATCCAAGAAACTCCATCGCTACTACCTAAACGGCAATAGCGCATACAGGCTGGTCCTTTTGTTGAGGCCAATTGATCCGGACTCGGCGGCCGATCTGGCGTTGGACGATGCTGATATTTATCGATGATGGATGTCTGGGCGCCCACCAAAACAGTTACGGAACATGTGGTAGCCGTGATAGGGACATGCAAACGGTGTTCGGGAAGATATGGCGCTCAACGAGTAGAATATTCAGAAGCTCTTGCGCATCAAACGCCGACGGTCAAGATGATGGGACGGTTCATATTCACCTGGAAGTTGTGGCTTGAAATACAGCCATGGCTTGCCCCAAGAGGCTCATCAATTGGGAAGCACCAAAAGATACGAGGGGGCTTATTACATAGTCGACCAGGTCGCATATCCTCTGACAGAACTTTCAGGAACACATCATGAGAGAGATTTGGCGGGTCACACCATATCCTCACAGCTAACTCACCCAAAACGAACAAACCTGCCGGGATAAGAGGTAGAAGGACGGAGCAGCGCCAGGCGAGGAAATAGAGGACTGAAAAGTTTACTTTGTGTTCATATTACTATTAAGGGAAACATGCGTTTCCGGTCCTTACAAAAATATCAAATCGCTAGCTCCAGTGTGGTATCATCCTGCTCCCTCCTCGGGGTAGTTGCCGGCTCGAACAAACATTCTCTTGTGCAGAGACACGGGGGAGCTCAAAACGTCCTCTTCCCGGTGACTTCTTTGATGTACTCAAATTTCTCTTTCGAGTTGTACTAAAATTGTATCGTTAGCATGCACGGAAACTCGACGAGGTTCCGCTGAACCAGCCAACTCACCAAGGAAGCTTTGATCCCCCATTCATTTTCCCCATATATTCCCAGTTCGGTCCAAGCATCTACAGCATCGTTCGTCAGTGTGATGCTCGAGAGACCGTCAACCGCCCCGACGCACCAGCCTTGTAGTAGATCTGCCTCGCTCCCGGGCCCTGCTTCACCAACTCCAGCTCTTTCATCCTCCTCAACACTCTCGCCACATCATCCTTATCCGTAAAATCCTCAGTATAGATGCATATCAGTCTCTCTTTCTTCTCAGCGTGCCCATCATCATACCCCGCAGGCATCCTCGTCGCCACCTTGGCCGCAGTCCCCAACTGATGATTCGCCACCGCCCTGGCAACCTTCTTCCACGTATCATTAACGAACGCTACGTCCGGGAACAGCATCCATTTCCCAGAAGTCTCGCGGCACTCCACCGCTAGCTGTTTTAGGTCCTCTATTGTCTCCTTTCTGGCCACGGCAATGTGTCGTTTGGCGACCAGGGGAGAGTTGGGGTAGGCAGCGGTGGTCTTGTCAATGAAGGATTTGAACAGGTCAAGACGTTCACGGCCGGCTCTCATAAAGCGGTCGTGGTCGGAGGGGGGACGGGGAGGGAGGTAGGGGTTGGCGATGAAGATCCATTCTAGGCCAAAGCGGCAGTTGGTTGTGGCTGGGGGTAGGCGGGCGAGGAACTGGGGGATGGATTCTGTGAGTTGGTAGGCGGCGTGGGGGATATGGGCGTAGGTGTTGTGAAGGCGTCCTGAGGCTAGAGGGGACTGGGAGGTGGATTCCGAAGGGGTGATCCGGGAGGTGATGAGTTTGGTGCGTGCTTCTTGGGAGGACCAGTAAGAAGGTGTGTTGTAGGCGGCAACTCGGGACTTGAGCCTGGAGACGGTTTTGGGGGAGCCTGGGGGGCGTGTTAGTGGTGGTGTGATAAGATCGGTGGGCGATATGCATGATGAGCTGGCTGACCGTAGAAGTCCGAATCGTCGGAGTCATCCATTTTCTCACGCCAAAAGAGTTGTATATCTGGATGTTCCTGACCGCTGCTAAAGAAAATAGAGATTACAGTCTTGATCCTCCGTTTGTGAGCGGGTTTGTATTGGGTTGGGTTTTGATCAGTTTAGGTTAAAGCTGAGCTATGAATGAGCTGGTGGAGTCTCAAATATGCAGGCACCCATCAACTTTGGCGGCCCTGAGATACACTAATCATGGAGGAAGATGATCTGGAAAGATAAACGCATGGTGTTTTGAAAGAATCGAGAAAGTAAAATAGTCATGGGATTCCAGGCAAGTCGGTCTGGCGAGGCTTGGGGCGTTCTTCATTCAGAACTGACCAATCCGATGCGCCGGGGATAATTGTCAAGTCCCGAAAAAGAAAGTGCGACCAGCATCAAATCTTGAGTGTCTTCACACCTCACAGGCCCCAGCGCACCACCCTTGTTCTCAAGGTCATCCGCTTTTAAAGTGTTACACGGAGTAAAATGGAAGAAGATTCGGGCAAGCTGATCAATTCAGTTTGGTCACGGGAGTTGGATCTTCCACCAAGTTGTGTTGAGTTCTGCCCAGCTCACCCGTCTTACTTTCTGGTCGGGACCTACAATCTACAGAAAGACGAAGTTGATGCGCACACGCCAGAGCAAGACGCCGGTGATGATGACAACAAAGACGACGCGAAGTCACAGGCTGCTAAGCCAAAGAAAGCTCAAAGTCGAAATGGAAGCATCCTCGTCTTCCAATTACAGGACGATAACAACATGTGAGTCACTAGATCCAGCTCGGGTTCTGCTTCACACCTAACCCTTCTCAAAGAGTTCCTATTCAAACTGAGCCTCAGCCATCTGCTTTGCTGGATCTTCATTTCAACCCGATTGAGGGATTTTGGGACATTTGCGCAACGGTCTCAAGTACGGCTACCCTTGCCATCTTCAAGCTCTCGCCCGGTCCTGAAGATGACAAGCCTTTAAAGCATCTAAACACGATGGACATTTCATCGTTGTCAGGAGGGGATATTTCTGCTTCGGATGGGTCGGAAATATTGTTTCTATCTGTTTGCTGGCACCCATCCCGAGCAGATATGCTGGCGGTTACCACTAATACCGGCCATGTCTACTTGGTGCATCTGCCAGCTTGGGACAAGGGCTGGAAACTTCTGCCAGAGCCGGCGACCACTCACACATTGGAGGCCTGGACGGTGAACCTATCGCCTTATATCGGGTCCACTGACTCGCCAGAAGAAGTATCTTTCAGAACATTCTCGGGGGGTGATGACTCCAAACTGCGTTTTGGAACAGTTATCTGGAGTCCCTCAGACGATCATCTCACTGAGACTATTTCTGCTGTCGAGGCCAGGGGTCATGATGCTGGAGTAACAGCAATCTTGCCTCTCTTTGTCCTAGAAGATGGATCGGAGCTGCTTGTCACAGGGAGTTATGATGAGAATATCAGACTCTTTTCACTGGCTCCATATGGGAGGCCCAAAAACCTCGTCGAGATGGGACTTGGGGGAGGTGTGTGGAGGCTGAAATTAATCAATCTTGACAAGACACCGAGCCCGACCTACAACTGGAGGGCACGGATATTGGCATCATGCATGCATGCCGGCTCGAGGGTGGTGGATGTTCTGCAAACCGTGGATGGAGAGCACCATGTTCGAGTTCTTGGCCGGTTTGAGGAACACAAGAGCATGAACTATGGAAGCGACTTTCATCCCCAGAGAAAAGACAGCTTGACAGTTGTGTCGACTAGTTTCTATGATAGGCTCCTCTGTTTGTGGCAACTAGATATAGCATGAGGCTAGAGAGTACTAACTAGGGAATCCGGGAATAGTTGAGCAAACTTACAGATACATCATGTCCAAAGACTGAGAATGACAGGAGCATTTGAGTGCCTGCAGTGTGTGTTTGGTTTTATGAATGGAAAATTATCAAGTTGTGACGGTTTCAAATATACATATCATAACTCCAGAGCAACATTGCAGAGATGTCGTCGAGGAGCGTACCTTATCCAAAATCCGCCAGTGTCATGGTGAGACATGGGGGTCCTTCACTGTGTGACGCAATCCCTGAAATCCCTAGGGCCCATGTCCACTAAAGTTACTTGACCGCCTTTACTTGTAGTGGCTGCATGGGCGTTTCTGCCCCGCACTAATCCCAAGAAAGCTTATTAGTCGCGCCTAAGCGCGCCTGACACGCCCCGTTTTCGCCGTTTCGGTACCTCGGTGGGTAATTATTAAAGTCACTCTATTTCGACTCAAGAGTCAGCAGACAAGAGAGATTGGAGCCAGACATCACTTTGATTCTTTCATACTAGATCCGACATCTCGGGTTGCCGTTATTTCTTTAATTACCGTCCCGGCAGCTTCTTCTTTTTCTGTAAACCCAAGGAGGCCCCGAGTTCTTTTGCTTGGTACCTTTAAAGCACTGCCTGCCGCTTCAGCGCATCGCTTTTCCATCGTGCGATTCGATCTCAACTTGCTCACACCGAGCCTCAACAACAGCTGCGATTTTTCTCTTCCCATTCTCTCCATTAAGCCAGAAGACTCGTCCTCTTTGCCACAACAGAAACCTGCCTGCTGTGCGACTGCAGCCCTCAGCATGGCGGCCATTTCGCCAAACGGCGCCCCTGGCGGTGAGGCCATTCTGGCGAGAATTCACGAAGCCCTCAAGGTCGTACACAGCCCATATTCTGCGAACCAGGCACGACAAGAAGCCCAATCGTTCCTCGAGGAAGTGAAGACGCTCGGCGACGCCCCATCCCACGGATACAACCTCGCCTTCGACAGGTCACAAGCTCCAATTGTCCGCCACTATGGCCTGTCCCTCCTCGAGCACGCCGTGAAGCACAAGTGGTCGGAATACAGCATCGAGCACCAAGCCTACCTCCGCAACTGGGTCTTGCAGCTGTCCGAGTCCGTCTCGAGAGAAGACCCGTCATATCTAAGAAACAAAACTGCCCAGTTGTGGGTAGAGATAGCCAAGAGATGCTGGGCTGTGGAGTGGATGGACATGGACGAGCTGCTTGTTCGCCTCTGGAGAGTCCCAGAATCCCCAGTTCACAAGCAATTTATCCTACAGATCTTGGAAACACTGTCCGAGGAAATCTTCAACGGGGACGATTCGGTTGTAGCCCTCCGCGAAGGAGCACTCAGCAAGGCTTGCGTCGAAATATTCACCCCTGCTGCCGTCCTGACCGAAGCCTTTCCCAACCGCCAGGTGGGCCCGAATGTGCGGTTTGAAGAGGAAGGGTGGCTCAGTAGGATTACACAGTTCGTCACCGACTGCCTCAACAGCGGGGCCGTCGAGCAAAACGAGGATGCTGCGGCCTGTGTCGTGAAAGCCCTCAAGGTTCTCGCTTCAGTCATGGCCTGGGCTGTTCCCAAAGCAGTCAATGCGGTTGGCAGTCGCCCCGTTCTATGTCGCTGCCTTGCGACTCCCAATGTTTCTGTACAAAAGGTCAGAGTTCTCTTCTCAAGTGCTCTGTGTGTGTTTTGTACTTTCACTAACACGTCACAAGGCTGCACTCGAGGCCCTCCATGCGCTCTACAACCGTACAATGTTCACCGATGAGGACTTTATCGATCTTGTTGTGCCAATGTATGGCGAAGACGTGGTGGATTTGTTCAAGCGGCTCTTCGAGTGGTCTACAGTTGACGCCCAGGATATCGACGATGACAAGTATACGTTCGCCAAGAAGTTCTCCGAGGCAAGCCTGCACCCTCGGGTCACTATTAGACTGCATCCGTGATGCTAATAGGGGATACAGACAGTATGTTCGCTGGCCAACTACCTGGACCGGAAGTTTGCGGCCATCCCTCCTCAAGTAAACGTGCAGGGGTTTTTTCAACTCCTTATGTTGGTAGTGAAGAGTCAAAGTCTCGTCGTTTCGATCCCCGTCTTGGTGAGTTGGACTCGTCTTTTGAGCCATCGCACTCTGGGGCCGGCGGCTTCGAATATGCCATTCATCCCAGATCTTCTTGAGTTGTGCAGCAGCCGTCTCATACGGTATGAGAACCTGCCAGATGATACCGATGATCCAACATATGTATTGCTTCTCGAGGACACAGACACGCTTCCCGAGCGACATGCTTTCCTCGGAAATTATCGTCGTTACAGTTGCCAGGTCATTGAAAGCATCGTCAATCTTCGATTGTCCGATGCCTTCTCACATATCCTTGGAAAGGCAGAGGCTGCCTTCCGGACACTCTACGACGGGCAACCGCCTCTCAATGGTAAGCTTCAACTGGTGTCATAATTGTTCCGTATGCTGTGTTTCTACGACTGACATTACTTGCAGCTGCAAACTACTCCAAAAGCTCAGTTCCTGTGTTGACAGTGGATACACACGCTACTGTCATCGAAACAGCACTTAGGGGGTATATCAAGTGGAGGTCTTCACGTAACTCGACTCCAGAGGAGGTGAGTGGTCCTCGTCATTACCAGCTAGTAGGTGCGATTTAAAGCTAACCTGCCTGAAACAAAAGGAGCAAAAGGTTGCGGGCATCGAGGACCACTTTGAGAAATGGTGTGGGCAGCTCTTGGAAATGAAATTCGAGGTACAGATTCCGCTTCTGGTCTTATGTAATGGAAAGCCTATGCTCACATCTCACTAGGACCCTCTGATCAGGAAGCGTGTTCTCCAGCTTCTTGTGGCCTTTTCTACGACTGCTCTTGACTCTAACCCGGGCTTCATGTTGAGAGTGCTTGAGCACATCTTGATGACTTGGCCAGCTTTGCAGCCCGACCATAAGCTCCTCAATGATGCTATTCGAGATTTGCAAAACGAAAGCATGATTGAGCTGCAGCGGCTCGCCTCCAAGATGCCCGACCACTTATTAGTAAGGCTTCTCCTGTTCCGTATCCGGGGACACAGGCGACTGATTCATCATCCAGGATGTGTACGACCAACTGGAAGCCAAGATCAAAGAGATGATAGCATCTGGTACTCTGGATGAGAAGCGCCAGATTGCATACCAGAGTTTTCTTTTCATCATCATGTGAGTCCTCCAATATTCAGTCTGCTCGGATTGTAGCAAGTAGCTTACTCATTCAAGTCACCGTTCCACCCGAATTGACCCAGGTGTGCGCCTACAGAGACTATCGTCTTTCATTGAGCCTGTGAGGAACCAATGGAAAGATGAGTCACTCAAACAAGCACTCAGCTCGTATGATGGGTTCTGCCAGCTACTCGGCCTGGACAGGGCGCAAAGGTACTTGGCCCAGCGCCGCATCCACGAGGTTGCCGACTGGGGTGCGGCAGATCTCGACGCCGAGGGCCTTGCTCTCCAGGTGGAGTTGGAGCAAAGACAGACGGTGAGTGTCTCCGGCGCTGTTGTGCTCTTTCCCCAGCTAACCAGTCATCCCAGATGCTGCCCCTGCGGATGACCAAATCATTCTTAACTTACTCCGTCGAGAAACTGGAGAAGAACTCGCCCCCCTATCAAGCATCATGTGCTCTTTGGCAGGACAGCTTCCCGCTTATTCTCCCAGAGTTGCTCAAGTTCTTGAGGTATGCACCTGTTGCCCCGATGGAGTTGATAGCGCAACGTCCTTTTGCTGACCTTGATCCAGTTATGCACATGCGTCTCACAATCCAAAGAACTGGAGCCAGCTGCCGGTAGAGATGCAATCGGTCGCCACCCGTGTCCTGACCGATCGCTTTTGGCAAGCCGGTATCTCTGAAGGGAGTAAGGATGACTTCTATGCGCGGGTCCTTGGCAAAAAGAGCACGCTTGAGGGCCTGGCCTCGACTATTCGTGGCTCTGTCCGGTTCGTGCGGGAGACGTGCTATGCTATCATATACTGCATGAGTCGGCTCGACATGCAGTTCTATGGCTTCCTCGAGCTCCCGGGCCCACTTGCCAACGCACTGTTTGCAGACTCGTTCTGTTTGTCAGCGCACCAGATCATCAACTTGCTGAATCTGGTCAGGTACCTGGTTGACCACTGTCCAGTAGAGCTCCGAGAACACTTCCTGCCTCCCATTCTCGCTACCTGTTTTGAGCAGATGGATACCAAGATCACATCAGAATGGGATAAGTTGGGCCAGCGAGAGGCTGTACAGGCTGGCGGAGAAGAGTTGACGGAGGAGATGAAGGCTGAGAGTATCCTCCGGCAACTCACATATTCCGCCGTGTTGATGGTAGCCGATGTTCTTGACCCATCCCGAATCTGTAAGTTCTGACGAGCTGACCCGAGCCCTTTGCCATCTTCCTATGCTAACCAGGATCCAGCTGGTCCCGTGGGCAAGGTGGAAGACGGAACGCCTGAGAAGAAGCTTCCTTCTCTCCGCAAATTTTGCTTGATGAACTCGGCCATTGCGGTTCCACTATTGGTTTTCTGCAGCCATGCCATCAAGATGCACGACGGACGATGCTGCGGAGTGGTACTGCGCGTTTTCAAGTCCATCGTGCCCGAGTTCCACCGTACGGACCAACCCAAGGCCCATAAGGAGGGTGGAAGCACAGCGCCTTTGGATGACGGCTTCCCAATTCCAGAGGAGAGTGCCAGGGAGATTCGCGAATTCATCTCTGCTGAAGTTTTGAAGGCCGCCATCACAGCGCTCCACGATCCATATTTTGTCGACTCCCAAAAGGATATTGGATCTCTGATTGCGCATATTCTTGCGCACTATGCCTCCCTGACGCCAACTCCACGGAACATTCTTGTGCAGTTGCCGGGAATCAGGGAGGACCAGGTTGATCAGACAATTCGCTACGTTTCTGGACCAGGCGTGCATTCGAGGCAGCAGCGAGCCATGGTGTTGGACCTGCTTCGAGATCTCAAGGGCGTGAGCATCTCCGAGATGGGCAAACTCAACAAGAGCCTAGGTACCCCGTCGCGAAGCAGCAAGTCCAAGCGGAGCAAGATGGCTCAAGAGTTCATGACTCCAGTGGACACAACACATGGTGGAAATCCCAGTGACGGAACCGGAAGAGGCAAGACACCCGATCTGGAAGGGGTAGCGGGCATGTTCGATGAGCCTTAGGAATTGTGTTCGATATTGCCTTCGTTGTGTTACGGTCGTTTACAGGTGATTGCGTTGCGAAGAGTGAGGTGAAAACGAGCAGTGCCTAGACGATAGTCTTGTGATTTTGCATTGATCTGGAGAGGGAAGGAATCAGCACAAGTATTGGTTAGCAAGCATTAGGTAGTTGTAAAGACAGCGTATTGAGGACAGCACAACACTGAATACAAGTACCGTTAATACCGGGCATCGAAATGTCTGGCAGTTGGACTTTGAATCAGAAGCACAATCGATGCTGTCAGTTATGATGAGGGGTTACTGTGTATGTGAATGTAGGTGGTACTAATGGCATTGCTCCGGCCTAGTGCTTGTGCAGGGGATGGGTGGGTGTTTCGGGTGATCACGTTGCCGATGACTGGTCTGGTTGGACCAAGCCCCTCAGTCATGACACTGTCTACCTATCACGATGCTCGGGCGCGACACTTTTTCTTTCAACTTGGTTTATGCTGTTATAGTATACCATTTTGAACCTCGGCAACAATCGCCACGGAGCTCGCCGCTCTCTCAAAGAAACAGCCCGGACATAGACAACCCCGCCGTTGGCAGGATTGCCAAGTCTTGGGGTAGCTCAGCCCTATTCGCGGTCTATGAGGAGAAGGAATCATCACTTGAGTTAACCGCGTTGCCGAATCAACCTTCACGGTTCGGAGGTTTGCGACCTTCGACAACTCTCGACAAGAAATAGGGGGTTAGAAAAGGGGCGATTGCCCCACAAATCGTTATATCCGCCCACCTCCCGACCCTCTTACACAGCTCACACCGCATCCACCGCATATTCTTACCCATCTTTCCAGACAACGAGAAACGAACTGGGTCCAGTAAACCCAATCCCAGGTCGCCATAGCCTGTGGTCACGGATCGAGTATTGCTTCTTCTTCTGGCTACTGTTTGGAAACACTCTTACTTGCAGCACAGTCTAGTTGATCGCCCGCCAAGTGTATGTAATGCGTTTCATGCCGGCATAGGGAACCGAAAGAGGACATCTACAACGATACAACTCTGGCCGCCCCCCCAAGACAGGTCTTTGGCTGGAATCCCGAGGCAGATCCATATAGCTTTGCAGATCCGGTTCTGGCCCCGAAGGTTTGGGCTTGCTTTCTTTCTTCCACGCGAGCCACTTGTCCGGTTTGGGCTTTGTGAGAAACTGTTGTGCAAAGAGATCGACTGCTCAAGATGGTGTATCTGGGTAGACCCTCCAAGGGTTGTCAGATGTGTAGGACCAGGAGGATAAAGGTACTCGGCCTCCTGACGTGATACAGACGATGATTTACGAGAACATCGATGGCTAATTACAACAGTGCGACGAAACAAAGCCAACATGCAACCAGTGTGCCAAGGCCCGTCGACAGTGTCCGGGATACAGAGACGAATTTGATCTTCTACTTCGAAACGAAAACCAGGCGGCAGCCAGGAGGGCACTGAAAGCCAACACCGCCGCTGCTTCATCCAGCAGCAGCAGCAGCAGCAAGAAAGCCACTGCTTCCAACAAGAACGCACAACCGCACCCCCGGCAGCAGGCATTACAACTCTCTAGATCCCAGACAGTAGCACTCACCAACTCTCTCAGCATCCCAGTTGAAGACCTCGCCACTTGTCACTTCCTATCTAATTTTGTTCTGGTCCCGCCGCAAGAACAACACTCGGCAAGAGGGTACAATCACTTTCTGCTTCCCTTGCTGCAGCAGTACTCGAACGGCACGAACAGAGAAGAAATCACGCACCTCCAGCACGCATTCAACGCCTGTGCTTTGGCTTCACTGGGGGAGAGATATGGAGCCCCCAGCCCCGGCCGCGGGCATGGGCGTTTAACAACAGGAAAAGAAAAGGAGACGCTCCTTCGAAAGGGGGCTGAAGAATACACGCTTGCTCTGATGGCCACAAATGCGGCTCTGAGGGATCCAATTCGGTGTAAAGAGGATGGAACCCTGGCAGCTGTTTTGTTGCTGGGCATGTTTGAGGTATGTCTGAGCCGCCGCTTGTTTTGCAGTCATTTGTGGAAAAGGGCTTACCTCTCTGATCTTTCAGAACATCACCGCCAGACAAGACACCGGGTCAGCCTGGGGTTCCCACGTCGAGGGAGCAGTCCAGCTCGTCAAGGCCCGAGGGAAGAAACAGCTCAAGTCAAAGCTGGGGGTGCAGTTATTTGTCGTTGTACGGTCACAGCTAGTATGTGTCATTCTTTCGGTTTCGTTGCTCTCTTCCATGCTTCTGGGCTGACACGTTGTAGATCATCCACAACTTCATCACTGCCACACCCCTCCCCATGGGGGTTTCATGGTGGTTAAACGAGGACGCAAACTCGGATCCAACTGCCAACGCGTGCGAGCGACTCAACCTCTTGACGGCCGAACTGAGAAGCGAGGCGTACGGCTTCTTCTCCAGCCCACTATCGTTCTCCTCCTCGCCAGCATCCATCGCCGCGGTCGAAGAGTTCCTCGCTCGAGCTCGAGCCCTCGATGCCGAGGCTGTCGAATGGTTCGCCACTTTACCCCGGTCCTGGCAAATCGAATCCATCCCGTATTCGTCATCCGGCAACGAGAATATTTTTCCTGGTGTTGCGCATGTGTACCCGGATATGTGGACCGCAGCCATCTTCAACCTCGCACGTGCTACTCGAATGGTGCTCATGTCGATCATCGTGCGGTGTGCCGCGTTTTTGGTCCGGCCGGGAGACTATCGGACCACGGCAGAGTATGCCTTTGCCGCGAGGACGGCGAGCAGTGTGGTGAGTGAAGTGATTGCGAGTGTTCCATATCATCTTGGGCATCTCCCGCCACGGAAAGACAAGAGGGGGAATCCAATAGAAAACAGTCTTAATGGTAGAGGGTTGGGGGGGTATTTCTTGACGTGGCCATTGGCGTGTGTCGTTACTCACGATCATGTAACTGATGCTCGTAAGTCACTATCCCGCTATGTTTAGAGAGAAGGAAGCTGCTGATCAAAGAACATACAGAACGGGAATATGTGCGGGGACGGTTGAGGTATATCGGGGATGAGCATGGGATCAAGTATGCGAGGGTGCTGTTTGGGGTTTGTGGATCCTCCCGCGTTGAGCTTCATTAGACGCCAGACGCTAACAGGCATAATAGGTTAACCTCAGGCTTCCGAGTATGCTTATCTTTAAGGATGGAAAGCTTGCCGCTGCGGCGGCTGCAAGTAAAATCCCGGGGGCGAACAGTGTTGGGGGTTCGGCCGGTGCTGTCATGCGTGCGGCGGGTCTCACGAGTAGACTCAGATCGGTGTGAGAAGGCAAGGAGGGGATAGCCACAGCTTGTGTCTTTGGAGTTTTATATGAATTGAATACCCTGGTGTACAAGTAATCCTGGTCCATCATGAAATAGTCATAAGTCATTGAGATGCTTTCTTTCCATTTGGTCTCTAATCAAACCAACCAAGCCTCAAAGGAAACGAAAACCCCCGTTTAGTCACTGCCGATCTTGGGACTCTTTTGTTTTGTGAGGAAGTTTCTATCTCCTTGATTAGCAAGCCTCGAGAGAAGTTGTATGAATCACGACATACCTCTTGCGCTTCGAAGTATCAACTGCATTCCCGCTCAGATCCCATGCCTTGACAAACCAGCTCTGTGTCGCATCCAGATACGACTCGTCCTTGACATTTTTGACACTGACACGAAGACCGTCTTTGGTGAAGACCATGTTTTTGTCGCCCATCTGCTTTTCGGCCTGGTCCTTGATCTTCATGACAGAAACGTAAATCTGATAGCCAACCCAGGCCATTACGCCCAGTACTGCCAGGACGATAAACAACGGGATGAGTTGCCTGTTGGGCTTGGTTAGTTGGAAGCTTGTGGCCCAAGAGTCTGGGTAAGTCAAACCTAGCTGCTGATGGTGGCGGCGGAGGAGGCGCCTTTGTCTTTCCCCAAGCCATGATGATGATGATGATGATGACGAAAATGTACAGAGTCGAGGCGTGGTCGCTTTCTAGAATCTAGGTAGGCGGGATGTCGGCTTTTCTAGTAGGTTTGATCTAAATACACACGAGAGAAAAAGAGGTGATCGTAATTTAATGACAGGTCTTGTCCAACAAGGCAGACCGTCTGGACAGTGTCAGGCGGTACCTAGTTGTATTGTCGGGGCTTTGGTCACGGTGCATGGACAGATGTGGCGGGATGTTGCTGCATGACAGCTTTTTGTCCTCTATTTCAGTCCCCTACTGCCTCTTTCCATCTGCAGGACCGTTGCAGAGCCCTGAGCCATTTTAACCACTTGCCGATTGCCCTCCAAGCTTGGTCAACCGGTTATCCATGTCGGCCATGCATTGCAGCAGAAAAGAATTGTATGTAGCTGAACCCAAATGCTGGTTGGTGGCCTCGCAGAGGTGCCGTGTTGTCCGGCTTGTCTCTGTTAGCGCAGCTCCAGCCTCGGGAGATGACGCGCCCTGGTGGGGTGAGTGATCTACCCGGCGGGTACCTCATCAATGGAGGGGGAACTTGCGAAGCCCCGCGGCTAATCGCATGCATTTATCGAGGGTCTCGATAAGCATGTACCGGGCAGCATGCACCATGCAGCCAGAAGGGTTACCTTCTTCATAAAGCTGCTGCACGTCAGTTCCAGGTTTCTGGCACCAGATGCGCCGGTCGAGGTTGCCTATAAAATAGAGGTCTCCTACACTACACTGCCCATAATTCACTGAGGATAGAGCAATAGTTGATCACCATACCTAACCCTGACGATGGAAAGTGGACTGATGCATCCCTAGGCTGGCTTGTGTTCTTGGCCCAAGCTCCCCTTCAGAATCCCCACATTTTCTACTGCTTCCCTGCCAAGAGCCTTTCCATTGTCTGTGGCTGGTGCTTCCCTCGCCTCACCGCACACTGAGACGTTGAGGCCAGTCTGTCCCGTCAACCCGCAACCCCTCGCTGCCACAGTTGCTCAAGGTTGAGGCGACAGCTGTCCCGACCGCATCCCACACATAACCCTGAGACACCAGCCCAGGGAGCTCTGCTCCATTAGCCACCACGCCTCACGACTGACGTCCGTCAGTCAACCGCCATTCTTGCCATCTTGCCAGGTTGCGCAAATCACCAAACTTTGCTCAAAGTCGGCCGCCCTGTTATTACCGTGCTGAGGCTGCACGCACTGCTCGCGCCTTGATCATCACGACACCTCGCTTTCTTCAGCCGACACCTGTCCAGCACAGCATGTCTGGTGCTTCCAACGACGGCTACGGCCAGTACCCGCCCCAGCAGCCCGGCGACCACCAGCAGCAACCTCCATATCCCGACCAAGCCTACGATAACGCTGCCCCCGTCGCCCCAGGTCACGCCGCCGATCACGGCAGAAAAAAGAAGAGACAATATGCCGCCAGCGCTTTCGACGTCGGCGTGGGGGGTAATGTTGTAGCGGGAGGGCAGCCCATCCCAGGGGCAGCTCCATATGGAGCTCCAGCTGCTGTTCCAGCTTATGGAGGTTATCCCGCGCAACCAGAGGTCCAGCCAGCCGCCTATGGCGCTCAACCTGCCCAGCCATACGGCCAGCCCGCTGCTGTCAGCGGTTACCAGGCTCCGGATCCCTACTATCCCTCGGCCGGAGCTGTCCCGGCTCCTGGCGGCGTTGCCGGTCTAACTGCCGGTTTCCAGGGCATGAACCTGGGTGCTGGTGCTCCCGGCGGTATTCCACAACAGCAACCGCAACAGCTCCCCCCTCAGGCGAGAGCTGGTCCTTTGAATCAGCTTTACCCGACTGATCTCCTCAACCAGCCATTCAATGTGTCTGAATTGGACCTCCCTCCACCCCCCATCATCTTGCCTCCCAACGTAGGTCTTTTGTATCCGGAATCTACCACCTCCGGACATGCTAACAAATCTCGCAGGCGAGCGTCACCCCATCCCCAGATGCGAACTGCCTTCCCAAGTACGTGCGATCCACGCTCAATGCCGTTCCAACGACCCACAGCCTCCTCAAGAAGAGCAAACTTCCCTTTTCGCTGGTGATTCAACCCTATGCCGCCCTCCACGATCTCGATGACCCCGTCCCTGTGGTCCAAGACCAAGTCATCTCCCGCTGCCGGAGATGCAGATCCTACATCAACCCCTTCGTGACCTTCTTGGATCACGGCCACCGGTGGAGATGCAACATGTGCAACCTCACCAACGACGTTCCCCAGGCCTTTGACTGGGATGCTGCTGCGCAGAAGAGTGTGGACCGGTGGCAACGGCACGAGCTCAACCACGCCGTGGTTGAGTTCGTTGCTCCTCAGGAGTACATGGTCAGACCACCCCAACCGCTGGTCTACCTGTTTTTGTTTGATGTCAGCTACGCTTCCGTCTCTAGCGGTCTCCTGGCCACGGCAGCCCGCACTATTGAGGCCAGCCTCGACAGAATACCGAACGCTGACCGCCGTACCCGTCTCGGCTTTATGGCTGTCGATTCGAGCTTGCATTACTTTTCGGTCCCCAAAGACACGGACGAGAATGGCGAAACAAGCATGCTCGTGGTTAGCGATCTTGACGAGCCCTTCCTTCCAGTTCCCGGCGAGCTGTTGGTTCCCCTGACCGAGTCCCGCCGGAGTATCGAAAACTTCCTCACCAAACTTCCCAAGATGTTTGAGCATAATCAGGATAATGGCTCTTGCATGGGCTCTGCTCTTCGTGCAGGAGACAAACTGATCTCTCCTTTGGGTGGCAAGCTTGTCGTTTTGAGCGCATCACTGCCTAATGTCGGACACGGAAAGCTCACAATGAGAGAGGACAAGAAGCTTCTGGGCACTTCTAAGGAAGGCTCTCTGCTTCAGACTGCCGCGACGTTTTACAAGTCCTTTGCGGTGGAGTGTTCCAAGAACCAGGTGTCGATTGACATGTTCCTCTTCTCATCGCAATATCAGGATGTGGCTTCTCTGAGCAATCTCCCGAGATATACGGGTGGTCAGACGTGGTTTTATCCTGGGTGGAACGCTGGGCGTGCCGAGGATGCTATCAAGTTTGCCTCTGAATTCAGGGACTATCTGTCTTCGGAGATTGGGTTGGAAGCTGTCCTTCGCGTGCGTGCTACTACCGGCTTGCGCATGAGTACGTTTTATGGCAACTTTTTCACCCGAAGCTCCGACTTGTGTGCTTTCCCGGCATTCCCTCGCGACCAGTGCTATGTGGTGGAGGTGGCGATTGATGAGAATTTGACCAAGGATGTTGTTTGCATGCAGACGGCCGTCTTGCACACGACTTGCAACGGCGAGCGCCGCATCCGCGTCATGACGCTTGCTCTGCCCACCACGACCAACCTTGCCGATGTGTACGCTTCGGCCGACCAGGCCGCCATCACGACATACTACACGCACAAGGCTGTTGAAAGGGCATTGGGCAGCGGTTTGGATTCGGCGAGAGATCTTCTCCAGAAAACAATCACGGACCTTTTACAGACGTTCAAGAAAGAGCTGGCAGGCGGCAGCATGGGCGGTGGACTCCAGTTCCCATCCAACTTGCGTGGCCTTCCAGCACTGTTCCTCGGCTTGATGAAGCATGTTGGTCTGAGGAAGTCGGCCCAGATTCCATCGGATCTGAGGTCGGCTGCTCTGTGCCTTCTTTCCACTCTTCCGGTTCCTCTTTTGATGCAGTACATCTACCCCCGGCTGTACTCTCTTCACGATATGCCTGACAATGCCGGTATTCCGGACCCCGAAACAAGTCAAATCGTGCTCCCGCCCCCTCTCAACTTGTCATCAGAAAAGTTTGTTCCCTACGGTCTGTATCTGATTGACGACGGGCAAACACAATTCCTGTGGGTGGGTCGCGAAGCGGTGCCTCAGCTTCTTGTTGATGTGTTTGATGTTGCGGACCGGACGCAGCTCCAGGTTGGCAAGGCCACACTCAAGGAGCTGGACAATGACTTCAATGAGCGGGTCCGGGCTGTCATTCAGAAGAGTCGAGACCACAAGTCCAAGGGCGTGGGAAGCATCATCGTCCCGCACCTCTACATTGTTCGGGAGGATGGCGAGCCTAGCTTGAAGCTATGGGCTCAGACATTGCTGGTGGAGGACCGGGCTGACCAAGGACTGAGCTACGTACAATGGATGGGCTCCTTGAGAGAAAAGGTAAGTTCCTAGCAAGACAATGAGGAGCATGGGCTCCAGCCAGTGCGACAGGCTTCATTGCTAACGCCGGAGTCCAGGTTGTTCAATAATCGAGGGGTGTCGTAGTTTAGGGGATATCGAACGCAGCATTCTACAGGGTGTTTCGAGAACCAAGCAAGGCTAGAGAAAGAAGTTTTACGAGTTTACATCAATGAATAGCTATTCCCAACCCACGTTACCGGGATGACTGAATACTGTGTGGTCTTGGGGGAGGTGACCAGCCTACATGTTCTGCTCCAATATACCTGACGTGTTGACAGGCCGCAGCTGGCCCATCGGGGGGACATCAGCCTCTCCCGGCACTGGGTACCAGTTGAGTGCCGGAGGTTATATACAACTGTGGATGTATGGTACCCAGAATAGCAGTACCCCACTGGGTCGCCTTTACTGGCCGCAAGGGATATGCCTTCACTTGCGGCTCTTGTATCCCGGTCGGTACAGCAGATGCAGGAACGGTTTCGTGTAAGAAAACCGAGAAGGGAATACGAATACTATTACGAAGACATAGCGGACAGTAGTGTTAGTAAAGAAGACGATGCTTGATCATGAGATTTGACATCGAATCGAAGAAAGTGAGCAGTGGGGGCGGTGCGAATGCTTAGTTTGAGCACTGATCCCAAATTATGGAATGGAGCTACTGTTTCCAAACAGCCAAGGCCAACGACCAGGGCCCACCCCACCACCCCGCCAAGCCATCATGAAACCGCAGCCATTCGTTTGGGAGACATCAACTCAGGTTGAGACATTGCGCCGAAGGGGGTAACAGCAAGGCAGGAACACGAGAAAGACCCCCAAGACACCGTATGAACGATGGATCTGTGTGAGAGACTGATGTCCGGCACAAATGTAAATTGGAGGGGGACCAACAGGCAGTGTCAGTCACTGTCACTCAGAAAATAGGCGCCCAACGGGAAGGGCAAAACCATGGCTGAGATGCGCCATTGGACCGTTGCGGAAGCGTGGGTAGCGTGTAAAGCTCCTAGCATGCAAGGCCAGTGAACCTGTGGTGCATAGACTGAATGAGCAGATGCAGTGTGATTCATGAAGATGTTTCTATATACGGACATACATGTCGACATGCGATAAGATACGGATAGAAGCTGTCGTATGAATCCGAAACAGCACATGGTCATCGAATCTCACCAGCCACTGCTCACCTGGTGTTAAGCGCCGGCTGATAGAAACAAGAAGGCTGCTGATATGGACGGACGGGCACAACGGCGGGTGATCGGGCGGCCATATGTCGGGTCGGTAGTGTACCTAAGGTGGTGGTCGGGCGGGTCGTCCGTTTTGTGTCTGGACGTTACGGTGCCCCTCCAGACGGTGGGGATTGTGAAAAAGGAGGCGATGGTGAAGCTCCACGCGGGTTTCTCCATCCTCCATCGTCGTCTCTTTGGTTTCCAGAAGAAAAGGAGAACGGCTGGTGACTTTTACGCAAAGGTGCTATCCAAGGCGGGACCGGCTCTCCCGCTGCAACCCGGCGTTTTGAAGCCAACCCTGACGGCTTCAAGCGAGTCCAAATCGGGATCCGAACAAGCCTGGCCGCCCTCCAAAAGGGAAAAGCAGCCCAGACCACCTCCCCTCTTTCTTGGGCCCCTGAACAAATCCACCGAAACGGGCCAGACAGATCCTGAGATCCACGGCCGGGTGCTGGGGCTGCCCTGTCGAGGTGAGCCTCTCTGGTCAACGCTCCAAGATGTAATTAACACCTCCCTCTCCCTCGTCCTCGTCCTCGCCATCATCAGCATCAGCTTCATCCGTCTCTTCCTCCTCCAGTGTGTTTCCTGCCAGAAGAGAGAGACTGGAAATAGTCAAGTAACGGCGACGTAACTCGACCTGTGCATCTCATTCGCTGCAGCCCACCTGCCCGCCTTTCCCTCCGCAGTCCAGAAAGCGGGGCAATTCTGTCGCGCACCCTGTCCTGTCGCAAGAGAGATCTCCCTTTTCCCCTCCTCCCTCTCGCTCTCTTTATTTTGGCGCTCGTTGTTTGTTTGGTTGCTGTCGAAGCTTCTTCACCGACCGGCCACCATCCAGGCCGAACTTCAGCAAAGGTACGTGTGTTTCTTGTGTTGAATGCTGTTCTTGCTGTGATGGGCGCTTGGGCGCTGCCATCCTGCTCCCATCTTGTTCCCATCCCAGCCAAGTGTTTCCCCCTCACCACCGCCCCCTCTTCAAAAACCGAAGGATATGGACTGCAGGTGGTCTGGCGCCCCTCGATAGAAGCAGATCATACGAAGCACGCACCGCTAGCAACTATCGCCAAAACCCCTCCGGGAGTCGCTTCTCAACCTAGGCCCCACGCACTCGAGGAGAGCCAGGCGAGGTGTCTGATCGCCCGCCTTTCGGATAATCGTCATCCGGATAACCCCTGGGCAACAAAACACACTCGAACTGAGCTTCTAGAAGTCACCGTTCTTTGGATGGGGAAGAGGTGTTGCTCAGAGTAGGGCTTCTGACACCTGATCACCAACGCTCGACGTCCACTCCCGTGTCTTTGCTGGTGTGTGCGCCTGCGGTGCATCGTGGGTGCCTGTGTGTTGCGTCCGCACGTTCGGTTGCCCCACGACGCCGAGGGGGAAGCTCTGCTGCTGGCGAGGGGCGCGGTTCCCCCCCCCCCCCGTTGCTCTGTCTACCTACTTCTGGCAGCCGGGCCTGTACCTGAGCACCCGAGCGCAACACAGCGATCACCCGTATCGGATCTCCTGCCGCCACACACTTTCGGCTTTCTTACTTTCTCGGGGAGTTTTGGTTGGTCTTTTGTCACACAGCTGCTAACATGGCAATTGTCGCCTCATGATTAGACAAAACCTTTAATCGATCTCCCTACCACCACCATCACCTGCTTACTGGCACCTACGCCACGAACAAAGAACTTCCGACCTAACTTCACGAATTCTCTGTTTTGGCTACCCGTCCTTGCGCGGGTAAAAAGTGACTCGTCACCTCAACTGCTGAAGAAATATCTGAGACAAGGTGTGTTCAGCTCTGTCTTCCGCGCTCCTATATGCAACAAGCTGACATGGCAGTAAATAGCAGTTTTGTTCTGCTCCGGCGATCGATATACAACTACATCTCCATTCGAGCCCCCTTCACCCTTGCCGAGAGAGCTGGTCTGTCATACCACTGGGTTGCTCGCAAGGCCAGCGCCCCTTCCCACCACCCCTATCTCTGGGGAATCATACTCAAATCACTAGCTTCGCAAATCCACTCTCCCTAATCCAACATGAGTAACGCACAAGCTCGGGGCGGTGCCCGGAAGATTTCCTTCAATGTCAGCGAGCAGTACGACATCCAGGATGTTGTTGGCGAAGGTGCCTATGGTGTGGTTTGGTAAGTTTGCAATGGGAATCGCTTGAACGCAGGTTCCGGATCTAACGCTCATGATAGCTCTGCCATCCACAAGCCCTCAGGCCAAAAGGTTGCCATCAAGAAGATCACGCCCTTTGATCACTCCATGTTCTGCCTGCGGACATTGCGTGAAATGAAGCTCCTCCGGTACTTCAACCATGAGAACATCATCTCCATTCTCGATATTCAGAAGCCTAGAAGCTACGAATCATTTAATGAGGTCTACCTCATCCAGGTACAGGCTGCTCCACAGGAAAACTCCACACTGGTGTTTCCAAAGACTAACTCTATGAAACTGTAGGAGCTGATGGAGACTGATATGCACCGCGTCATCCGCACACAGGAGCTCTCGGACGATCATTGCCAGTACTTCATCTACCAGACGCTGCGTGCCCTCAAGGCCATGCACTCTGCCAACGTTCTCCACCGCGATTTGAAGCCTTCCAACTTGCTTCTCAATGCCAACTGCGATCTCAAAGTGTGCGATTTCGGTCTGGCTCGTTCGGCGGCGTCACAGGAGGACAACTCGGGTTTCATGACAGAATACGTTGCCACCCGTTGGTACCGTGCGCCCGAGATCATGTTGACCTTCAAAGAGTACACCAAGGCTATTGACGTCTGGTCGGTGGGCTGCATTCTCGCCGAGATGCTCAGCGGCAAGCCCCTGTTCCCAGGCAAGGACTGTACGTACTTTTGTGTTCCCGGCTCCTTTCACCCCTTGCCCCTGAATCATGACTAACCCCTCGTTCCCAGACCACCACCAGCTTACCCTCATCCTCGACGTCCTCGGCACGCCAACAATGGAGGATTATTATGGCATCAAGTCCAGACGCGCGCGCGAGTACATCCGATCGCTTCCCTTCAAGAAGAAGGTGCCCTTCCGCACGCTCTTCCCCAACACGTCCGACATGGCTCTCGACCTCCTCGAGAAGCTGTTGGCCTTCAACCCCGTCAAGCGCATCACCGTCGAGGAGGCGCTCAAGCACCCATACCTCGAGCCGTACCACGACCCCGAGGACGAGCCGACCGCGCCGCCAATCCCCGAGGAGTTCTTTGACTTTGACAAGCACAAGGACAACCTGAGCAAGGAGCAGTTGAAGCAGCTGATTTACCAGGAGATTATGAGGTAAAAAAAAACCGTTTGTTGGAAGTGGCTTGCTTGTCTGAGCAAAGTGGGTTGGTTTGTATACCGTGGATTTTGACTGAGCAAGATCAAGGGTGGGATGGATAGGGATAAGCATAGGGCAGGATAACATCATGTGTGACAATTGTAGAAAAGGAGGGAAATATCTGGGATGTGAAATTTGGGGGGCAGGGTGGGGGGCTCCTATTTAAGTCTTTTTTTTTTCCACTATCCTCATATTGGGCGTATTTGAGTAGTTGATGAGGGAAATACCTTTTGTGAAATGCTCGACTTGTGGGAAGTTGCTGATAATTTGCGATTGAACCTTGTTGCAATGTCGTCAGTTGCGCATGGGAATTGTGGAAATGAATGATACCTCCAGGTGGTATAGATATAAGCCCCATGGCACACACCGATGAAGGAACACGCCCACCCTGTCACTTTGTTCTGAAGTTTCTTGTCTTATCTCATTGCTTCCCTATCGTACTGTCCTGTTCTGCCCTTTAACAAAACCGTCGTGTCATGATTGAGTAGGAGGGTGGGTATCTCTGTCGTCCAATTCTTCCCATACTCCTTATTCTCTTGTTCTTATCATTTTCTTCAATGAATGCCCAAAATCAAATCCTCGAAACTGAAAACCCATTAAAACAGCCACCATGCCTTTTCTCATAACCATGCTCGCCTGCTTGCCTGCCTGCTTGCTTTGTTTTGTAATGTATCATGTCTTCCACTTTGGCCAGGCAACGCCCCTTTTACTCCTATTCTCCCATCCAGACCAAATGCTTGTTCCCTAGTACAAACTCCCTTGCCAGAAACGGAAAAGAAATAAAACTCAAAAAAAAAAAACCCGTGATCACTGAACAGTCAAAACCGCCGACGACATCCTCAACCTCGGGTCGGGAGCCACCTAAGCCCCAATCACCCACAACTCCACCCCCAAAACCCCAAACTTCTCCCCTTCATCACTCAGCGGCTCGTTGCCAAAAGTCTGGCACGTCGAGCTCACCCCCTTTTCCAGTCCGCTGTCCAGCCAGAGACCAAACCTCCCGTCGCCGGCGCCCACCGAGAGGAACTGTTGCCCGCAGAGCATGTAGTACTCGTTCACGCCGCTGTAAGGGAACGCCTTGAACCGGATGGAGTGCGCGTTCACCTGGCCAGACGCGACGTTTTGCTCGGCCCTGATGGTGGTGCTCCTGCCCACGTCGGGGGTGTCTTCGCTGTCGATGAGTGACGGTGGTGGGGGCAGGGGTGCCTGAACCGAGGCCCTCCAGAGGAAGCACTCGCCTGTGCCAAAGTAATTGGGTGCGATGTGGGGGACGTCAGAGAGGTAGGCTCCAAAGATCTATTACAGGCAGTTGTTAGTATAAGATGTTTTGGAGGAAAACGAGAGGGAAGAATAAAAACATACACCACCCTCAGTATCCCTCACAGCCAAAACAAACCCAACCCTCTTCCCCCGGTACCTATCACACTTGTCGTACAACGTCGCCAGACTCGACCCGTCTTGATCAAGACTGTACACCAGATTCCACTCGTCCACAATCGACAAGCGGGTAGGCACCAGATTCCGCACCTCCTCCGCAATCGCCGGGGTGAGCAACCTCGATTCTGTCCTCGTGCGAGCGCTAAAGCCGAGAAGCTGCAGAGGTTCTAATTGCGGCAGGCCCATGGGCGACGGCACCCTGTGGTGGAAATGCGGAGGGGTGTATATCCCGTCCACACTCTTGCCCAGATTCCTACCGTCGTCCTCGCCGTCTGGCTGGTAAGTGTGCGCGTGTCGGAGAGTTGGGGGACTGTTTTCCGTCGACAGGGAAGGAGAGGGTTCGGAAGTGAATCGCCGGAAGAGACCGCCCCAGAGCAAGTTGGAGAAATACGATGAGCCGGCGGTTTCGGTGTGAGAAGTGGTGGGGGTGATGGCGCCGGGTGAAGAGGCCGGCGAGGAGTCCGGGTCGGGGGACTGGCGGGTGTTTAGGTTGTGAGTTTTCTGGGAGGAGGAGGAAGTGTAGAAGCTCATGGCTGAACTATTTTTCTGGGCTAGGCGTTGTAATGGTGTGGCTGGCTTGGTGGTGAGGGGTATCGACTTGCAGCAGCCGAACCGTTGACAGGGAAGAAGCAGCCAAACAGGACCCGTTGCAGCTATAGGTTCAGTGGGGATCAGCGAATCGTGCAGGTTGGCAGTAGATCCGAGATAGCCGTCGATAAGAAGACTGCAATGAGAAGCAGTCAATGGTGATGTTTCGGGCAGAAGTGGCGGTGGCCATGAATAGGCTAGAATTCTCGAGTGGTGATGATGTTGTACATTTGGGGGTTGCGAATGCTGATGACGAGGAGCAAAGAGCTTTGATACTGGAATGCATGATCGTCAGTGGATGGAGGGGCCTTGCTTCAAGATATGGACTGTGCTAGCGTATGCGGATAGCCAGCACAGCGAACACGTAACCGAAACACAGCGGTACCTTGGCATTAGCCTCTGAGGTGGTACTTTAGGTAACCGTTAGGTAACTTTGCCTTCGGCGGAAGTACTGGTACCCAATCATGCAACAATCGAGTCGGCCAGCGGGGTTCATCGCCCGACATCTCGGCATCGTGAACCACTCGGGCCCTCACCAAGCCTCTCAGGGCAATGTTCTCGAACCGTCACCTGAGGCTTGGCCCGTCAGGTACCGTGTCTCGCAGCAGTTTTTTCTCTCTCACGTGAATTCAGATAGATTTTCAATATGTGAATCATGGTTGGTTGTAGTCCTACTCTAGAGTCCTATAGCTAGTGATGGCATTCCATACTCCTTCAGGACTGGGCTGTTCCGCCGACACTTCTGGTTCGTACCCAAAGCTGTGAATCAGATGATCCCGGGTGGTCGGTCCAATGGTAGCAATATACGTGCTTCGGTTTGGCTCCTTCGGTTTCGCCTTGCCACTGCTCTCGTCCAAGAGGTCCAATGCGCTGAGCATGCTGTCACACCCACTAGGGGAGAAGACAACAACCCATCTCCGTGGCCGGTCAGCCGTGGTCTGGAGACGCTGTGAGAAGTCGTCCCTGAACGACTTCATCTCTCCCGTGCCATAGATCACCACCTCGTCCAATTGCCACCCGGCCCCAGTCAAAACTTCGGGGATAGTGTCCCGCCTTTTGTCCCCGACAAGAAACAGCAAAGCAGGCACGGACTCCCGATCCTTATACCACGCCCGGTAGTGGTCAAGAATATACGGCGCTAAAGTCTCGCCATTGCCCGTATGCTCTCCGAAAACCTGCAAAGCTGGAACCTGAGGAACAGCCTTCAGAGCTCGGGTTGTGGCTGGGCCGACACTGTAGACGGGAATGTCCTGGAGAAACGGCCAGTTATCTTCACCTACAAGTTGCTCACCTTTAGCCACTCAGTCATTCAAAAGCCTGTCGAGCTTCGAAGATGGACGAGTCTCACCTCTCCCTTCCTCGACAAGCTTAGTGAAAGCCTCGACAGCCCGCTGGGAAGTGAAAATCATGCCACCGTATTGTTTGCCCTCAGTCCTTCCTATTTGCTTGTTCTTGAGGATTCCGCGCACTTTGGCCATGCCCTGGTCGTCGAATTGGTGCTCAAGCACAGGGACGAACTCGGGATCATATTCGGAGCCATTGCCGTCAGGGGTCGAGAACTTTTCCTCGTAATGGTCGCCAGCAGAAGACTTTGTCTTGAGCAGGTAGACGGGTATTTTTGGTGACATGGTTGCTGAGAGCCAGGATGCTGAAGGGTGGTATGGCCTTTGCTTCTTCCCCGACCAACCGGTTGAGGAGAAAAGGGGACCTTTTTAAACTGGGATGGGATGAAATGCACAAGACATTGAAGCGGCATCCCGGGAGATGGCGGGGAGTGTGTCACTGCCCCACCAAAGCTTTATCGATAACATTTTTCGCGGGGACCCTGGCCCCTGTTCATCGCAACGCTCACAGGGGGTTCCGATCGCCTGGGAATACATGATTGGAAATTTCCATGGTTGACGGCTGACAAATGAACAGTTTCTTGGTTGTCAAACATCACCAACGATTGTGGACTGTTTTAGTTATTGTACACATACACACACGTCTCTCAGCCTCAGACATATAATGGCAAACGATACCCAAGACCGAGATGAGCAGGCCACTACAGCCGCGGCCGCTAACACAAGCCAGCCTCTCCCCAAGGGTGTAGTCTTGGGCAAGGATGGCAAACCGTAAGCATATCTTCTCACCAACCTTGCATTTCCACCTTATTAACACCTCACAGTTGCCGTTCTTGCACTGCCGGTGCCGACTTCGCAGCTTGGACTAGCCAGGCCAAAACAATGACGGCCCTCTCCACTGGCAAACCTGTTCCCGCTGTCAAGAAACGGACAGACTGCCCTCCAGACGTTGTAGCTCTCGGCCGGTCATCATGGACCCTCCTCCACTCCATCGCGGCCACCTACCCCGAGAAACCAACCCCTTCCGAGCAGTCCGATGTCATCTCTTTTATGAAGTTGTTCTCAAAGCTGTACCCTTGCTGGGTGTGCGCCGAAGATTTCCAAGAGTACATCGAGCGGAAGCAAATCAAAGCTGGAAGCAGGGATGAGTTTGGAAACTGGCTGTGTGAGGCGCATAACGGTGTGAACAAGAAGCTGGGGAAGAAGACCTTTGACTGCAGTAGGTGGTTGGAGAGGTGGAGAGATGGGTGGAAGGACGGGAGTTGTGATTGAGGGGATGGATGATCGCGATGTGGGGGATGTCAACAAGCATCTGCGGATTGCGATTACAGGCGTTCAGACGGATTGGAGGATGCGTTAAATCGGCGTTATGTTTTTGGTGGTGATATTCTTTGATGTTTTTTGCCATACGGTTGGTCAGGGGCGGCTCATCTCTTCTCACTTGGCTAAATACCCAGCGCATATAGAAGTCATTCTCGACCTATACTATTCAAGCTCTCTCTTATACACCATAGCACCACTCCCTCCATCTTCGAATTTCAATCTCATCCAACATGTATCGGCCGATCTGTGCCCCTGAAGAAGCCATTACGGGAACCGGGGCTCTCACATGCCGGAATCGGTCCGGCCCACTTTCCACAATTCCATGACATCACCCCTCGATAATGAGAGTCAATGAGCAATGGCTTAGCCCTAGACCAACGGCCGCCATGATCTTGTCCCCGCGGCCATGCTGTCATTTCTGCGCATTCTTTACCATTTCACAACATCCCAGCGTGACAAAGGTGGTCTGATATTGTTGCTAGCGATCAGCTAAGCTGCTCACTATCTCATTGCGAACTGGTCAAGACCAGGCACTGATCTATTACTTGAGCCAGGGAGAGTGCCACGAGCTGCCGCTTTTTCCTTTTCAATTGACTGAGCTCAGTGTTTTAAGCCCTTAATTCTTCTGGACAGCCAAATATCCCGAAAATGGCCATCGACATTAGAACACAAGGCTTGAAGAAGCCCGTCCCGGTGGCCCAATACTTGTTTGCCAGATTGTATGAAATCGGCATCAGATCAGTCCATGGGTTACCAGGTGACTTCAACTTGGTGGCACTGGATTACATCCCCAAGGCCAAATTGAAGTGGGTTGGCAGTGTCAATGAGCTCAACGCTGGTATGTGTTCCCCGATCCCCCAGAGAAACAGAGAAAAGAAGAATAGCTCACCACATCCTAGCATACGCCGCCGATGGCTACGCCCGAGCGTTGGGCATCTCAGCTCTTGTCACTACCTTCGGTGTAGGCGAGCTGTCCGCCATGAACGGCGTTGCCGGTGCCTACTCTGAGCACGTGCCTGTCGTACACATCGTCGGCTGCCCGTCAACCATCTCTCAGCGGAATGGCATGCTGCTGCATCACACTCTTGGAAATGGCGACTTCAACGTCTTTGCCAACATGGGCTCTCAAATTGCCTGCAACACTGCCCGCTTGAACAACCCAGCCGAGATCGCCGAGCAGATTGATTTTGCCCTGCGTGAATGCTGGATTCACAGCCGCCCGGTATACATCATGCTGCCCACTGATATGGTCGAGAAGCAAATCGAGGGCGCTCGTCTCGACACTCCTATTGACCTCTCGGACCCCCCGAATGAGCCCGAGAGGGAGGACTACGTTGTGGATGTTGTTCTGAGATACCTGCACGCAGCGAAGAACCCCATCATTCTCGTCGATGCATGTGCTATCCGGCATCGATGCTTGGAAGAGGTGCGGAATCTGGTTGACAAGGCAAAGCTCCCTGTCTTTGTCACGCCGATGGGCAAGGGCGCCGTTAACGAGTCTTCGCCTACATACGGTGGTGTGTATGCGGGTACGGGGTCTCAGCCTGCTGTGCAGGAACTGGTGGAATCGGCGGATCTGGTCTTGTCGATTGGTGCTTTGAAAAGTGATTTCAACACGACGGGTTTCTCGTACCGCACATCTCAACTCAATACCATCGACTTCCACAGCGATCACTGCAAGGTTAGGTACTCGGAGTATCCTGGTGTTGCGATGAAAGGAGTTCTTCGCAAGCTGATTGAGCGTGTCGACACCACAAAGCTTTCTAGTGAGAAGCTTGCCCCGAAGGTGGTCAACGAGGTCTCTGAAAATCGGGACAGCACCGAGACCATTACGCAAGCTTGGTTTTGGCCTCGCGTGGGGGAATACTTCAAGGAGAAGGATCTGGTAGTCACTGAGACAGGCACATCCAACTTTGGTATTTGGGAGAGCAAGTTTCCTCCTGATGTGGTTGGGATCACGCAGATCCTCTGGGGAAGCATTGGTTGGTCTGTGGGTGCTGCTCAGGGAGTTGCACAGGCTGTTAAGGACATGGGAGAAGACCGTCGCACAATTCTGTTTGTTGGAGATGGGTCGTTCCAGCTCACTGTCCAGGAAGTGTCAACCATGATCAAGCATAAGCTGAGAGTCACAATGTAAGTTTATTCACGACTTGGAGGGCTTGTTGGTTGGATTCCTGCTAACAAATTCGCAAGCTTCCTAATCTACAACGAAGGGTTCACCATTGAGCGGTGTATCCACGGCATGGAAGCTGAGTACAACGATATCAGGCGGTGGAACTACACTGAAATTCCGACAGTGTTTGGCGCAACTGACAAGGAAGTTCGGAAGCACATCATCAAGACCAAGAGCGAGCTTGAAAAGTTGTTGGCGGACAAGGACTTCAACGATGCAAAGGGCCTGCAGCTTGTCGAGCTGTGGATGCCCAAGCACGATGCGCCGCGAGCATTGAAGCTTACAGCTGAGCAGTCAGCAAAGAACAATGCCCGGATGGAGTGATGGATAGTTGTGCCTGTGTGCAGCCAAACTTGGATAAAATAAGTAAATATCCAATTGTAGCTCTTCCTCGGACCTTCCATATTGCCCCGTATCATGCCTTGAGCTTTTGTTTGGACCTCCAGAAAAGGGGATAAATAGGGGTAAACACGTGACCAAACCTAAATCTCAGACCTCGCTTTTGGTGTCACTGGCAACGTCCGACTTTCTTTCCATTAATTGAGAGCGACAACCATCGAAAATTCACATCACCCAACTTTTAACCTCAGCTTTCCAATTCCCATTTCCAACCTTGACGCACCTTTTTTTTCAGCATCATCCTAGCGACTCTCTTTGGTCAGAGTTTACTCATCCGCCAAGCCCTTCTAACCCTCACCAAGCAGCAGTCGACGAAAAGAAAAACCTGCTTCTCATTCTGCATCAACCCGGAAAGCAGACAAAACAGAGGCTTCACCTACGAAAAAATGACGGGAAGCGGCAAGAGAAAAGACGCGCCAACTGGCGGTGGCGGGGCGCAGCAAGCTAAGAAGAAAAAGGTATGCGGAAACGAATTGTTTACGTCTTTGAGGGTTTTCGCTCGCTCGCGTACTCGTACCCACTATGCGTGAGAGAAAGTCCAGACCTTTGAGCACGTGTTTGTTTGTTTGTTTGTTCAGTTCCAAAACACTGCAGTACACATTGCATACATGTACTCTTTTATGGTGTACTTTTCGCTCACTTGTCATTTGCAACCAAGAATGAGTGTGTATGTAGCGAAAAGCTAACCTATCCGGTATAAAACAGGCGGGAGGCAATGCAGGAAAGTGGAAGACGCCGCATCATATGGCCAAGGCGGCCAACAATCAAGAATCGAGCCTCCAGGCAGGAGAACCGGGCATTTGGGTGACATGTGCCCGGCACCAGGAATCCAAGGCGGCGAGGGAGATCGGGGTGTTGTTTGCCGAGGTTGGTGTTACACATTCCCGGGTTGTTGCTGGTGTGGTGGCTGGAAAGAGCGAATACTTACCGCGGACTACGCACAGTATGCAGACAAGATGTATGGCATCAAGGGGGTCCATGACGCCGAGAAGAAGGAAGGCGAGGAGGACGAGGATGAAGACGACATTGAAGCCGCCATCAAGAAGGAAGTGGAAGCGTTGAATGCCAACAGAAAAGGCACCGATGGTGGACACAACATGACGCCCCTCAAGATGAACGTCGACTGCTTGATGTTTGTCAAGACGAAGCCACCGATCGACCCGGTGGCATTTGTGAGACGCATCGTGGAGGATGCAAAGTCTGCTAAGGAGACCGGCCAGATGAAGTGTCGCTATGTGAACCGGCTGACCCCGGTAAGCGTCACGGGGAAGGCCACGGAACAGGGCCTGGAAGGGGTGGCCAGGGAGGCACTCGCTCCTTTCTTCGACCTGACTGGAAAGAAGACAGATGTTGACCAATTCACGGAGGCCGCGGCGAAGCCAGCAGCGGAAACCGAGGCCGGAAGCGAGAAGGCGTCAAATGAGAATGCCCAACCAGCCGAGAAGGGATTCACTGTGAGTTGTTTTGTTATGCATGCTATCGTCGGGTCCTGATGCTGATTGATACGTTCTCTACGGATAGTTCGCCATCCGACCCAGCGTGCGGAACAATAGCTCGCTAAAGAGAGATATTGTGATCAATACCATTGCTGGGCTTATCAATAACGAGCGCCACAAAGTGAACCTGACGTCTCCGGACAAGGTTATCTTGGTGGACGTGTACCAGAAAGTATGCGGCGTCAGCGTCGTTGACGGCGACTGGGAAGAGTTCAAGCGGTACAACTTGACAGAGCTGTATGGGCAGGGCCAGGGAAGCAAGGAAAAGAAGGAGAAAGAGTAGGGGATGGCAAACATGGAATTGTGCATCTTTCACCATCCAATGTCCCGTCGATGGTTGGAGGAGGTCCGAGATGCAGATGTCAGAGGGCGGCGCTAAGCCCTATTCAAGATAATTTTGACGAGCCGGGCAGCAGTCCCGTGCAGAATGCACCCCTACCTGGCACCCCGGGCACCCTAACAGCATTGAAGCCAGACCGCTATACGGCCCGTGACCCCCCGCGGCTCATCCCAAGCGTCCCAAAACAGCGGAACAGCTTGAATAGCCGCCTTCCAGGTCCAACGTTGCTTTGTCCGGTTGTTGACGTTACATAAGGTCAGAAAAAGAAACAACGGTACTTGAGGGTCTCGGTAGGTGTGGGGCTCGAAGATTTTCGCTAGACCCTCCACTACGTATAGGGTAAAAAAACTCTACAACGATAAAAATTATAAGACAAACGCAGACGCGTAAAATGCCAACCCCGTTATTTTACTACTTAAATTAATAAATTTTATATTACTATAATTTTATAAAGTCTTATTATATTTATTATAAATTAACCTAGGCTGTTATAACAAACCCTTATCTAAAACTTCTAAAAGAAATACTAGTTAAAGGCACTTCTAAACAATCCTAGTTCGGTACAGCTAAACAATGTATAATAATTAACTTATTTCGATTACAATAGCTAAAATACCAACGATTATAATTTAAATTATATATTGCGGAACTATTTATTTATATTAGCTAGTTCCTCCGTATATATAGACCTAAGGACCGTAGATCGTTAACTTCCAGACAGTCCTTTGTCCTTTTTTTATTAGCTGATACTAGACCGTGGACCGTGGACCGTGGACTGTAGACCGTGAACCCCGCCGCGGTCCCCGGTCCCAATCTCATTGGTCCATCCTGTCCACCTAGACCGTGAGCCCCGCTTAACTGCCCGGTCCAGTCCTGATTAGTTCTTTGCATCTCCAGCTTCTCCCAGAACTATGACAGCTTTGCAAGCACTGTTGGAATTTCCTTTTTTTTTTTTTTTAGCTTACAATTCAATCAATTAATATGGTATAACTGTTACCTTGTCTCAGAACTTAGCTATCAAGCCGTGAAAATTATATTAATATTTATCATTAATAAAATATAAAACTTGATAATATCTTTAAAATTATTAAGTTTTATGTAGTATAGGTATTTAATATAAGATATAAGCTTATCAATAAACTAGGTGAGGTTTTGTCTTATAACATTTTATTATCCTATAGGTTTTTTACTCTCTACGAAGTGGGGTTTCTAGTAAAAATCCTTAAGCTCCACACCACCAAGACCCTCATGTACCAGGTGAAATATTGATGCCTCTTTTTCTTCTCCAGATTGGATCTTGACATGAGGAAGTAAAAATCAAGACAGCCCGTCCAATATATGTAGTAGAGATACTCAGCTCTTAGTGGGCTTTGATATCTGATCTGATCCAACCTGGAAGGGAGGTGCCCCGCAAAGTTCGAAGAGCTGCCAAATGCTCCCGAGTTTTTCGCTTAGCACTGACCAATCACCAAATCCCCGGCTCGCTTGTTTGTGCGCCTTTGCTTTTTCCCCCAACCGCGGTTTTTGGAAATGGCATTTTGCTCATTTTTTTTGGGACATGTTCTCTCGCGGGTGACTTTTGTTTTCCTTCAACCTCGACCTATGGAACTTGCGGTTATCGGCCGGGGGGCAGCTTTCTAACCTTTACCACCACCACCCCCCCGTGACGGGATTGCGGCAATCAGCATCCGTGCAGAGCGAAACCATTGCCAGATTCAGACAGCCGCAGGGCCACAGTTCGCTTGTTGTTGCCTGACGGGGGACTTCTGACCGCTCGCCAGCATCGGCCGGCCATTGCATCCCACGAGTGGCAGTCCTAATTATTTCCCCAGCGTCTCTCTTTTATCCTCAGTGTGTGAGTGTTCACCGAGCACTTTTCTGGCCTCTCTGGCCCAGCACCTTCCTGTTTCGACTATGGGGTCATCTCGATAAATGTGAGCTTCGGCATCACATCTGCATGGCAGTGGTTGAACGTCAGTACATCAACCCGCGGGGGCGGTCTGGAAAGGTACGGGTGCGTGGTTGCGAGCTGTTGCACAACTTTGCTGCAGCCGCTGCATGCTGTGCTACCCCAGGGAACCTGGCAAGACGATTTCGACATGATCAATGTCTCTGATGGTTAGGGATCTGATCTGACGTCTGAGACTGGGATGCTGTATCAAGCAGTGTTTACACTATGTACCGCAGTACTCCGTGTACTAAACTACAAAGTCCTGCCATGCCCAGCCAAAACCGTGATATGGAACTTTCCATGGAACTTCAACCCTGACCTCATCCTCTGAACGAACCCGAGCTGGTCGTTGTGGTTCTCCACGACTGGGGAACCATCTCGGGATCCATTCGGGAATACCCTGGGGCCCCGGTTAAGTTTGTTTTGGTGGATAGCAACGGGGTGACGGGGATGTTGGGGGGTAGGGGGGTAGGGGGGTGGTGTGGATGAATTCTTAGCCCCTTCCCAGAAGCCACCCGTCAACCCAGCGTCTCACTTAGCGAAGTTGTTCAAAGTACCTATTCCCAGGTATCTTTTCCCTCCCGCCTTTCCATCTATGAATATGACGCGCTTACACTAGGTATCTCTGAAGCAGGAGGCACGTCTCGGCTGCATCACACCAGTGGTTACACTTCGGCTGTGGCTGACGTGCTGTCGTCCCTTCTCGGGGCGTAGTAGCGTGCAAAATTGCTGCCAGTATGTGACCAGGCTGTCAAGGTAAAGGCTGGCTCAGGCTGGGCCTGGTCCTGCTTTCTCGCTTCACAGCAAACCTTATTCGTCCGTCGTGCATTCTTCGCTCCGTCCATGTGGGCTGCTTGGCAGAGGAAGATCCATCCATCACCCAACCGCCTCCCGCCTGGTCATCGTGGTTTTTTCCCATGTGTACATCCCTATTTGTTTTAGAGCTAAAGAGCTGAGGGCATAATAATAATAATAATGACTGTAATAATAGCAATGGACGACAGCATTGGCTTCTCTCCTCGTCCTCGTCCTCGCCCTCGCCCTCGCGTCCGCTTTCGCTTCCAACATCATGTCCAAGGTCGTGTGGCCGCCTTGTTGTTACTGCTGGTGACATTCTGATATCCCTGTTTTCCTGAACTTGACCGGCTCTACCAAGTTGACTCCTGCTCAATGGCCTTGTTCTTTGTAGCGGAGCGGCAAGACTGACAAGGCATGGAATCGGGAACCCACAAGGGCCGCACCTCGCTCGCTTGAAGATACTGTTTATTGTCCCTTGCCCCCTCTGTCAAGCCCCGTCAAATCTGAAGTACACACACACATATATATATATGTCAGTTACCTGTCTCTTTGGAAAACACTCTTCTAGACGGGTGACGATGCCGGTTTGCTCTATCAGGGGCATCAGTCACAACCAGACAGACAGCGATACCAGCATGTGTCGACTACCATCAGAGCAGGGTGTCCGGGCCATGTTAGGCTCAGCTGTCCCTGAAGATGTTACCGTCGCCAGAATACAACCACTCCAAAGTCTCAGGCCACAGAGGATATACCAAGTCCACCTTTCCGACAACACATCTCTACGCCTTGTTCTTCCACCAATTTCCATGTGGCGGCCTCTACGATCAGAACAAGCCAGCGTGGCCACCGAGGTAACAGCAATAGACTGGCTTCACCAGGTTCTCACTCGACAATCCTCATCAGCCACACCATCTTCCTCCCGGTCAGCCAGGAGAGGAAGCGAAGAAACCAGCAAACAGCAGAACGAAGACTCGAAAACCCTGCTACGACTGCTGCCATCCCTCGTCCAACACGGCCAGGATACCAGCACGGCCCTCCGCGAGCTATTCGCCTTTTATGAACCAAGTCAAGGCACAGCAATAGCCCTCTTGGAACCAAAGATCACAGTGGATCCAAACTCTCCCGAACGACAGCAAGTAGACTTCGAAATCGGCACATTCTACCGACGATTCTTGATCCAACCCGGTTTGGTCTCGCCAACAGGTCGTTTCGGTCCATTGGCAGCTGTTATCCCTCTGCTACAATCATCACAACCCCAAAGAGCACAACCAGGAGCCGGGGGTTTATTTGGAACGGGAGGTGCGGCCAGTTGGTCGGTGGCCTTTCACTCCATGCTCGAAGGTGTTCTCAGAGACGGGGAGGACATGGCGGTTGTGCTGGGTTACTCGACAATACGACGGCACTTTCGGCGGTTAGGCTACCTCTTGGACGACGTCGCTGTGCCGAAGTTTGTGGTGGTGGATGCTGCCCAAGACTCTAACCTCTTGGTGGAAAGGATACCAGACGGTGGCGACAGAGGAATCAGAATAGCTGGTCTGCAGAGTTGGTCAAATTGCGTCTTTGGCGACCCTCTGTTTGCCACAGTGTTTAGCGATCCGGCAGACTTGCCGCCGCCACCCCCTTCCGACTCTTTTCTCAGGGGGTTAAATTCGACTGCTTCAGCGACATCCCCTCCACCACCTACAACGTCGGTGTCAACGATGACGGCAACATCAAACTACCTATCAACTCTCAACCCGCAATTAATAGAGGCCCTCCCGTCTGCCCCCGTCCGGCTGTTATTCTACCGGATCTACCACATCCTCACCCGCATCGTCGCCGAGTTCTACCGCCCCCGACCAGACTCCACGACGCGAGAGCTAGAAGCGCGGAGGAAGCTCAATGTAGTGTTGGCGAAACTAGCAGAGATACCAGATGATTTCTTGTGTCCTCCTGAAACCCACTACTCCAGCCTACCCGCGACACCCAACAGCAGCACCAGCACCAAGAGCCTGAGCAAACGTGAATACAGCGTTGCACGACCAACAGGGGAGATGAGTCCAGCAAAGAGAATGCGGGAGTTGGAGATGCCGATACCAAAGAAATAATGCTGTTTTCTTTTTCTTTTAAAGAAATCTGGGAATAATAGCACGGAGTGGGAACAACAAGGAAATATCAAGGGATAGACAACGAATCTGACGGATTACACGAATGAGCGAGCACACATGCATGCAATGCATATGTACCATTATATATCTACATAAATATACAACAAGTAGATCATGCTTTTTCCTTACCCTTGCCTGTAATGGGTGCGGTAGTGGTGGTGTCTTCTTCCTCGTCGGAGTCGTCCTCCTCGTCTCGGGGCAAGGTAACCCCCATCAACCCCAACAGATTCCCTGCTGGGCCTGCCATACCAGCTTGGGACTTGAAACTCTCGAGGAGGTTTTTGGCGAGGTTGTAGTCAATATCCACCTCCTCTTCCTCGTTTTCGCTGATTTCTTGCGCTTTGCTTGAGCTTCCAACATCTTTGATCCTTTTTTCTGTGACTGTTGCTTTGGGGTCCAAGCTCAGTGCCCCCAGCCCCTTGAGCTCGCTCTCAAACTGCTGCATCATCTTTTGGATCTCTTCCGCCTCGTCACCCTCATCATCTTCGTCATTTTCTGAGTCCACTTCTTCAACAACAACCGCTTTTTGTTTTCCCTTGTCTTGTGTTGTTGCTGATGCTGGCGGTGCACCCGATGATTTCCCATCATCACCAGGCAACCCCATCATCTCCCTCATCATCCTCTGGAACTGCTCCTCATCAAAACCGACTTCCTTATCTTCATCCTCCCAGTCCTCATCCTCGTCGCTCTCGTCATCATCATCATCCACATCCATCTCATCATCATCCTCATCCTCATCCCCCAACACAACCCCATCCACACCCGCATCTTCGTCGTTCAAAAACGCCTCAAACCTCTCCACTATCTTCTGGAGATCCGCCTGAGTGCCGGCGTCGCCAAAGCCCCCCTTACCCCCCCTTATTTTCTCGGCCTTGACGCCGCCGCTTCCAGAGCCAGCGAGCTCCTTCTCAAGCTGAGTGTAATCGATATCCATCCAGCTATCATCATCCTCCCTTTCGGTATCCTTCCACTCCTTTTCAATCTGCTCATCAGACGGCAGGATGTTCTCCTCCCCATCCTCGGCCAGATCCCCCAGTAGCAACGCCACCTCCCGAACGACTCTATTAGGGTGAGCCTCTGCCTTGTCATCGGCACACAGCAGCTCAAATCCCGTAGTGAGCTTCATCCCCAGCTCTAACCTCGCAAGCTTCTTTTGTGCAGAGTCGGCGGTGGGGTTCGTGGCGGCTTCGACCTCGGCGGCGTGAAGTAATGACTTCCATGCTGGAGGTGGGGGGGAAAAGTGCTGGGATTTGAGCTGGGCGTAGAGGACTTTGGTAAAGCGGATGGAGATGGTGATGAGGTCTTTTGGGGGGAATAGTAAGGGGGTGGTTATTGAGGGGAATAATAGGGGTTTGAGGGAGACGGGGTCTCGGAGGTAGAAGGCTTCGGTGGCGGGGGCGATGGATTGGGGGCGGGAGTGGAGGATGTAGGCTAGTTTTCTTGGGATGGTGACGAGGGCATGGTGGGTGGTGGAGGAGATGGCTGAGGGGTATTTCTCGAGGCGGTAGAAGGATTCGGCTTCGATGAAGGGGGAGTGGAGGAGGGATGAGGGCCTGGATGTAATGGTTGAGATGGCGGATGTCAGGGTGAGGTTCTTGTTGGGCTGTGTGTTGTCTAGGGGGATGATAAGGAGTTTGCCTTGGTGAATCCACACTCGGTTGGTGTCGTCTTCTGGACTGAGCCACTTGGGCAAGACTTTGGCTGCTTCGATTAGGAGAAACTCGCCATCGCTGTCAGAGACACGGACCCAAAGGTTGGGGAAGGATTTGGTGAGCTCCCGGAGGAGGTAGACAATGAACCACTCGTCTTCCACATTGTCGCCGTAGTGGGTTGTTCCATGGAGATAGGACAGTCCGGAACCTAAAGGGGCAATCAGCTGGGATGGTCTCATTTACTTGATGCCAAGTACACACACACCTTTCTGGATTTTTGTCTCGAGCTTGAAGGGTTCTCGCTGCCATATGTAGTCCTTTGCCAGCTCCGTCAGCTTTTTATCAGCGGCCCTCTTAACGGCTTCCAAGCTGGGGAGATCATTGTCTGACTTTTCGCCAATGATGAATAGCATGTACTCGACACAGTCCTCGGGCAGCCTCATACGAAAACCATCGAACCCTTCGTCTCCAGGACGCAGTTCTGCGGCGTTGGCCATATTGTTTATTTCCTGTCGTCCAAGTTCGTTTGCCGCTTCCGATGAGGACCTGTCAACCCAAACGCAGCTGCCAGCCGTTCGGTCTTGCTTCTTTCCAGCTTTCCTTCCTGTGTGGGGGGTGGCTGCCTAAGGTACCTTACAGCACCAAACGGCCGTTCAAGTTCAAATTTTACCTATCTCTTTTCGATCTTCCAGTTTACTTCAACACTTCAACGCCTTGTCGACCACGATAGTTACCTTACTGTTCTCATGCCCAACCTGGCAGTTGATCCGATCCACTGTAAATGTGGGGTTTAGCGTCTGCACGGGCCGCCTGTCATCAGCTCTGGGCGGGAGTGGAGAAGTCCAAGTCACTGGATCTGGGGGGAAGTTCGCGCAAACGACGCGTCTCGAGGGGCCTTTTGCACTGCGCCGCCCAGCTACTCGCACCCACAAACAGCTCCGCGACCAGGCGCCGGCTGTCTGAGACCTTTTACCAGCACTTCCATTGTTCTCAAAATGCCGTCGAGGACAATCAATAACCTCGGCGCAGAGTCCTCGCGGAAGCGACACCACCGCGGCGAAGATGACGAGTCAGAGGAGCCTGTACGGCCTCGTTCGCATTTAAATGGTGAATCTGTAAGTGCTCTGGCTTTTTCTCACACATCTGGCAGTGCTTCCTTCTTCATTTACAATGTGCTAATCCTGACCCAGCGAAAACGTGCCCGGCTTTCCGATGTGCGCGATGAAACGCGTGCAAACAACCCCGATGACGAAGCCGAGTATCAAGGAGCTGCCTCGCCCGACACCCCACCAAGAACGCAGTATGAGTTAATGCGCGATAATGGGTTCGAGCATTTGCGAACTGAGGCTGCCGATGATCAGAAGGCGACCCAGCGGCTACGGATGCGACCAAACCGTCTAGGAGAAAATGTGGTCGCAGAAAATGGCATTCTTGAGCAAGTCATATGCATCAACTTTATGTGTCACACGAGACTGAACTGCGAGCTTGGGCCCCTTCTCAACTTTGTTGTGGGCGAGAATGGCAGCGGAAAGAGCGCTGTTTTGACAGCAATCACCCTCTGCCTTGGTGGAAAGGCAAGCTCGACGAACCGCGGTGGTAGCCTGAAAAGTTTTATCAAAGAAGGAGAGGATAAGGCTATTTTGACTGTCAAGATCAAGAACCAGGGGCCTGATGCTTATCAGCACGATATTTACGGCGATTCCATCACCGTGGAGCGTTGGTTCAACAAAACTGGCGGGAGCGGCTTCAACCTGAAAACAGCCACCGGCTCTATTCACTCGAAGAAGAAGGAAGAGGTTGATCAAATCGTGGAGTACTACGCCCTGCAGGTCGACAACCCACTGAACGTTCTATCTCAAGACAACGCCCGGCAATTCCTCAACGCCTCAAGCAAGGCGCAGAAGTACAAGTTCTTCATCGAGGGCGTCCAGCTACAGCAATTGGATAACGACTACAAGCTGACTGCTGAATATGTGAGCCAAATAGACACCAAGATACCAGATCAAGAACAGAAAATCGAGCTTCTCAAAGTGCAACGGGCAAACGCAGAACGCTTATTGGAGACTCTGGAGGGCGAGCGGTCATTACGCGACAAAATCAACACAATGCGCTTAAAGTTGGCCTGGTCACGTGTCGATACCTGTGAAAAGAGACTGGCGCAGAAGGAGGCGAATCTCGCCGAGATCTCCACCAAGTTGATTTCGGCTGAAGAAAAGTTCGGCTTGAAAAGTCGAGCGTTGGAGCAGGCGGATCAAGAGGTGGAAACCACCAAGGCGAAGCTCGAGAGGGCGAAGGAAGAGGAGCCAGAGCTGCAGGCCAAAGTTGAAGAGGCGAAGGCTCATAAGGAGGCCATGGTAGCAGACCTCATGAAGGTCCAGGCCGAGGAGCGAGAGGCTCACCAAAACTGGAAAGCCATGACTGACCAAGTCAAGGATTTCGAGAGAAAGATCGCGCAGGAAGAGAGGAGTCTGCGGGAGGCACACGGTGGTCTCCAAACCCTGAAGATGAAGGAGCGCGACGAGGCTCGGGCCAGGGTCCAGGAGCTTGAACAAAAAATCGATGACAACAAACAGCTGATTCCTCGGATCAAGAGCCAGATGAGTGATTCGGCAAGGGCCCTGAACCCCATCAAGGAGCGGGTTACCAAGAAGCAGGAGGAGATCCACAATCTCAAAAAGGAGATTGAGAAAACCCAGGCACAAATCGGTGTGCCGCTTGCTGCTTACCACAAGAATATGCCGAGGCTGTTAAAGGCCATTGACGGCGACAAGAGGTTCCAGCAGAAGCCCATCGGCCCGCTGGGCACCGTCGTGCATCTTCATAAACCGGAATGGGGAGCGATTTTGGAGTCTTATTTTGGCAACAACCTCAACGGTTTTGTCGTCTTCAGCAAAGCCGACATGAATGTTCTTGCAGACTTGATGAGGCGATGCGACATCGACAGCAACCGCAATCCCATCTTCGTGGGCCAGCGAAATGCCCTCAATCTGGCGGGAAAAGAGCCAGATGCGGACTTCGACACCATCCTGAGAGTACTCAAGATTGACAACCAAGCTGTTCGGGATACACTTGTTATCAACCACGCGATCGAGCAAGTGCTCTTGATTCATAAGCGCACAACGGCTCAGAGCGTGATGATGGATGGAACGGCACCGCCCCGCAATGTCAAGAGATGCATCACATTCCATGATTCCAAGAACGAGGGGCTAAGCATTGAAATGAAGCCGAGCGGCATATCAACAAGTCCGGTCAGGATTGGGACTCAGCCCAAGCGCCTGAAGACGGAATCTGCCTCTCAGATGGCCTTCTTGAAGGAGTCCCTGTCAAAATTGGAGTCGGAACTCCAAGCTCTCCGAGTTGAATACAAACGTGTCCAGGATGAAAACTCCCACCACAAGACAGCCCTTGCCAAAGCGGAGAAAGAGGGGGCCGTTCTCGCACAGCAGCTGCGAGAGACCGAACTAGAGCTTGCGGAGATCGAAGTGGCTTTGGACGAGTGGGATGGGTCTGACGCCCGACTCCAAAGTCTGCGTGAGCAGCTGGCTCAAGCACTGGAGCAGAAAGCTCACCACGGTCAACAGGTGACTGGGCTTATTGTGGCCAAAGACCAGAAAAACGTACTTGCCGAGGAGGCTTACAAGGCACTCAAAGCTCAGAAGCTGCAGCTCAAGGACTGTGAAGCCAGTGTGAATAAGGCAGAGGAAAAGGCCAAGTCTGCGGAGGCGCACCGGCATATTGTGCTTCGAGAAAAGCTCGACAGTGAAGACGCGTATAAGCAACTGAAGGCAGAACAAAAGGAAGCGGAAGAAAGTATTGGGAGGGAAAAGGATAGGATCGCGGAGAGAGAGGCGGAGGCCATTCAAGTGTGCCCAGAACGCGTGCATTTGCTAGACGGCGAGACGGAGAAGTCCGTCAATACACAGTACTTTGCTCTGCGGGCTCGATACGACAAAATGACCAGCAGACGTCAGTTGAACGAGCAGGAAGTTATTGAGCAAGCCGAAAAGGTTCGGAAGAAGTACGACGAAGCAGTCAATGGCCTCAACTCGATGGTGGAGTCAAGCGAACGTCTCAAGCATTCGTTGAGCCTACGTTTGGACAAGTGGCGCAAGTTCCAGCGGTACATCTCCGCCCAGTCGCGTGTGAACTTCATATATCTCCTCAGCGAACGCGGGTACCGAGGGAGGCTGCTGCTGGATCATAAGCGCAGGCTCCTGGACGTTCATGTGGAGCCCGACCACACCGAGAAACGTGCCAGTGGACGGAGTACCAAGACGTTATCCGGCGGAGAGAAATCCTTTTCTTCGATTTGTATGCTGTTGGCCATCTGGGAAGCCATGGGTTCGCCGCTGCGGTGCTTGGATGAGTTTGATGTGTTCATGGACAATGTGAACCGCGCTGTTAGCCAAAATATGCTGGTAAGCTCAGCCTGTTGTTCTAGGGATGTATATCTGTTGCTAACGTTATCTAGGTTGCCGCTGCTCGAAGGTCGGTCAACCGGCAATACATCTTCATCACACCCAACGCTATCGACCCAAAGATCATCGCTGAAAAAGACGTAAAGCTTATTCGACTCGTTGATCCACGCCAACAGCGACTCACCAGCATGCAAACAATACCATGAGGTCTTTATACCTGGTTGGTTTCATTGTACATATTTCTCGGCTTCATCATCGTGTGTCAAAAGTGGGAGTTATGGGTTAGGGAATGCTAGTATCGGAATTTGGGTGGGCTTTCTGTGGTGGATCAGGGGGCAGTTTGGCAATTCTCCATGTGCAAGGTGCTATGTCGAAAGACTCCTACAGGTTTGCTTGGTGCATATGGCGGAAAGGGATGATAATGATTGGAATTCTTGTGCAAATGGCATTGTCTTAGGGTCATCTCCACGCGTAGGTTTTATGGCTTCATTGGTTTTGAACGCACAGTTAGTTAGTGGTTGTACATCCAGTTATAATACAAACTCGTCTAATGACCAAGTCTCTTTCTCTTTGACGACACCTTTTCTACTCATACATGTCCATCCCAACATCCCAACATCATCTTTATATCCTAACCCCCTTGCTCCTCAACACATTGACCCCCGCGCTCGCCGTGAAGCCAACCCACTCCCCGACACTCCTAACCGCCCCGCCCAGCTCCTCGGCCTCTTGAAGCCTCCTCCTGAGGAACCGCCTCGTCTCCTGGAACCCCTCGCTCTTGTCCGTCGTCATGAACAACTCGGCCGCGGCATAGATACCACTGAGGGCCGCCCGCTTGGTGTACCAGCTCGGATCAACACTTTTATCCCCGGCAAGATAGTAGATCTCATCTGCCAGCATGGCGAGCTCCCTGACGGCGACGGGGACCTGGGAGGGCTGGGCCATGACCGCGAGGGCCTGCTGCCAGTGCTGGATGATGGGCTCGTTTTGCTTTAGGCGCAGCCAAGTGAGGAGTTCGATTTTTCCCGAGACGGAGAGGCCGGAGAGGAGGTCGCTGTGCTGGCTGGCGAGGGAGGGGAGGGTGGTGCGGGTGGTGTAGAGGTGGAAGTGGATCAGGCGGGCGACGGGGGAGGGGCCGAGGAAGGAGGGGGAGATGTCGAGGAGGGAGAGGTCGCGGGCGGCGAGGGTGAGGGAGGGGAGGGTGAACCCGTGGGTGGGGATGTGGGAGGTTAGGGCGGAGGTGAGGAGGGTTGTTTCGGCTTGGGTGAAGGGGCTGGGGGGAGGGGGGTGGGTGGTGGAGTGGTAGGTTCTTCTTGTTTGGAGGGGTTGCGGTGGTGGTGTTGTTGGTGGTTGGGTTTTGGGGGTTGATTTGGATTTGGTTCTGGGAGTCGAGGGGAGGGTGGTGATGGGTCGGGAGGTGACGGCGGAGAGTCTTCCGGGGAAGGATCGGGTGGCCGGCTGGGTGGTGGTGGTGGGGAGGAGGAGGATGCGCCGGGCTGCGCCGGAGCAGTTGACGGCTGCCGGGGAGGCCATTGTTTGGTGCTTTTTTCCCTATCAGACCTCGAACTGTATAGGTCAGAAAGTTGCGGTTCGTATGGCCCGTATGGGGTTCCTGTGGTGACGTGATGGATCGCAAGGCGCTGTCAAACTGCGATATCATATCATGATCGGTGGTGGTCAAAGCTTGGTGCCTGCAACTGAGACTTTACTGTATCAAGTTAGCTTAGGGAATACAAAAGTGGTTCTCTACATGTTCTGCCCCACTTTGAGCCCAACCTGGCAGATCGTGGTCTTGCTTTACCAACCCCAACCCTTGGAATTTTGGGACATTGATTCGGTTGACGTCGATATCAGAATCAAAACCTTACCAAGATATTCCCAACGACGTACATCTTGACAGACAGAGCCACCACTCGGGCGGTTGTGTTTGTATACACAGGCCCAGGTTACTCGTGGAACCATCGAAGATCAGAAGATCAGCGAGAGGGTCCCTGAACAACATGGCAGGTGTCGGCCGGGCGTGGACGATACAAGGGGTATAGCACGCATGAAACCAGGAAACTAATGCAAGGCCTCGCGGAATCCAGCTTCGACACCAATCTCAGCACCAACTGGAACGACCTTAAAGGCCTCCGAAGAAGCCAAGAGAAAGGGTTACCGTTCCGAAATTCCAACTGATCAATCACAGAGGCATTCACACCGTGTTGTTACCACCGCGGAGACTCTCACACGACTCATCCACTTTTCTTTTTCTCTGCTTGCGACAGCTTTCAAGAAGCCCATTCATTACCACAACTTATCGAGTCATGAAGATTGTCGGGTCAGGTGCGACATGGGGCTTTCCAACCTGCGCCCAATCGACGTCCATGATACTGCCGTCTGCTGTACCAGCCCGCCGCCTATGCTTTGCGGGGCCGCCCAGTTGACAAGCCCGCAGATACGGGATCTTCTCTAGAAGAGCCATATGCCGTGACCTGACATTAGGCGATTTCCCTTCAGTGAGCTATGCTGTCATGCTGTCGTGCTGCCAGGTAGGTGACGGGCTGGCCGCCATCGAGAGAGTCTTGTGCGATTGAGTGACATATCCCTCAAAGAGATCGTCTTTTCGTGCCTAGAAATCAACCTCAACCGCATTCGGGTCAGTCTCCGCCGGATCAAGTCCCCGGGCCGCTCCACTCCCCCTCCTCCGCTGCCGAAGGAGGAGCTTGGGAGTGGTCCAGACCCGTTCTTCTGCTTGAGACTCTCAACTTGTCACCCGCAAATCGGCCTTCCACCATGGTACTGTTGCATACGCATTTATTAGCCGACTCACCGGTTTCATGCACTGCTGGTTCCTCGGACGGCAGCACACCACTGGTCCCCAACCTGTGGTGTTGGCAGTGGGTCATGGTCGTTTTTGTTTGGAGACGCCAGAGGCAGCTGCTCGACTGAGCAGAGCGCCTGTCGTTGTCGAGCCGCTCCGAATTCTGACATGCCTGACAGTGCCGGCCTTTCAAAAAAGGGCATAAAATTGCTCTGGATGCCCATGGCTGACGGCGTGCTTGAAGAAGGCCATACAGCATCAGGATTGGGTAGCTCAGTCCGCATCGTGCTGCATTTTTCATCTGCCGTGTGACCATTGACCCAAGAGTTTTTTTGTGTGAAGTGGATGGCAACCGTCAAGGTTAACAGCGGCTTCCCCAGCGCGGCACATGGTTCGTAAGGCAGACCAATATCAGGGATATATATCGTACTTCTTATGTCGTCTTCGTCGTGGTTCACTTGGCTCGCCCATCGTACTTGGTGCCTCCCACAGGCAGAAAAATAGATGGCGGGGTTGGCTCCTTGCCTCGGTCTTGGTTGGCATATGTACGTTGGCATGGAAATTTTTATCCACCACACCATGTTGACTTGTAGTTGTCACTGTGCAGATCTCGAGTGTCCTGTCATACTGGCCACATGTTCCACAGCACGACAAGTGATCGACTCGGCGATGAAGGACCCAGCCTTACCCGGGACAACCGCCTCGGTGTCATCGTGGCATCAGCCCAATTGACCACAAGATGGCGGATGTGCTGAAGGGAAAGGGGGGCATCATGTAGAGAGAGGCACGAGTGCAGCCGCCAGCTTCCACCAATGACACCGCCCAGCTCAGTCTGTGGACAGTGATCTGAGACGTCCGTAGAAAACCTCTTATCTGATATGGAATGTCTTTGAAGAACTGACTTCGGGAGAATATCCCGAGTCTGCCATTGGAAACGGAGCCGGGCTGCTGTGCTCATACCAGAAAGGGTCTTGTTGGATTCATGCTTCTGTACGTGACTTGATCGGGACACCATTGCACCCCTGAAGTTGAACAGCTGTCTGTGACCGCAAGGTACCCCTGGATTCAAGAATATTGCAAACGTGGGGGACGACTCGGTAGGGCAGGTGGGGTTGACAGCGTTGATGGGCCCTCGCCGAGATGCTTTGCAAACGGAATTCTTGGTGCTGTTAAACGGGCAAAGTCAGTCCCAATGTCAGGTCGATATCAGAGATGAGCGAACCGTCCACTTGTATGCTTATCCGCTAATGGAGGAATATCAACGGCAACGGGCTTCACATCGGTGTCAAGATGAGCTGCTGGCCGCTGGCTGCGAGTCTTCACCATGGCCATTCATGGTTGAAAAGAGGAAATAAGAAAATTGGTGTGTGCGGGACAGATGCCCCCCTGTCAGATGCAGCAGCAATCCACCACCCCATTTTCTCAGTCTTTTGTGGGCGCCAAACATGGCGACTACAAGGTCCTTCAATGTGGCCTTCTGAGAATGTTATGCAGACGCCGTTGGGGTCCGAGAATCAGAAAAATGAAGCGCGAAGTGAGACAGAAGTTCGGAAGGTCTTAATTTCTTGAGTCGGAGATGGTGGAGGGCTGGAATTGACGTTTGCTCAAGCACCAGCGGCATCTTTGGTTCTGGCGGGGCTCGTACCCCACCCACTCCGAATTCTTTTGACGCCATTCAACTTGTCAGAAAGGCAGCCATCAAGGTGACGAGGCTCCCGTATTCCATCATGCTCAGAACATCACACGCAGCATGTGTCAACGACCTTTCCTGGATTCCCACTCTTGTTGCTTCTGATCCAGAGCAGGGAACAGGGCAGCTTTGTGTTCCTACAATAGGTGGGCATGTTGACAGCCTCAAGCCTCACCCGCAACCAGGTAACCAAGGTACACCACAGCCTTGCCCAGCAATTTTTTGAGCCTTTTCCAAGATCGACCCCCTCGGGTCGTCTGTAACAAGGAATCCCTGAACCGGAAGAGACGGCTGATCTCCGGCCGTCCCCGATAATCTGAGTCCGTTCTTGGTGTTGTTGCGCTAAAGATTAGTGGGCTGTCACAGTTGCAATCCGAATCGATTACGAGCCTCATGGAAAGGTCAGCACCCTTCAGCAAGAAAACACGCAACTAAGGAAAGGATGGAGAGCTAATTCCATGAATTATGCCTATTTGTCTTCCCCATCACTTAGGGCTTGCCTATATAGATGTTAGCAGCTTAATGAATAGTTGTAGATGAGGTGATCTGACAGATCTATACACAAGCAAGACAAATATCTCCATCTCTACCCCCGCCGCCCTGCTCATTAGCCATTGTTACGGGGCACACCGGGCTGCAACGCTGCCTTTATGGCACATGCAGTTGTAGCCGGTACATTATTCCGCTCTGCGCTACCGTGGTGGTGGTTGCATTCTGTGTCGCAGGCCTCAATATGATGGTACCGTAATAATGTGTAATTACCATCTCAGCACATGTAAACGGTTCCGCATTCTCGTATAACCGTCAACGTCTGTCTGTGTGGAGTTTCCGCCGTTTCATCAGCCACAGCCGACCTGAGCTGTCTTGCTGCTTTCAAGCTTCTGCCTCAGGTATCAGGCTTTCACCTGGCTGAGGCAAAGTGCTCCGTTCGGCATCCGTTTGTTCCGCCCGCACATTGGGATAGCTGAGGTGAGAGGCTCAGTTCCAGGTTGAAGCAATCCCTTGTCCACCACCTCGACAACTTCTTCTTCACAGCAAGTGGAAATTTCTTTGGTCTCCTGGTTGCAGACTGACCTTCTGTCACATAGTCGCACGACAGACAACCTGGAAGCCATTTCACCCTCCACTGCAGAGCAGACCCCAACCCCAACGAGCGCCATTTGCAACCTCCACAAATCCGCCAAGAGCTCCACATTCAACCTCGATCCTTGCGGCGCCTGACTGCCTGGGCCACTGTCCGACGCGTTCTCCCTGGCGTCGGCCTTGCTCACCCCGGCCCAAGAACTTTCATTCAGTGCTGCTTGACCTGGCTGGACTGTCGACGCGATTTTTTTGCCCTATCCAACATCGCCTTACCCTCTCTGCCTCTGGCTGTACCTCGCACCTACCGTCTGAGGCTTGATCCCGCTTTTTTCGGCCTTGCAGCGCGCCTTTGAACCTTTTTCGAGCCGCCAAACGCAAGCCTGCCCAACTCTTGTCAGCAAGAAAAAAAAATCACATTTTGGCAGCCAAAGCACCCGACCACAGCACCGCACCCCAGTGTCAGGTCCCAAGGTTCCCCGTCACCTCACCTCTCCCGCCCTCAACCGACTCGGTGGCCCGTTGCGCGAACGTCGCGCCGTACCTTGGCCTCAGCTGCTGTCCGCCAAACAGCAACCATCCCAAAGTCCTGCAGTGACAGACACCTGCCCTTTCCGCACCCAATCGTCGCGTCGCCGAAATTTCCCTCCGTCAAGCGGCTAAGTCGACAGAAAATTTCGATTTTCCAATTATCACCATGGGTAAGTACGACATCAATTGCATTCCTCTCCCTGGATACCATCGGTATAGGTATCCCCCCGTCTTCCCAATCAGCCAGCCCATTCGGGCGGTCAACCAGCCAGACAGCCAGCCAGACACACGAAGAGACTGAACACTCTCTCCCCGCTGTTCGCCCTGTCAGCTTCCATTCTGGCCCTCCAGGTGCGCGTGCGCAAGTCGCGTCCTCGTTGAGCCTCCTCCCGAAGATGCCTGCCTCTTCCCCTCCGCTCCGTTCCCCCCTCCCCCTCATCCCATCCCCGTCCTGAGTCTTGCATATACACACCCCCAGCAAGACATCAGGACATATCTCTGTCCATCCACACACACCGGGCGGTTCTGGGATGGACGGACTACTCCAGGCCGGAACACCTCGATCGTGGGCATTATCCCAGATGCCTCAGTGACGTGTTACTGCCGCTTGTAACCCCCAAATCTCCAGGACCTGCCCAGTCGGCGTTTTTTGGTCGATTTCCACAGGGCCAGTCTGTGGCAGTCGGTGCAGGTTGGTCCTCGAGCCTTGCTCGCTCGCTCTACCACTCACAAGGGCCCCTCGCTGCTGCAGTGTCTTGCAGTTTTCCTACCTGCACTGCCTGGTCTCCGACATACCACCCACATACACCCATCCGCCCGTACATACATACATGTACCTTCACAATCAGCCCCCCCCTCCCCTCTCAGCCAGCCTGCATGTCTTTCCCATCCTGATCCACAATCCTCGGATTCTCTCACTACCACCCCCCCCCCCCCCCCCCCCCGCCGCCGCACCCCCCCTCAAGTGCTACCTACCATTCCTTCAAATTGCCATCCCTCAATCACTTCACTTCCTTTTCTTCTTTCCCCACCTATCACCAACCCTACCTTAGCTGGCTTCTTCCAACATCTCGTTTCTGACCGATTTCTAACCTTCTCTTTCTCTCTCTAGCTGACTCCGGTGATACCTATCGCCCTGTAAGTATCTGCCCTGATTCTTGGCCTGTGCACTCTGTTCTTCGTCGTCTCGATGAGACCGGCGGCTATCTCTTATAGCCGCAAGCTCTCGGAGGAATGGCGTGACTGGTGGTCAGACCAGACTCTCATCCCATCCACCTGGCGTCAGTCAGATATGTGGTTTGGTGTTTGCGCTTTCGAGCTCTTCGGCCCTGATGAGTTTGAGACCTGTGGGTTCTTTGTGTTGAAAGTCCAATGCCATGATCACTGATGATTAGGTGCTGGAGGATCAACACGGCGCTCCCCCGCTTTAGGCGTGCCAGAGACAAAGACATATACTGGCGAGTCACATGACATGGTTACATACTGACATTGTGACCAGCGTGAGAGATCGCGCTCTCCCAGACGTGGACGTTCCCGCAGTCCGAACAACGGTACCCGTCGGTCATATTCGCCCCGTGACCGCTCACGGAGTCGTCATCGGAGAAGAAGCCGTTCGCCCATGACTGGACAGGGCGCATCCGCTGGAGGATCAGGACAAGGATACAACAATAACGGAGCTCCTCATAGATCGTTCGAAGATCGTGCCGTTCACCGCGAAAACGTCATGAATAACATTCGAGAGTCGTCGCAGCAGGACCGCCGCGTCTATGTCGGCAACCTGTCTTACGACGTCAAGTGGCACCACCTCAAGGATTTTATGAGGCAGGGTGAGTGGATGGCGCTTGGGGAAGGAATGGATGGAGGAAGAGACTAACGTGACCTCTCACAGCCGGTGAGGTTCTCTATGCCGACGTATTGCTTCTTCCCAATGGAATGTCGAAGGTGGGCTTTCACGAGTGATTTTGGCTGGTTCCTTTGTGGTTCCTATTCTGTTTGGTTATTTGATGGACGGTTGGGTTGACGGGTTGGGACGCTGTCCACGACGATATTTAGGGATGCGGGTAAGTTTCTTCATGCGCACCGGTCAATCCGAGAACAAAGTGCTAACCTTGTGGCTGTCATAGAATTGTGGAATACGCCACTAGGGAGCAGGCTCAGAATGCCGTTGCGACGCTCAGCAATCAGAACCTAATGGGGAGACTGGTGTATGTCCGCGAGGCAAGTACCCGGACCCGGCAACGAGCGGAGCCATTCTGTGACGCTAACAATGGATAGGATCGTGAGGCCGAACCTCGCTTCGGTCCTCCTGGAGGAGGTGCCCGCGGTGGTTTCGGTGGCCCTGTTGGCCCTGGCGGTGGTGCTCCGTACGGAGGAGGATTTAACCCCGGCATGGGAGGTGGAGCTCCAGGAGGCGGGGCCCCAGGTGGTGCTCGTCAAATCTTCGTGTCCAACGTTTGTCATATCTCCCCATTCCGGTTCTTCGTTGCCAACGTGGCAATATGATGCTGACAACCTCTGTAGCTGCCGTTCAACATTGGTTGGCAAGACCTGAAGGATCTGTTCCGGCAGTCCGGTAAGTAACCTGATGCGACTGATGTGTGAGGAGTCTAACAAGTGCAACTGCAGCACGAACTGGTGGGGTTATTCGCGCCGATGTTCATCTCGGCCCCGACGGTCGCCCCAAGGGTTCTGGTATCGTTGTATTCGAGTCCCCCGACGATGCGAGAAACGCTATTCAGCAATTCAACGGCTATGACTGGCAAGGTCGCGTAATTGAGGTTAGGGAGGACCGTTTCGCCAATGCTGGTATGGGTGCTGGCGGTTACGGTGGCCGCGGTGGCTTCGGCGGTCGCGGTGGCTTCGGCGGTGGCTTCGGCGGCCGTGGAGGCTTCGGCGGTCGCGGTGGTTTCGGCGGCGGCGGTTATGGTCGTGGAGGCTATGGCGGCGGTCCTGGTGGTGGTCCTGGCGGCCCCAGCTTCGGTGGTCCTCCAGGCGGCGATGCCTCTGTCCCTCCGAACCCTTTTACTGACAATGCCACCGCCGGCACTGAGAAGAACGAGATTATCTACGTTCGCAACGTGAGTGCCCTTTTCACCCCCGATGCCCATTGATGGTTTCTAACAATACCCTAGCTTCCTTGGTCTACGAGCAATGACGATCTCGTTGAGTTGTTCTCGACTATCGGCAAGGTCGAGCAGGCCGAGATCCAGTACGAGCCTAGTGGCCGCTCGCGTGGCAGCGGTGTTGTTCGCTTCGACAATGCCGACACCGCCGAAACCGCCATCAACAAGTTTCAAGGATATCAGTACGGCGGCCGGCCTCTGGGTCTGAGCTACGTCAAGTACTTGAACCAGGGTGGTGGTGACGCCATGGACACCGACCATGGTGGATTGACTCAGGACCAGATCATGTAAACCAAGCATGAACACTTGCTTGAGCTCGAATCGAACTCAGCCATTGGATCGTCAACAGCCACTGTCGACAAATACAGTCATCAACGTTATTGGATGAGTCAAAGCTGCCACAAGATATCACTTCCGCTCTTCGACTCGTTTACACGATCTCGTCGCTTATTCCCGTCGACATGGGCCCAGAGCATTCAATAGCACCTCGGTTCGACACAACATTGACGACATTCCTCACCCTCAGCAGATTGTTTGTATTGCGTTTTGTTTCTTTTTCTAATGGGGAGGTGGAGGATTCGGTAGTTTATGTCAGGAGGAATGAAAAGAGGTGGTTTACAGACTCGACTTTTTAGTCTTCAACACTCGGGTCTCAGCAACGCAAAAAATTTTGGTGCGCAGTGTTTTTGCTCGATTGGGACTGTCCGTTCTCTTGGCGCCGCGGAAAATGGAAATCGGACGGCTTTTAAACCCCTAGAATGTACAGCGAATAGCATCTGATTATCCCGTTGATGGCGGCGTTCGAAGGAAGGGCGCCGGGCAACGATAGGCTTGTTGGTAAGGGTGTGTGCGATGCGTAGGAGCGGGCTGGCCAGCCATGGTTCGCGGACTTGAAGAGCGTGTGGTGAGTTTGCATGTGGAAAAAGTGTAGGATCGGCCGTCGTCAGAGCATGGTACTGGTGCTGTCATTGGCGCTGGCGTTTTTGGTATGCTTTGGGTCCTGGCTGATTGTGATGGCGTTGGCGAGATGATGGATGGCCCCCAGTTCATATGGCCTGCAATACCGCAACTCTGTTCGGCCCATCCACCGTTGTTATAAAAAGGTTGTGGATCACGATATCCTTATGAAAGGAAATGGGAGTTGAAGGCGTTTTGTGTTTTGGAAAATCGATACCCCCCGGCTGCGTTGGTTTTATGAATTCTTCGGTAATTGGGAGATATATGCGTTTGACGTTGTGGGCTTCATTTTAGGGGCAAAGCAAGCCCGGCATACATGGTACATCTCGGGACATTTTGCCACCGATTTGAATATAAACTCGTTTTTTTTGGAACCCGTTATTGTCCTCGTATGTATATTGGACGTGTGTTTCTGCAGTTGGCTGCAGCTTGTCAACGCAGTATTTGTCACTTCAAGGACGGTTGTTAGAGGCAACCACGTTGGGCGGGAGAGCGGGGATACATCTGACAGTGTTTTTTTGCGACTTTCCAAACAAACAATTTAAATCGAAGTCCACCACGGGTGGTTGGATTCAGGAATGGAATGTTTACGCCATTGTGACTAACCCATCGGGTCCGTCCATATCCTCTTCATCAAAGCAGAGATGTGACCAGGTAATCTATATATCCCAGTTATCAAATTAAGCTGTTTAATAATCCCCAACACATGGATATCTTTTTTTCCAGCTCTCGGCTGGCTGGCTGGCTCAGACAGATTTAGATACAGCACAATAGGGCTCACTTTTCTTCTACGCCTGAGTCTTCATCTTCCTCCTCGCCTTCTCCTTGGCCTTGCGCTTGGTCCTGTCCCTCGGCTTGAGCCCGCTCATGCCCGCCTTGCAGACGTCGGCGTACCGGGCGTAGAAGGAGTCGAGGTCGTCGGGCTGGATGATGGTGGAGAGCTTGACTTTTTTGCCCTCGTTGCGGGCCTCTTTTGACTTGGAGTTGGAGGCGCGGATTAGGATTGGGGCTTGGGGGAGGGGGGTGGTGGTGAGGGTTTCTTCATGTTCTTGTTCTGATAGGGTTTCTTTTGCTGATTCGTCGTAGGAGTCTGAGGGGGTTTGTTAGGGGGGTGATGAGGTTGGGAAGGGGGGGAGGGTAACGAACAGCGTTTTTGGGTGAGGAGGATGGTGCCCTTTTGGGATTGTTTTTGGGTTGTGAAGAGGGCTGTGAGGGCGGTGAAGAACTATGGAGTGTCAGTGTGTGAGAGGTGAGATAAGGGGGGGGAGGAAGGGGGTTTACCTCGTCTTGGGATAGGTGTTTGCTCATTTTGGGTGGTGGGTTGGGGGTGAGTGCCCTGGTGAGAGATGGTTCTGTGTTTATGAGACCCGTTCCTCTCAACACGCTCGCGAGTCAAGTGTGCGATGACTGAAAATGGAGATGTTACTTGGGGTTGTAGTGTGAGTGTGGGTGTGTGATAGCCCCGCCAGTACGTTGTCGTTGCCCGTTGATGGAGACTGGCGGGATTGCCCAGGCTGATACTGTGGGGTCCCCAAAAGTTAGCGCAGTGAAGTCAAAAGTGGGTGCGGTTTGATTTAGTGGGCCCCACTTGACATCTTAGGACGGTGCGCTGCGGTTATCGATAAGAAAAAGTTCAGGACTTTGGGGGAGTTTCAAGAATCAACGGAACACAGAGCGCAAAGCCGGTTAGCCCACCCACGATACTCTGAGACACCAATTTTGTTCGATAAAAGATGGCTCCTCGTGGACAGGGCACCATTAAGCGGCCAGCGCTGCCGCCGCATCTTCTCAAGGAACTGGGCGCATCAGATAACCATAACCGACGAGACAATCGCACGACAGTTACGTCGAGAAAGGAGCAGCGCAAGGCGGAGCGACAGGGCAAAAGGACTGGAAGATCAGATGCGATTCGGAATCGCCAAGCGCCCGCGCCTCAGCGAAATCAGCCATCATCGTCAAAATCTCAACCTCCGAAGAAGTCTCCCGCGGCGCCTGCGAAAGCCGAACCGAAATCCGCACTGAAGAAGAATAAAAGGCCTGAGCCAGACTCTGACGAGGAGGATGAAGATGACTTTGGGGGTTTCGATGATGAAGACGATGAGCTGTCAGATGGAATCCTAAATGAGGACTCGGACGAGGACATGGGCGATGACGGGGAGGACCACGACGACGAAGATTCGCAAGAGGACGATGAAGATGAAGATGAGGAGGAGGACGAGGAGGACGAAGATACCCCACCACCAACAAATAAGAAGCTCTCCAAGACACTGAAGGATAAATTCGCCGAGGATGATGCCGAGATTGCAGCTCTGGAAAAGAAACTAGGGATGAAGGGCAAGAAGAAGCTACCACAGTCATTCATCGATGACGGTCTGGGTGAACTTTTGGGAGAGTTGGATGGAAATCTGGAAGATGGGGGCTCAGACAAGCGGAAGCGCAAGGCCGAGGCAGATGAGTGGCTGGCTCAGAAGAGGAGGAAGGCGGAGGCTGCTGCCGCTGCATCGACGCAGAAAAAGCGAGCACAACCGGACTCTGACGAGAGCGAGGATGGGGATAGCGACGAGGACATGGATGATATGGATGAGGATATGGATGGTTTCGGTTCTGAAGGAGATGGTTTGGACGGTGAAGAAGACGAAGAAGGAAGCGATGAGGGTGAGGAGGACGGATTCGATGACTTTGGATCAGAGGATGAGGATATGGAAGAACCACCAGCAAAAAAGGTCCGCGAAAACCCCTATGTTGCTCCAACAACAGGGCAGACGGCAAAATATGTCCCTCCATCACTACGCAAAGCCACAGGTTCGGAATCAGAGCTGGAGGCCCGAGTTCGTCGGCAGACACAAGGCCTTGTCAACAGGATTACTGAAGCGAACCTTTTGACCATTCTCGGCGAAATTGAGAAGCTTTACAGAGACAACGCTCGACAGCACGTCACATCCGCCCTCGTTGATTTACTCCTTATTCAGGTGTGCGATCCCACAAGCTTGCCAGACACACTCCTTATTCTCTCGGCCGGCTTTGCCTCTGCAGCCTACAAGGTGTTTGGAACGGACTTTGGAGCGCAATTGATCCAGGAGGTGGTAGAGCGCTACGACAAGTACTACGAGGAAGCTCAGGAGGCCGCACTTGGTGGGCCAGATGTACCGAAGCAAACATCAAACCTGATAACATTCGTCTCACAGCTGTACAACTTCCAGCTGATCGGCCCAGGCTTGATATTCGACTACATTCGTACCCTTCTGGATAACCTTTCTGAGCTGAATGCTGAACTACTGCTTCGAATTGTGCGGATGTGTGGTACTACCCTCCGCACGGACGACCCAATGGCTCTCAAAGACATTGTCACGTTGATTCCAGGAGCCGTGGCGAAGCATGGCGAAAAGAACCTGACCGTTAGGACCAAGTTCATGATTGAGACCATCACAGATCTCAAAAATAACAAGCTCAAGGCTGGAGCCGGTGCGTCAGCTATTGTTTCGGAGCATACCGCCAAAATGAAGAAGACACTGGGTCAGCTCAAGGCAAGGAAACTGAAGGCGACGGAACCATTGCGCATCGGGCTGCAAGATATCCGAGACGCTGACAAGACTGGAAAATGGTGGTTGGTTGGTGCCAGCTGGGCAGGCAAATCCAAGGATAAGAAGGATGCCAAAGAAAAGCCAGCCACTGAAGAGCGAGAAGATGACGACAGTGACGACGAAAGTATCGTGCTAGATGACTTTGAAGAAGGTCCCGATCTTTTGGAACTGGCCAGAGAGCAAGGCATGAACACTGAGGTCCGGCGGTCCATCTTTGTCACCATCTTGTCAGCTCTCGACGTCCAAGACGCCTATATCAGGATTCTCAAACTCCGCCTCAACAAGGAACGCCAAAGGGAGATCGCGACTGTGATCACCAAATGCGTTGGCGCTGAGAAGCACTACAACCCTTACTACACTCTCATCGCCAGAAAGGTTTGCGAGAACATGCGTGAGGTGAAGTGGTCATTCCAGACTTGCCTCTGGAAGATGTTTGGCAGGATGGGTGAAACTGGCTTTGTGGAAGAGGACGAGGAGCTGGAAGAGGAAGAGCTCGAGGAAGAGTTCAGCACCCAAAGGTTAATCAACACAGCCAAGATGGTGGGCTCATTGATTGCGAGTGGGCATATGAGCTTGATCGCCATTAGGCGGCTGAATCTCGCCTATCTGCAAAAGAGGACACAAAACTGGATGGAGATCATGCTCAACACGCTGCTGCTGGAGTGCCAGACAGGTGAGAAGCCTGGGGAAGAGGTTATCACGAAGGTGTTTGCGGCTGTCAACACTGCCCCTGAATTTGCCATTCAGTTGCAGCACTTTTTGAAGAAGGTCACGAGAAAGACGGATCTGACTGCAAGCAAAAAGGAGACAAAGCTGGTGAGGGAAGGGTGCAAGATGGCAGAGGCGGCACTACAAGCCGTCGTAGCAGCCGAAGAGTTGTTGTAATTTTTGACCTGTTCATGGGGTGTTGAATACCAGGATAGAAAAATCAATAATGCCAAACCAGCGGCCATCGGCTTCGGAAACACATAGGTTACCAGTGGTTACCCAGGGTATGAGTGGCTATTCTCGGGGGTATTGAGATGTTTATAAGCCAAGCGAGAATCTCATTGCAACTCTGCTATCAATTCGCTCGATAAAGCTCCGGGGCAAGATGTTGTCATCGAGCATCTCCGTGCCGCTTTCGAATGTCTATGATTAGGCATTCTACGTTCAGTTGGGCGACGTTGAGCCAGGTCGCTCCATGTTGATTATGAAACGCTTCGCCTCACGGCCGTCGCTTCTCGACGACAGGATATATAGACCCGAGCCACGATGCCGCGAAGAATGTTAGCGGTCATGTGGCTCTGCACGTCTAACGAGGGTGGCACTTGTTGCGGGATTTGGGCGGGCGGGAACTGGCGGCTTTGTGGAGGTTTTGACAACTGACAGGACGCTTCGGGGGGTGGAAACCTGAAAATTAGCGTGCTCCCGGCTGGGCCAAGTCCCGCGAGAACCCTGGGGCCAATCCGATTTCCGGGCTGAGAGGGGGGCCCACGGGCCTCATGGAACCCTGGAGCCCTGGGGGGAGTAGGTGTGACCCGACGGTTGGACGGAGGTGGTGACGGGGCGGAATAAGCTGGGGACATTTTTTCATGAATGCCGCCGCCAATTCCCAACAACTCCCATCTGCGACGCCCTGTCTAATCCCGCTTCCAGGTTGTCGCACTCGAACAAACAACCGCCTTCACACCCTTCACGATCCAGCGCATCCTTCCTTTTTCCGTCCTTCTCCTTTGATTTCCCAAGTTAGCACAATCCAAGATGCTGTCACAGAGATTACTACTCGGCCGGACCGCCGTCAGGTCCGCCCTCAAGCCATCAGGGTAAGCCAGCCAGCCAGCCAACCGCCCATGACGACACCGGTACCCTTTCTGCGCTGTTGCTGATCTCTCGCATCTGTAGCTCCCCAATTGCCCTTGCGAGCAGATGGTCCAGGACTTATGCTTCCCAGTCTGGTCAGTACCGACACCCACAAACCCAGGAATCTCGGTATGGCCCCGAGTGGCGCTGACAAGTTGCGCAGAGGAGAAGGATCTTGTCATCATCGGTGGTGGTGTTGCTGGCTATGTTGCCGCCATCAAGGCCGGCCAGGAGGGCATGAAGGTGCGTTGGCAGACGATACACACAGCTCGGCACTGGATCATGCGGGACAGCGGCTAACATGTACTCCCTTCCCACTCACAGGTCGCATGCATCGAGAAGCGCGGAACACTCGGCGGAACCTGCCTCAACGTCGGATGCATCCCATCAAAATCGCTCCTTAACAACTCACATCTGTACCACCAGATCCTCCACGACACAAAACACCGTGGTATCGAGGTCGGTGATGTCAAGCTCAACCTCCAACAGCTCATGAAGGCCAAGGAGACATCCGTCACTGGTCTCACCAAGGGTGTCGAGTTCCTGCTCAAGAAGAACGGCGTCGAGTATATCAAGGGTACCGGCAGCTTCCAGGATGAGCACACCGTCAAGGTCGAGCTCAACGACGGCGGCGAGACCAGCGTCACCGGCAAGAACATCCTCATCGCCACCGGTTCCGAGGTTACCCCCTTCCCCGGCCTTACGATTGACGAGCAGACCGTCATCAGCAGCACTGGCGCCATTGCCCTCGAGAAGGTCCCCGAGAAGCTCGTCGTCATTGGTGGTGGTATCATTGGTCTAGAGATGGCCTCCGTCTGGTCTCGCCTGGGCTCCAAGGTCACCGTTGTCGAGTACCTCGACCAGATCGGCGGTCCCGGCATGGAC